TTCCCTTTATTTAAACACTTTATTCATTAATCCTTATAACTCATTAACCTTTATTTTAATAACTTATTCTTTAATTATATTCTTTAATTTCTTTATTTAATAAGCAATATTAAGTATAGCAAAGCTTAAGTTAAGTTAAATTAAGAAATTTTAATTATTTAAAAATTAAATAATTATATTAATAATTTAAGGGTTTAATTTAATTCTTATTTAACTTAAGCATTATAAGCAATAAAAGTATAAGTTTATAAAATGCATTATAAATAAAATATTTATATAATAATTGCAATCCTTTAAGCTTTTTAACTTTATATAATTAGGATGTTTTAATATATATATATACTTAATTAATTTTTACTTATTAATTATATACTTTAATAAATTAACTAACTTTCAACCCTTTAATAATAACCCAAGCCTTCTTATATATTTACCTTTTATAATAATATAGCATAATAAGATAATAACGTACTTATAATTTAACTTATATATATAATTAATTAATTGCCTTTTAATCTTAAGTTTAATTTAACTTAATACCTTTCTTTCTTTTATACTTTTTAAAAGTAATATATACTTATAAAATAGAAATTATTAATATAGAAATAATAGGTATTGTTTATATAAAGGACTATTTAGGATTAAGTAGCTTTGGCCCATTAAAATGCTTAGCAGGCAGCAGCCCTAGCGCTGTATATAAAATAGTTAGCATAATTAAGCCTTTTGCTTTCCTTCCTTCCATAGTTAACAACAATCAACCACTACACCAACTAAACATTGTATTGCAATACGTGACCCAGCCAATAATAACGATAATATTATTTATATAATATATAAATATAATTTGCTTATTAAGGTATATAAATACCCCTTTATTATATGGGTAAATAATAAATCCTAGCTTAGTTAATATACTTTTTAAGTATTTATATTAAAGCATAGGTAATTGTTTTAACCTATATAAAGCTTTATTTAATTTTGCAACTTTATTTTTATATTTTAGTTTATTATATATATATATAGGTAATTTTATATATATTTTAAAATTAATATTAAAGTGTAAAAATGCGTTTTTAACGTTGTAATTATATATATAATATCCTTTATTTATTGCTATTATTAATAGCATAATATAGGTCTTAGGGCGGCAAACTATAAAAAAAGTCTTTAAATAATTTATGCCTAGTTTTTAATTATATCCCTAAATAACTCATTTAAATTTAAATTTAATATTATTCTCGTTATTTACTACTTAATTAAGCTTTATAATAGCTGGGTTATTAATAAATTTCTTTTTATATACTTATTTCCCCCTTAAAGCTATATGGCTGGGTGGTAAATCCATTATTGTATAAGTATTTTGTTTTTGTAAACTATGTATTTCGTTTAGTATAAATTTAATTCATAGGGGTTTTTCTGGGTTATTTAATACCTCTTTTAAAAAAGAAGGTTTATTAATATTAGCTGTAGTTAAGCAGTATTTTAATATATTTTCTTGGGAATTTAATATAAATATTTAGTTATTTAATAGTGTATCTTATATAATATATATATAGTCTTTTGGATTCCCTTAAACTATTATCTTATTTAAAATAAGAGGAGAATTTACTTCCTTATTTTCTTCTCTTTGTTTTTGCAATTCTGGGAATATATATATATTATTATTATTATTTTTATTATTATTATTAATATTAATATTATTATTATTATTTATATATTACCCTTTTAATATTTGAATATCCCGAATTAATATAGGCTTTTTATTATTTATATCCTATACTTAATATATATTTAATTTTGAGACTATGTTTAATAATATGCCCTTTTTATTTCTAGATTTTAATTTAGTTTTATAATTATTATTTTAAAAATATATAATAAATCCCTATATTTTTAAGTTATTTATATAAGGCTTTTTTTTATTTATTACCTTATAAAGGTACTTATACCCTAGGTTTTTATAGGGTATAATATTATATAAATATATAGCATATTTTATTGCTTTTCCTTATAGGTATATAGGTAAATTTATTATATATAAAAGGCTTTTTACTTTATTCATTATAATTAAATTTAGTTTTTTTATTAAGTCATTTAATTCTTTTATATATAGGGGCGTTATATGGTAATTTATAAAGTATTTATTTAATAAGATTTTAAATCTTTTATTTATATATTTACCTTTATTATTGGTAAAGAATTTATTTATTTTTTTATTATATTTATTTTCTGCCTTATTTTTATAGTTATTAAAAGCTTTTAATGCTTTATTTTTATTTTTAAGTAAAGAAACTTTTAAATATTAAGTTCTTTTATTAAGGAATAATATATAATATTTATATTTATTATATATAGGTTTTAAGAAATCGCTTATATTACTATGTATTTTTTTAAGTATATTATATACTTAGTTATTTAAGCTAGTTTTATTTATTTTAGTTATATGCTTAGCTTTTAAGCATACTTTATAGTTACTTATATATTCTTAAATAGGTTTATTTATTAATATATTTATTTTATATTTTTAAAGAAATATTTCTAAAGCTTGGATATTTATATAGCTTAGTTTATAATGTTATTTATATATCTTTTCTTTATTTTTATTATTTATATTTAAATTTTATTAAGTTATATATATTTTTTGAAAGGTATATTTAGGCTTGTTTATTTATTTTATTATATTAATTCTTATAAAGTATAAGTTATCTTTTTAATATCCTTAAATTATTAGCTTATTTATTTCTTGAAAATATAATTTAATAATATTTCCTTTTAATTTTAATTTAATTTTATTACTTATATATTTATAATTAAGTATATTTAAACTTAAAGAAGGCATATAATATATATTAAAGAATTCCTTTATAATATTTATTTTTAAAAACTTAATTATTAAGTTCCTTATTTTATTTATAAATATAATACTTGCATTATCTCATTTTACGGTTTTATTAATTATATATATAATATTAAAAAGGCATATATCTTTAAAACTTATTATATTTATAATAGTATTTATGGCTATTTTTATGGAATTTATATATCATTAATTTCCTATAAATTTATTATTATTAGCTATTATTATTATTATTATATATATATAAGGTATATATAGGGTTATTTACCTTAATTTCCATTAAGTTATTAAAAGAAAGTTATGAGAAATTTAATAAATTTTTATTATATTTAATATTTTTTATTAAATTATTTGTAGCTATATGGGCCATAGGGTCTTCCTAAGCGCTTTTTAAAGCTATGGGAGACTTTATATTAGCTAATAAAGCTAAGAGTTGCTCTTATATTTTTTCCCGTTTCTCTTAGCTTATATTCTTTCTTAAAAAACTTAGTTTTTCCTTCTTTTATTTATTTATTTTCTAGCTAATAAGTGCCTTATTTGGATAAAGGAAATAGTAATTTTTTAAGTATGCCCCTTTATTTTATAGTTAGGGTATATAATAATCTTTTTCTTATTTTTTTTGCTCTTTATATATAAAGCTTTTTTAAATAATTTAAAGGGTTTCCCTTTGCTTTTATTTAATAAGCTAGAGAAGAGAAATTTAATTATATAGGCGTTTAAATCTTTTTTAAAACTTTAAGTTATATTTTAAATAAAGCTAGTATATTTATTATTTAAGTTATAAAGAATTTAGTTAATTATAACTTATTTAAGAAGAATTATATTATTAATCTTTAAATCCTTTAAAAGAAGCTTTAGCTTATTAATATATTCTTTTATAATTTTAAAATTATTAAAATTAATATTAAAAAACTCTTTATAAAGTAAATATTAATTTATAAATTTAAAGGGTTTATAATAAGATTTAAGTATATCTTATGTTTTTAAAGCATTATTTATATCTTTTATAAATATAATAAGCCCTTACTTATATATAAGTTTAATATTAATAAGAGCTCTTTTATTTTAAGTTAAAGATAAGCCTTAAAAAAGATTCTTAAAATTATTCTTAATAATATTTTCTTTTTTAAGTTAAGCTTAGATTTTAATACTTTAATATATATAGTTTTTTATTTTATTAAAAAGTAAAATATTATACTTATTAAGAGATATTATTTTAAGATAAATAAATAAAGTATTTATTAAGATAATTAAGATAATAAAAAGAAAGATATAATAAATTTTAAATAAGTTTAATAAATTAAGAAATAAAGATATAAGTATTAAGGTAATATAATTATAAAGAAAAGAAAAAAGGCTTTTAAATAATATATTTTTAAGGTATTATAAATTAAAAATGGTTAAGATATAATTAAGTATTTTTAAGGGAGTTTAAGAATTATTATAAATTTATTAAAATTTATATTTTTAGTATTAATTTAATATAGTTTTTAAAATTTAAAGAAATGCTTTTATTATTTTTAATAAAGGCTTTTAAATAATATATAAATTATATAAATAAGTTAAGTATTAATAAAGAAATAGTTAAGTATTTAAGTAAAAAAAGTATGGTTTTTATATATAAGCTTTAAATTAAAAGATATGATTAATTTATAATGTTAAATGGGGTAATTTAATTAATTAAGGGCTTATTAATTAGCTTAATTAAGTAATTAATTAAAAAGTTTATTTTAAAATGTAAAGCTTATTTATTTAAAAGGTTTAAAAAGTAGTAGTGATTAAGGGTGTTACGTAATGTATGTTTTCCGTATTAAGTTAGCATTGCCGTTTTGGGTTAGCTTTAAAGCTTATAACCTCTGAAATAATAGCGTTAAATGCTTAGTTAATTAGGCTAGCTAACGTTTATTCTACGGGAGGAAAGGCCCCTATTTATAGTTATTATCCTCCATACAGTGGCAAACATATGGGGAAAAGGATATCCCGTATTAATAATAGCCTAGATATCTAGAATATTCCAACAGAGGCAAGAGGAGAGAATCCAGCCCTGGTCCATTCTCAGCTCCTTGATGGCATCCAGAAGCTCCAGGCCTCGGTGACTACGCCAGCTGAAAAGCTCTTTCGGATGCGCTTCGAAATATGCCAAATGGTATGCGTGCGATTGGCACAACAGCATGGCATTTTACAAAGCCTGTCGAAAGATGGACGCGCAACTGCGGCAAACCTAAGCATGGTCACGGGTGCTGACGAGCTCCTGATAGGCAGGCTACCCCTACACGCTTGGTGAAAAGGTGACTGTGCTGAGATACTTGATAGTACGAATCATGAGGCCCCTCGCCATTACTGGGGTGGTCGTGGAGCTTGGGCCGAAGCAGTACGAAGCCAATCTCGCAACTCGCTTCTTCGCAAGCCAAGGCATAGAAGGTGGTTGCAAATACTAGTAGGCCCAGGGCTCGCCCAGAACCATTTTTTTAAACGCTTCTCTGACCTTCTGGGACCAACCAGCACAGACCTTATGATGAGGACTGGAAGCCACATGGGGCCACTGGCAGCACAAGGCGAAGTCCCAGACTCTTTTCAGGCTATCTTCGGCACGCCACTCTTCGAATACTTCCAAGAGCACCATGAATACGGCCGGGCGTTTAACGACTTCATGATTGTGCGCCAGTCAAAGTCCACAAAATGGTTTGAAGTGTATCCAGTGCGAGCGAGAATGGAAGAAGCCAGGACGGATGAGTCAGATGCGCTGCTCGTCGACGTCGGAGGTGGCAGCCGGCACTGGGCTCAAGAGTTTCGAAGTGCCATGCCAGCTCAGGAGTACCGTGGGCGCGTAGTCGTTCAGGATCAGCCGAGCGTGGTCAGCAGCATACAGCTTGACGAGATCGAGGCTATGGCCTACGACTTCTTTACTCCACAACCAATCGAGGGAGCACGATTCTACTTGTTCAAGCAGGTGATCCACGACTAGGACGACAAGAAAGCGATCGAGATCCTCAGGAATACGGCACAGTCTATGATTCAGGGCCAGTCAGCTCTGCTCATTGACGATTATGTACTTCCGGAGGAGAAGGTAGGCCTACAGGCCACATGTATGGTAAGCTTGTTGTTGCCATGGACAGGTGTGTTTCTAGTATTGCTAACGGGTCGCTCCAGGACATCGGCATGATGATGGCAAACGGCGGGTGCGAGCGCACCGAGACTCAATGGCAGAGCATCATCTTCGCGGCTGGGCTCAAGATAGTGCGCATTTGGTTCTCCGGCGACGGGACGGCGGGTAGCGAAGGCGTTATTGAATGTGAGATCAGATAATTTCTCCCAAGTATTTCGACCTAAACTTTGTTTCGGGAAAGGGAGCACATCTTGGCTCTGAGCACAACATGTTTGGTCACGTCGAAGACTTCGCTGTCAGGCAATGTGGACGGAAGCCCACAATGAGGCAGCGGGATCCCGTACAAGGACTCGTTCTTGACGATGTCTCGATGAAGGAGCATTCTCAAACTGCCTAAAATCCCCGCCTAGAAAGGTAATTTGGAAAGAATGATAGTTCATGACTTCCCAAGCTCATCCGCAAATACTACCCGAAGAGCCTGCTCGCAATATCATTAAGCGCTCATCTCCCATGCTCGTTCCAGGGACAATTATAGCCACCGTCGCTGCAAATGTATGTTGCGAAGCGCCTCAACATTTTCTCTAGGGATCTCCATCCCGGTTCGCGATGTAACTTGTTCCACGATGTAAACTTCTCTTTTATCCCAGAGCGCCCATATCAGGAAGCTGAAAGGGAGTCAGGCGGTGTGCTCGAAATTGATTATTGTCAATCAACTAGATAGATCATCGGCATCCTCCAGCAAGAAGTTGTTAAAGTTGAAATCACAGTAACACAGCTTGAGACCCTCGGAGACAAGGTCGGCTGTCGTGAGATCAGGGTTGAGTTTTTGCTACACATAGCGAGCATGTTAGTCAAAGGTTTGTCTCAGGTCGTTATGAACGTACCTTCTCATTCTCTTGATCAACCCACTCCTGAAGCTGCTCCAGGGTATCGAAGTCGCATGGCCCATCAGAGTTGTCCCGACCGAAAACAAAGTTCTTGATTCGGCCGCCATTGACAGGGCCTGGGGCGGTATCGGGCAGGTGCTCGAGAGAGAGGAGGAAACACAACGCATCTGCGACTCTGTCCTTGAATGGGCGGACTATTTCAGCCTTCGCCGACTCGGACATGTCCCTTGACCATAGAGTAGGCTTCATAATGCTGCTGATGGGTGTCCCAGTTACAAACTCCATGACGATGCAACTGTAGTCCATTCCCTCTATCTCAAATTCCGCATAATCGAAAACCTTGGGCGCATACAGACCCTGGCTTGTGGGCGGGCCTCGTTTGGTGATTTCCGTATGTACGTAGTCTTGCGTGTCGGCCTCCGCTCTAAGGGTGGGCTCCGCAATATGTGGCTTCACCCACAGGCGTGTCACTTCGGGAGGCAGAACCTTTGGAGTGAAGGGAAATCCTCTGATGTTTTCGTAGAAGTGCCGGCTGTTGCATAAATCTCGGTACTGTCTTGTTGCCTCTATGATTTCTTCGATATCGACTTCCCAAGTGGGCTCATCGGTGAAAATAATGTCCATGCCCGTGTGTCTGGGGTTTCGTTTTCAGGCCATGAGCTGGGAACAGAACCTGTGGACGTCGTGGATCTGGAGACAGCGCACAGTTTGGAAGCTCTCGGATGTTGTCTTTCTGAATGCAGATGACTAGAACAGTGGCGCATGGTCCAATGTTCTGACTAGAAGGCCATGGTATAACAGCTCATAAACAGGTTCCTAACTGCTCATAGAAACAATTGGACATCGTGATACAGGTGGACCCAGATGACCGGTCTGACTCAGGCCGTAACGAATTTGCTGGCATATCAAAAGCAAGGGCATCGAAGTGATGCTCCATACAATCACCAACACATGCGTAAGAAGTTACGGTTGCCTATCAAACAATAGTGGCCGCCTTCCGCTGCCGGCCGAAGAGTCCCGTCAACTTTGGAAATTCACCAAAGATTTCTGCTTTTTGGTTAGATCGGCTCAGTTTCTCTCCATATTAGTTTTCACGAATAACTGAGCTCAAGCCTTGAACAAATTGCTAGCCAATGGACGATGATGGAGTGAGCAATGAGAAGGTTGATCCTCATCCATCTGTTACGTTTCATAACTAGTGCGTCGTGAAGTGACCAGAGCTTTTCAGCCAGACAGTATTAGTCCACGGAAGTACTCCTGTGACATTTCCGTGCGTGAGTACCCAGACACGCGTTTCTTACAAGACTGGTTCTGAGTCACGGCAACTCACAGACAAGCCTGATTTCAAAACTTCTCGAAGTATGTTCCATCTAGCTGGGCTTCCCAGCCAGCTTGGCAGCGGAGATACAGCAAGTGCATTCTTGTTCCATTAAGACTGGGGACGGAATCCCGCATCATGGGGTCATAGCACATTTAAAAGTCAAGTGATCCTGCAGACTGCAAGTCGGCACTGAGTAAACTCTACTGATTTGGTTATGAGGATCGCGTGGATGGTCACCCTGAAGCTTCATGTGCGAACTGCACACGGGGCGAGTGTGCCATCAAGATGCCGGACTTGCGCCGTTTGGAAGCCGATTCGTCTTCCAGGTCACGTCTTTGGTGTTTGCCTCATGCTCACTCACTGCACGTTCTTCGAAGCTGCTACCACTTGCCCCGTCAGAGGCTGAGCCCAGAGTGGCTCACCCGTGCCCCAGCTCCGGCCCCAGCTCCGGCCCCAGCTCCGTCCACATCGCCGCCGGACGAACTTACCTCCAGCAGTCACTCGTCCGGTCACTTGTCCGGTGAATGGTGCAGCATTCAATGCTGTGGTGAGGCTGCCCGCTAGTGCAATGGAGCCCAGCTTTTAAACCCACAGCTCCAATGCACGAGCAACAACTTCAACCTTCCACCATCACCACCAGCAGGGTCACAACCCACACTTCCAACCACCACCCTTTTCCCGTCTACCAAACATCAATCCTTCTGCCTCATCATATTCTCATGTCCATCAAGTTGATCCTGACGATCTCTTGTACCCAACTCTTCTACAACGCGCCAATCTCGTCTGCGTAGCCAAAGAGGACGGCGACGGCGTCGACTCTGCTTTCTGCATCAACCTCACTTAGCCCAACCTTGACCTCGACCTTTCCACAGTCAACAAACAACACCAAGATCCTGACACCTCTTGGTCTCAGATCCAATCGCCAACAGAGTTTCTTTCTCTCATCCTGGTGCCGCCAACAGTCATCTGTAAGTTTCTACTGCGCAGTCATCTGCCTGCTGCACCACCACCACCTCCTCCTCCTTTCCTCCATCGATCGCAAACCTTCCGCCACCCATATCGTCTGTTTTCCCCTTTGCGACACCCAAGGCACACATGGTAAGCTTCCTCACCACCTACACTTCACAACGGACTCTCTTGCGCAGAACACGTGCCACACAAGCTTTGCCGTCCTCCTGTTGCCTAAAAACATCCAATCGCCCTTTTCTTTTACTCACCCCAGTCACTTCTGCCTACAGCTTCCCTCCGTTTGTTTTGACTTGTTTTCTTCTGCCTGCCCCGCCTGCAAGCCTTTCCACTTGCAACCTTTTACCTCACCCCTCCACCTCAACCCTACACTCTTGACACTTTCCTCCCGCCTACGAAAGACTTCTCTCACAACTTCATTCTTCTACCAATCTCAATCTTCCAACTTTCCGATCACTGCACACCGGCCAGCCCCAGCGCCGGTCAACAGACACGAAGTCCAAGCTCTTGTGGCCCAGCCCAGACCCACGTAAAGCTACCAAATTAACGCTCATTCAATTCAGCAGCCTGACGGCCTACGCGCTCATCGCCATATTCATCCACAAGCTCATCCTCAACTACTTCGCCCAAAATGCCTTCCAACCAGCACGGGAGCAACTCTCCTGCCGCGGACGGCCAGGAGCCACCCGCGCAGACCGAGCACCTGAATATCAAGGTCACTGATAATAACAACGAGCTCATTTTCAAGATCAAGAAATCGACTAAGCTGGAGAAACTCATGGACTCCTTCTGCGAGCGCCATGGCAAGACCCTTGACTCCGTCCGCTTTCTCTTCGAGGGCAAGCGGGTCCAGGGCTCTGAAACCCCCGATTCACTCGAGATGGAAGATGGCGACACCATTGAAGTTTATCAGGAGCAGCTGGGTGGCAATGGGCTTTGCACCAGAGTTCCTATTTTTTGAAGGGCAAAACTCACAGATCCTTATGGAGGCGACACCATTGACTGGATGGCGGCACCAACAGCATCACCGAGCTCGTCGGCTCCTGAGGCACGACTCCAAAGCAGCTCTACAACCTGAGCCTATCCACCGCCACCCTTCCACATTCATGCCAAGGCAAAAAGTCTGCTCAGTCTTCATCTTCCCTCTCCACGTCGCACACTCCTTCAAGCAACAACTCGAGGCGTCACAAAAGCCGCAAGAGAGCAAAATCTGAGAATGCCGCGGGCGATGACACGGTCAGCTCGACTCCCATCGCAACTCCAACAGACGGCAATCCGCCAGCCAGGAAGCAGAAGTTCACACACGAGAGCGACGTCACCGAGAAAAAGGATGAGGTGTCCAATGAGGGCGAGGCAGTCGGACGCAATGGCGGCATCAGGGATGGTCTGGCCGGGGAGGCAGAGGTGGAGGGGCAGCATGGTGAGGAGGGCAAGGAGGAATCGGCAGGTAAACCCATGGTTGTCACCTCGGGCACATCCTAGGCGTGTACGGGGGGACTGGGAGCTGGTGTAAGAGCTTGAGACCTCCCCTTGGGAGTTGACTCGCCTGCTGGCTTAGGTCCCCGACGGCGCTGATTGGGTGGCCCTCTTGAGGCGGCAAGTATGGGCAAAAGAGGTGTGACGCCGGCGTGTACGGGGGGACTGGGGGCTGGCGTAAGAGCTTGAGACCTCCCCTTGGGAGTTGACTCGCCTGCTGGCTTAGGTCTCTGACGGCGCTGTTGAGTAGCCACCTTGGTGGAGGAAAAACATGGGGCAGAAGGCAGGAAGCGGAGGAGAGTAGGGTGTGACCCGGGCGTGTACGGGGGGACTGGGAGCTGGCGTAAGAGCTCGAGACCTCCTTTGGGAGTGACTCGCCTGCTGGCTTAGGTCCCTGACGGCGTCTTTGGGTAGCCGCCCAAGGAAAAGGAAAGAAACATGGAAACACTGCGATAGGCTTGGCCCATCCCCTTGGGTTCCGACTCGCCTCCTGGCCAAAGGCCCTTAGGGTGTGGATCGAGCTGCTACTTGAAGAGTTGCAGTCTCAACAACTAAGTGTGACAATACAAACATACATTAGCAGAGTTTGCAGAAATTTGGTCCTATGACTGCTGCCGAGCGAGATTTCCTGACATTGATGATTTCATTGTAGTCATTACGGTCTGCCCGAGACCATCTTGTCGTACCGCTCTTGTGCAGACATTCCAACAAGACGATGATCCTCTCGCTTTCTATTTCAAATGCTGTGAAACCTTCTCAAGTCTGTCCCAAACCCTTTGCTATATGACTCCAACAACGGATCAAGTCCCGTATGCAACAGGTATTCCCAAGATACTCCAACAATGCAATCTCGTCAAGCTCCATACCAAGATACACGAGCAGCGTATAGACAAAATATCCCAAGTCTACATCAGATCCCACGAGTGCGCTAATCCAAACAAACTTCCCACATCTCTCATCACCACCGATGCTACACCTTTCCCGTCACGACGAACTGGCCCGTCTCAGTCCTGACCCTCCACCCAGCCCTCTTGAGCGCGGCACCAACGTCCTGCCGCAGGCGCGACACCCCGCCGGAGCTGTGGTTCCCCAGCCCCGTGACGACGGTGAACCCTTCGCCGCAGCGGGCCCTGCGGGCCCTGTCCTCGCCGAGCGCGGCCCACCACTCCTGCGTGCGCTCGAGCGCGATGCGCACCCCGTCGGCGACGGGCACGCCGTGCAGGTCGATGTGGTCCCGCGACGAGTTGCCGTCGACCAGTGCCTCGTACGCCTCGCTCTGCGCCGCCTTGGACCGCCCCAGCTGCTCGCGTGCCCGCTCCGCCAGCACCCCGGCCACGGGGCGGAACAGCGCGTCCGACTTGCCGCGCCGGTAGGCCGCCTGCGCGGCGGTGAAGGACTGAGCCGTCGACGCGCGGGCCTCGGCTGCGTCACGCGCAAGCTCGGTGTAGGTCTTGCGCGGCTTGGCGGACTGGACCGTCTGCCACCCGGTGGTGGGCTTGCTGGCGGCGGGCGTGTTGGGGGCGGAGGTTGCGGCGTTTGAGGCGCTGGATGAGGGCATCAGCCGTGGGAGCGAGCTCCGCCGGGTGAGGGGGCGAGAAGCGCTCAAGGCCGGCGAGACGGGGCTGCTGGCTGCCTTGTCTTCTGCGTCCAGGTTCAGAGGCTTGAGGCGGTACTCGACATCGAGCCTCGCCTTGCCGGCCTTGTCCTTGGGGGTTTCCGTTCCGGAGCGACCTGCGTGGAGTCAGCTGAATGCCCGAGCAAATGTGTGAGGATGTGGACGAAAGAAAGAAAACCATTGACTAGGCTATCACCAAGGAGGCCGTGATCAACTTGGCGGTGAACTGAGATTCTCGTCTTGCCTTTCTTGTAGCCAACGTGGCCATCATCTCGGAAAGCTCCATCGATTCCCTTGGGGCGGAGGCCGTTTTCCTCCAGGAATTGTGTGCTAAGCAGCTCCTCGCAAGCCTTCGTGAAGTCTCCGTCGGCCTTTCTCAGGGAGAACTTGATGTCCATGTCCTTGAGAAGGGGAAACATGACCTTCAGCTCAGCAATCTTGCCATCCTCGTCCAGGGCCAGGACATCAACATCATTGGGCAGATCTAGCGACTCGAACTGGTCGGACAGGGTGTCGCTGAAATCGGTCCTGGAGGAGATGTCGGTGCAGGGCTTGGAGCCCGAGACGGAGTGGGACGAGTTGGTGTTGGCCGGCCCTTCGAGCCCTGAGAGGACATCGACGTCGCCGTCCACGCCACTGGCGTTGAAGCGAGACGCCTCCTCGGCCTCTGCGTCCTGGGAGAGGCCTTGCAGGATGGCACGGGCCTCTTCGAACTGGACTGTCAGGTCGTAGTCACCGACAATAGCAATGATGAGGGACTCATCAAGGGCAGAGCGAAAGTCGTCCTGGCAAGCGTTAGCTGAGTTCATTCCATGCAGGCGGGGTTTTATCCGGAGACTGTTTCAGGATGGAATGGGAATGATAATGCTCCGACTTACAACGAGGCTGCCCATCAGCGAGGCTGCATCAGGGACTGGGTCATTGTCCCCCATCCTCCCGCCCCTGATGTCTTGTTTGTGTTCAAAATGAGAGCAAAAGATACAGATTCAGGCCGTGATCGAGTACAGGTGGGCGAGGACAGTGGTTCATTTCTGTGCGTGGGCGGGCTCATGTCCTTGGGGCGGTGGTGCTGTGCTGTCATAATCGGCGGTGCGTTGTGTTGTTTTGGCGGTCATGCGTGCGTCGACGCAGAAAGTGATGATTCAATTTTGAGAGTGGCTCACTGCCGGGGCGGACAGGTGCCCAATCAAGTTTAGCGCGGGGTGGTCATCCAGATGGTTGTGTTCTCTTCGAAAGGGGCCTCGTTGGCCGTGGTTTGGTGCCGGCCCGAGCCATTGGGTCTTCTCATCATCCAGGCTTGTCTTCTCCTCTGTGTCTGTTATACGAGGCATCGTAATTTCCAACTTGGCTCACGAGCGTGGATGGGATATCGATCAATGACCCAGAGGTGCCCCACAACGCTACGGTACCTTCCGCACAGTAGATAATAAGATAGCACAAATGCCAAGCGTTGGAACCTCGGGAGGGCATGCGAGCCTCAACCAAGCATTACTGCTTTCGGCCGGGACACCCCAACATGCGCCTGACCTACGTGGCACTCGGTACAGAATTAAGCTCTCCTGCTCAGAATCATGTACCTATTCTGTCCGTGTGAACGGCAGTGCTGACTGTTATTGTTATCAGGGTAGAGGTGAGTCGATGCAGCCCCTGTAGAGTTTCGTGCTCAGTGCTCCACCTCGCCCTTGGTGTCTCATGATGTTCGCTGCCACTGGCACCATGGCCATGCGAGCGCTCACACGAGATGTCCAAGGGGGTAGCAGCAGCAGGATCTCCCAGGGCCCGCCAGGTCCAACGGAGCCATCGCCGCGGGGCCCGTCCAGAACCGGTCACATCCAGCCACTGCTGGTGCAGAGAAGGGCGCGTCTGAGCCAACGGGACCCCGCGGGCGTCACCCAGATCTGCACAGCACCCTTGCATTCGGTCAGTGGGGTTTGATCCACCCAGGAAAGGCGTCCGAAGCTCCCGAAGGCGACGCTGCATGTCGCTCTCTTGTGTGGTCGAGATGCTGTGCGTTGTGTTGTGCTGTGCGGACGGACAGAACGGAATAGCGCTTGTTATGATTATATGTCTGGGCTATATGACCTGACCAGCGGACCGTGACTGCCATGGCCCAAGTCTGTCGAGGTCTGCAAGAGCGTCGGACCTGACTCTAACCTCGACCTGCTGACAACTTGCTGCTGACCACTTTGCTGCTGCTGTCCAACTCGCCAACACACCAACACTGACACCAGCTTCATTATTGCAGGCACTGGTGTGCAGGCCTTGACTCGCGAGGCACTACATTGCATCATAAGTAAACAGGTTCACGGGTGCAGTTTGCAGACCTCCGGCAGGGACAAGGCGCAGTCGCCCTCCGCGGGTTCAACCTCGGGGACTCGCACTCACTCGTGTTGTTGGAGCTGAACAGCCTCACCTCGACAGGGAAGCCGTCCGTTTGGTGGCACCTAGCATCGACTTCCCTGCCTGCATCAACTTTACCAGGCCGACAGACATTCCAGGAATTCCATTCCCACCACCGCCATCGAGCCTGCACGTCCAGGTGGCCGCAGCAAGGACCCTCCCGCGATATCCCTATAAGCCGAGCTGGCCGCTGCTGTTCTAGCCTGTGCTCATTTATGCGTCCAGCCTCCTCGGCTTGTGATACGGGCAGCTGCTAGGCTCAAGGTGGACTACACAAAGGCTCGCCATCTACGACTCGGCCCTAGTTCTGTTTCAGATACCCTCACACCCACCGATCTGCGCATTGAACGAAGCTCCCTAAGCTCCGTCCGGCCCGTCATTCTGTCGCCGCTGCCAGCTTCTTTTTGCATGCCTGCATAAAGATCTGCTTCCCCTGGTGCCCAAGCACGGCACGCACCCCTTATTACTACAACTCGTCTTTGCACGCCCTCATATTTTTGTTTGCTAGCGGTCCGCGTCGTGCCATTTCCAGGTCTCTCGCTTTGGGGGTACGTCGAACGAGATCCACACCGGCATAGGGCACGATGGCAACCGACAACAAATACCCATTTTGGGGTTACCCGGCGCCCATCAAAGGGTGAGTGAGCCGCCAACCTGACAGGTCTTGGCAGACAGCCTCCCGTCATGGAATGCATCCACCGTTTCCCCAAGGAGAAGAAGGAAGCAGGCTAACTGTGCCCCAGGCCGGAAGTGGCGTACAAGGCCGAGCGGAAGTCGAACCCGGCTATGCGAGGTTGGATTCTGATGCCGGCAGCGTACCTGCTCGAGCAGGTGCGCCCTCTCAGGGAGATGATCTGGTCGAACGCCGGCTTCTCCTCGCTGCGCAAGCTCCGCGAGAGGATCGAGGATTACGAGCCACTCCACGATCCCACGGTGGTGCCTCTCGATCATAGGCTTCTCTTCGGGGTCAATGGTAATGGAGATGTCCACATCAATGGCAATGGAAATGGAAATGGGAACGGTTTCATGGCAGCAGGGGAATCGGCAGCCTCAGCGGGTTCACCTCGGACGGACTCATCCCCTCACACTCTCTCACTTACCAGCTACTACTCGACGAAAACATATCGCGACCTGTACCTGAAGGGCGATCTTACGCCTACCGACGTCGCAAAAGCCATACTGCCTCTCATCCGGCGAGACATTGAGCCCAAGGGATCTCACCACCTCTTCTTCTTCGACAGCAAGGCCGAGCTCGTGCTGAAGGCAGCCGATGAGTCGACCCAGCGCTACCGCGAGAACCGCTCCCTTGGCCCACTCGACGGTGTGCCGTGCGCCATCAAGGATGAATACGACCTCGATGGGTACAAGTGCTGCCTCGGCTCGGTGAACGACTATACCGCAGAGATCGTTGACGAGAACGACAGCATCACATCCTGTGCGTCAAGAAGCTGGTGGAAGCGGGTGCCGTCATCGTCGGCAAGACGAGCATGGTCGAGTTTGGGCTCGACACGCCTGGCAACAACCCCAACTACGGCACGCCGCGGAATCCTTTCAATCAGGACTACTACACCGGCGGATCCTCGTCGGGCACGGCCGCGGCCATCGGGTCCGGGCTGATCCCGATAGGGCTGGGCAGCGACGGCGGCGGGAGCATCCGGATCCCTGCGAGCTTCTGCAACATCTTCGGGCTGAAGCCCACGCACGCGCGTGTCTCATTCTGGCCGAGCGCCAACCACTCCAACACGTGCGCCGTCAACGGGCCGATGGCCGCAGACATGGAGTCGCTGGCCACGCTGTTCGAGGTCGTCGCCCGGCCGCACCCGGACTCACCCTTCGCCTTCCCCAGTGTCCCGAGGCTGCCCTCGGCCGACAGGTTGCTCGAGCAGACGCCCGGTAGGCCCAAGATCCTCGGTATCTGCCGCGCCTGGTTCAACGACTGCGCACCCGCGGTTAGGGAGCTGTGTGAGGGGATGGTGGACACCATGGTGACCAAACACGGCTACAAGGTCGTCGATATCCAGATTCCGTTCCTGGCCGAAGGTCAGTTCGCGCACGCGATGACGGTGTTGACGGATGCGGCGACGCTGTTGCCCAAATATGATAATCTTACTTTCGCCAACCGGTAAGTCTGCAGCCGCTACTTTGCTCATCCAAAATTTGACGGCACACATATGCTGACCACATAACCCCTCCCGCGCAGCATCCTCCTAGCTCTAGGCCGCACGACCCCAGCGACAGACTACCTCCTCGCGCAGAAGCTGCGGCGCTGCCTGATGTCGCACCTGTCGCACCTGTGGCGGCAGCACCCAGGGATACTGATCATCACGCCGACGACGGCGTGCGCGGGGTGGCGGATCCGGGACGGCGGCGGCAAGGCGGGCGGCAACAGCAGCGGCGAGATGCGGGTGGGCATCTCGGACGGCGACAAGACCATCGAGACGATGCGGTACGTGTGGCTGGGCAACTTCTGCGGCCTGCCGTCCATCAACGTCCCCGCGGGCTACGCGAGCCCGGACGCCGCAGGGAAGGGCGAGAGGGTCGCGGACAAGGCCACCGTCGGCAAGGTCCCCGTCGGCTTCATGGCCACGGGCGAGTGGGCGTCCGAGGAGAGCCTGATTGAGTTTGGGGTCGAGGCCGAGAGGGCTGGAGCCGAGTGGCGGGAGAGGCCCGAGGGGTGGGTTGATGTTGTTGAGCTGGCTAAGAAGGCCAAGTAGTTGACGGGACTGTGTGATCAGAGATATCCCATTTGCTTGTTTGGTTTTTTTCCTCTTGTTGTAAAAAGAGGTCATTCCTTTGCAGATACCACGGGACTTAGATGACGGGCGTCGGTGGTGAGATGTGGCGAAGCATTTATACACCACGATCCTTCCTCCGCTGATCACGATCAAGGAGTTGCAAATTTAGATAGACGGTGCATTTGTGCATCAATGCTATCCGATTATTTCCTGTTCCGAGCTGTGGTCCTTGTCGTCCCAAAGAGAGCACTCAGCTCACCACAATGGTATGCTCACCACCCTCCACGCCCTCAACAACAACCGTGTCGAATACCACGCCGGTCTTCCTAAACCACTCGGTCTGGACTTCCTCCCCGTCCACAACCACAGTAGGCTTGCTCCCCTGCCGCACAACAGGCAAGATCAGCCTCCCCACCGTCCCAGCAGGCGTGCTCACACTGGCGTTATACTGAGGTCCGTCCTCCCCCTCGTCAACCTCCGCCACATCCCACCGGGCCTGGAACTTACCCAGCGCCGTCACGAACCCACCCTCAGCAAACCCCAGCCCGCCAAACTGCGGCGCAAATAGCCACTCGCTGCCCACGCGCGCCGTGACGCTCAGCCCCAGCACGAACTCGGTCAGCGCGCTCGTCGGCCCGGACGACCACCCGTGCGCGTGCGAGACATAACTGAAATCATTGCCGTACCCCCGGCTCCACCGGTACCCGAACGTGCCATTCACGAGGTACCCCTCGACGACGGTGCTCTGGGTGCCGTTCTCGTTGCCCAGGTACCACCCCCAGCTGGTGCGCACGAGGTCCAGCGCGCGCGTCGTCTCCCCGGCCGCCAGGTGGGCCTGCAGCTCGAACGACGAGATGAAGGGGCTGATGTTGCCGGGGAGCTCGGGCGCCTCGGGACCCAGGGGCGTCCAGTTGTCCGTCAGGCGCGAGGAGATGGACCGTGCCGTCGGGGAGTCGGGGCCGACTACGCCGAAGAGGACTGCCATTGAGTTGGCGTCTTGCGGGTGCAGGGCCGTCGCTGTCGCGTTGTCCCTGAAGGCGCCGTAGCTCGCGTCGAAGCAGTGCGCCAGCGTGGCGTTCTGCAGCGCGGCGGCGCGGCTGGTCCACAGCGCTGGGAGGTCGGTTGTGTTGCTGCTGCTGCCCCCTCCCTCCCCTCGCCAGGTCGCCAGGTCTGCGCCGGTGGTGAGCGTGCGGTAGAGGATCATCTGCGCCGAGGACATGTTGAACCCCGTCTGCCAGCGGGCCCAGTCGCGCGTGCCCGTGACGTTGAGCAGGCCGGACGAGGGCTGCACCTTGGCGTAGATGTAGTCCATGGCGGCGAGGTAGCCGCCCCAGTTGCGCGCGAGGAAGGCCGTGTCGTTGGTGTACAGCACGTAGTTGTAGGTCCCGATCATCGTCCACATGTGGTACGTGTCGCTGCCCTGCTGCAGAAGCGGCGGGCCCGCCTCGGGGAAGGAGCCGTCCTTGTTCTGGTAGTCGTACATGACCTGCAGCGCGTTGCGCACGCTGTCGAGGTCGCCCACGCTCACGAAGGTCGAGGGCACCGCGATGCCCATGTCGCCTGGCCACACCGCGCGGTCGCGCTTCGCGCCGTCGACGATGATGGTGTCCCCCGGTCCCAGGGTGCCGTTGTTGACCCAGCTTGTGTTGACGAAGGGGACCCAGCGGCCGGTGTTGACGGGCACAGCGTTGGTCTGGAGCGTGTACGCCCCGCTGTACCAGATCTTATTCAAGGTGTCGTCCGAGCTGTGGAAGTAGCCTTGGTACGCCCTGAGGTTGGACCACGTTGGCTGGAAGCCGATCTCGAGCTCGATGGAGGAGATATCCACCGATGCAGACTCGGATATCAGGAACAGGGTGAGGTAGCGGAAGCCTCCGCGCAGTTTCTCGTCGGGCATGGTGTAAGTGACCGCCTCTGCGCCGGTGAAGTTGGAGTAGATGGCCCCGTCCGGACCGACGAACTTGCCATTGGAAGAGTCGGACCATTCTCCTATCCAATTCTTGGCCTCCGTAAAGGCCAGTCCAACCGCACCACTGCCGGCTCCCGATGACGAAGGGGTGTACTTGAGCGTCACGATCCCGCCGACCTCAATGCCAAAGTCAAAGACGAGTTTAGACCCATTGGTGGCCAGGTGGGCCGACCCGTTCCAGGACGAGATGATGCTGCCATCGGCGGCCGACAACACGGACCTGGGAGAGACGGTCCTTGATTCTGGGGCGAAGTTGTTGGCGTCCCACTCCCCCGGGAACGCAGCTTCGGAGACGGCGCTGCAGGTGGTGTCCCTCCAGCACGACTGGCCGAGAGCAGTGGAGGCCAGGAGGCCAAAGAGCACGGTCAGGGCCATCATATTGAAGTGCCGACGTCCAAAGGCATTGCAGGACACGCCCTAGTTTTGGTTTATGTTATTTTCCATCGTGTTATATCACGCCTGTCAACCTCGACGTCGGTAGTAGACCAAGGGCCACCGCCCAGTGACCGTACTGGCGGCCAATTTTGGCGTTGATTGCCGCGTTGCTCGGTGCATCTTGGGGACCGAGACGAGTTGGGAGATCCGGGAATTATAGTAGATAGTTTTGGTCATAGTCGTTTGGCTATGGGCTACAAGGGGGGGGGGGCCGAAATGGAGATGGTCTTGAACGGTACTCGGGTGAAAGTGGCCACTCTGGAGAAGCTGGGGAAGCTGGGGGAGACCCCTGAAGTGCGCGGGGATGGCGCCCAGCGGGGGTTGACAGGCTCGCTTCAATTGTGCCGAGACTGGGTATAGGCTTGTGGGCTTGCTCGTCATAGATGCTTGGACAATGACATTCCTTTCCTACTCTCATTCCTCATTATTGATTTGAGAAGCACAACAAAGACGTTGATTGCTTGTGGACGATTTATCTGCTGCTGAGTTGTATGTTTTGGGTCTCCCAACTCGGTTGAAACTCCAGGCAGTGGCTTGCCCAACACGACCTGTGCCCCAATCCACTTGACCGCACGTTGGCGAGGTGGAAGCTTCATGTCAAGATCTGTCGATCACACAATGCAATTTCGTCGTCGAAGAATATTGTGTTGAGGCATCGGCTAAGCCTCGGGCATGGCCGAGCACCGGACAGCCTTTTACGCGAACACTGCAAGGCCTGGCAATACAGTCGTGACTCCGTAGAACGGGGGCCCGAATGCCCTATGTGGTGTAATTTTCTGTTCTCTCGCTACTTTGAATATGCCTTACACCATTGAAGATGTAGAGAATAGTATCGGAGACCCTGAAAGTAGCTCGTCTCAAACATGGGCTCGGTAGCTCATCCGTGATACCACCCGAACCTTAAGAAGCGCCATGGTTCTTTTCAACGGGATGAAAGCCGGCAGACTGATCAGACCCGTGAATCCGGGGCGCCGAGGATGCGCTCAAGGCACCCTCCATTTCGGTTTCGCAAATGCTCCAGGCATATTACACTCGATGTGGTGAGCACATATGCAAACCGAAATACGGTGTAAAACTTTATGCATAATTACCTTCCTCCGGATGCATTGTCTTCATCGGGTAGGTTTCCCTCACATGCAATTCTTTTGCCATCTTTGATTTTTTTCTCTGGGGATTTGGCCCAACAAATCTACTTCAATTTTACTTCGAACGGAATCTTACGATAGCATGAAATACACTGTTGTCCTCCGTCACGACCGGATCGTTTTCATGCCGGGCATTGAGTGCGACAGAGAGCATAAAATGTCTTTTGATGCGTAATTATGCTGCTTTACATAGCTATGTTGGAATATGTGATGAGTGTCCGGATGCTGTGAGAATGACATTTTTGCTCGTTTGAAAAGTCACTCTCTATGCTGGCAATGTGAAGCTGTAGTACTCCACAATCTGATGTTGCTGGTTGATAGTGATACGTTGCGCAGCTGCACTCACAAGTCAGTTGGGATACTCAAGGATAGGTACAGGTATCACCAAGGGGTATCCAGGGGATGATTCGGTGTGCCCGTTGCCTTTCTTCGTCTCATCCGAACATGCTCATGATAGTCACATGAGCACAAGGTAGTCATAGAAACCGCGCGCCCAGGGCGGTGGAAGGAGTATTGCCAAGGCCCGGATCGACGAGAAGCCTGAGTTGCTCGACTAGTCCGGCCTGTCCGACGGGAGTGATCGCTCTCGTCCAAACTCCTGGTAAGCCTCCCGCCAAAGCTGTGCAGCATTTCCCGGGCGTCGCGGAAGTCCGTCAGTCCAGACCACGATGAACCTTACTTCATTTTCGCATACTCAAGTACACGAATTTGAGGCAGGCCTCAGAGACTCTTTTGAGTCTTCGAAACTGAAAACGTGAGAAGCCTGACTCTGCGTTCGGGAGCCCCTGCATTGACCAGCTCGTCTCATCACTCGGAATAACCTCAGGCCTGGCGTTTCTGGCCCCATGATTCCAGACCCAAATTGGGCGCGCATTCGCAACCTTATTTTTCGGACCTCGACATCCTCAACCCGCAGGGCATAGGGCTGCGACCATCTAGAGCGGCGATTGGCTTTCAGGCCGCAGGTCCCGAACGCGCCCACTCTCCCGGGTCATCCAGTCGCATTACATCGGATCAACCTGCCGTTGATGCCTCTATCAGTGATGTACATTTGATCTATCTCCAAAGATTTCCACGGAGGGATTGGACGATTTCGGTGTTCTTCTCACAGAACCTCGACTCAGCGACCTGTCTCATGATGGCATTCTGGAGTCCACCCCTGGGCAGCCCAATTAGACTATCTCAAACAGCCAAGCCTCACAAGACTGTCCATAGCTCTGGATAAGTGAGTGTGGAGAACGACGGTGAGGCTGAACTATGTCGACACACCTCGAACCCTGGACCATGCCTTCCATGTGCGGCCGGCTGAGAATGCCTGAACTACGATTTTCAGATTGCCTGACAGTTATCTTGGCATCTTCAACGAAGCACCCCTTCGGCCCCTGAGTACTGATTCGGTAGTTATCAGACGTCACTTCAGACAACGACGAAACCACGTCTTGAAGTCACTATCGACTTCCTCATCCGGACTTGTGCGTGCACTGCGGATAGAGTTCACGACTTAGGATGGCATATGTAGAGATCACATAGACCGACGGCAAATTGGGGCAAGTCACAGTTTTTGTATATAAGACAGCAGCCTCAAGCCACCAAGATGAGACTATATTACTCTTTCCATCATCATCAACATCATCATCGGCTTCATCTTACATTCTTTCCGAGTGCAGGCACATACATTCTTTTCTGAACTATTCGATATTTGCTTCTCGATTGGACGATCTTTTCTGTTTAATTGATATTATCTTCGACCTTCCTTTGACAAGATGAAGACCACTGCAATTATCTACGCATTCTTGGCCATCACGGCCAATGCTGGTCCCCTCGGCAGGCGCCAGGCTGCTGGAGGTACGTGAATGTCACCGGATATTGAGCTCAATTCAAGTTCGGGTCGTCCTGAACTGTGCCTGCCCTGCACCATGTCTAGGGATCAAGCGATGGTCTATATCTGTGGAATTCCTAGTCTGACATATGATATAGGCAACCTGCAGACCTTCACTGGCAATGTGGGAGGATCGACCGCCCCTGCTGTAAGCTACTTACCAATTTCTTGAATTGAGACAATTACCACCGAGCCATGCCGTTCTTTTCGCACATGCTGACTTCCCATCTTTCAGGTCACCAACGTAGGCGGTGACAGGGCCTTCCGGGTCGACGGCGTCGAGGACACATTCAAAGCCGCCGCGGGCGCTCTTGACCGCTCGTGCTCCATCCAGAAGAACGCCTGCGCCGAGGCGGCCAACTCGGGCGCTGCCGACATTGCCGTCTCGGACTGCGACGCCCAGCGCCAGGAGTGCTCCCAGGCTGCTCAGACTGCCGCCGCGGCTTCTCAGGACGCCCAGGCCGGCGCTGGGGCCGCTGACAACAAGAACAACGATGGTGCAGCTGCCGCTGGCGATGCTAATGCCGATGTCAATGCCGATGGACAGGCCGCCAAGGATGGCAAGGCACAGCAGGGAGGCCAGAACAACAACGCTGGAGCCAACCAAGACAACGAGGCTGCTAACGCTGCTGACGGCAACGCCAAGGGAAACAATGATCAGAACGCTGGCCAAGACAATGCAGCAGACGGTCAAGCAGCGGCCGAGTGCAACGCAGCTGCCGGACAGGCAGCAGGACAGGCAGCAGGACAAGAGAATGCCGCAGCTGAAGGCGCCGCAGCAGGAGCTGCCGCTGGTGGCGCGGCCGCAGGCGCAGTTGTGCTCCCCGACGGCCGTATCAAGCAGGACGCCGTCCCGGAGGACTTCAACGTGCTCGCGAGCCCGTTCAAGTCGGCGGTGGTCAAGGGCGACGGGCTGAACTTCAGCGACGTGATCACGTTCCCGGACATCCAGCCGTCGCTGTTCGACGCGGCGGGCAACACCAAGGCGTTCGAGATCAACATCAACGACCAGTCCATCTTCGTGCCCGAGGGCCAGGCCCCCCAGGACCAGTTCCGGCGCGCGGACCTGCTGCCCAGCATCGCGTCGACGCTCAACAACGTCTCCACCACGGGCAAGAAGACGATGCACTTCTCAGTCCAGCAGGACGCGGCCAAGCCGCTCGCCCTCACCACCAACGAGTACCAGGTTGCCTTCCTCGAGACGGCTGACTTCGAGAGTCGCATCTTTGACGTCCGCGTCGGCACCGGCACCACAAGCCCCAGCCTGACGGGCGGCAACATCGTCGTCCTGGGCCGTTCTGGAGATGCAATCCAGGAGATGTTCGTCGCTCCCTTCTCGGCCGACCTGCAGAACTTCGCCGTGACCCTGGACTTTGACCAAAAGTAAGTCGACCCGACTTTCCCTTTCCCAACCACACGTGTTATGGGCGGGAGCATATCGTGAGACACAGGGCTAACATACCTGCCACAGCACCATGCAGGTCTTCCACAGCACCGGCCAGACCCCTCTCGCCCAGGTTTCAGAGGCCGTCGCCAACGACAACTCGGGCAACGGCGAGTACCACTTTGCGGTGCTCAAGCTGGCCGACGCGCAGGGCCAGCAGGCCGCCAACATCGACGAGGGCCTGGCCTTCGCCGGGATCTTCATGGAGGACTCGGCCGACGGCACTGTCACGCTGCAGTAAATGTGAGTGGGTCAGAGGCGATTTGCTGCAAGGTCATGCAAGACACTCTTGGATCAGGGCAGGGTCAGGGAACACTTGGGTTAAAATCTCTTGCTGGTTTTAGATTCACTACGTAGGCAAAGGAGAACACGAGAGTGAGACCCACCTGTCGATGAAATCTATGACTCTCAACGCCTTGCTTAAAGCAGTGTGTATCAATGATACCCTCCGGCATTGGATTGTCGAGAATCCAATAGAGCGCGCTCTTGTACAGCGTTTGGGCGGGCAAGGAGAATCTTCGGTAAATCTGAAATGCCCTAATTCAATGGCATTTATATTTCGTCTGGCAATGCGCTCCAAATCAAGATGTATCTTTTGACTTTCAGGTCGTCATTCGTTCTTAAGTTTTGCTTGTCCCCTTGTCGTATTCACATTTCCCGGCGGGAATGGCCAGGCGGTCGTAATTTTTTTCTTTTTTCATTATTTTGTTTTGTTCGAGGGGGACTGTTATTGTCTTCCTTGTTGTCTTTTCTTGTTTGCCTCAATTGCACACCCATCCCTGTTTGCCTTTTCCTCCTGGAGGCTCTTCAATTTTGATCAATTCGTTTTCGGCGGCTTTTTTCCCCCCATCCTTTCCTCGTCTTTTGCCCTTCTTTCTTCTTTTCGATTGTTCTCTGTGCTCCGTTTCTTTTTGACACTACCGCTGCGGCGGTTTAGGACTGTCGCCGTCACTCAGTCCCGCGTACCCGAGTCGAAAGTGACTCCGGCAGAAGTGAGAGGTTCTCGAAGGCCTCTAGAGACGAAATTATTGTTCCCGGCGCTCCCCGTACCCGCACCAGAACTTCGCCCTCTGCTCCATAGAGAAGGTCACCTTGCTCAGGACGACGGATTGCCTCGCAAAATATTGGAACTCGTCCTGCAGGGTCCTACGGGCTCATATCTAGGGGTAGAACATTCCAATGATCTACGCCTTTTTGCTTTCCATCCAGGTTCTCTAGAGGCAAGAACATAGTGCGTCATGTCCCGACCGCTCGAGCCAAGAACGGTTCAGAGGAGCCTATGACAAGGCTCAAGGTTTTATAGCCTGTTTTATAAGACCTAGTCACTTGACTTGCACTAACAAGCAAAAGACCCCCAAACAAGACCGATAGCAGTTCAGCTAAACTAGCGTTCTAGAAGAAGAGCCATCTTTGACACACTCAGGTCCATAGATGCCAGTGATTGCTGGGCATGTCAAATGTCTAAAAGTCTCAGGAAGATGAGTTTGTGCTTGCCCAAGGAGTCTAGCCCATGTCGGCTTCTAAGCAAGAATATGTAAATATATATGAGATATTGCCCCTACTTAACCGCGTGACAGAAACTTCGATCCAGCACGGTTGCAATAGTGCGGGATGCGGAGCACCCCATGAGAAGCTCTAATTGACTCCATCAACCCTCTTTGGTTTTGAAGCGGTCCAAGTATTTAGACTGGCTTCACGGCAACCATTGATAAGAAGCTATCTCAGGCACACTGATCGATGTGCGCTAGGAGACAAGTCCGTCTGCGTACGGATTCTTTCTATGTTTGCCTTTCCAACAAGCTCACTCAATTTGCACAACAGTATTATCGACATCAATGCTGTGTAACCATACTGAGGATTTAGAACATTGTTCTATACAATTCGTGGCATGAAGAATGTCTCATAGACAAAGGCAGCTCGCCTTTGGTTTGCACTACCCTTCCACCAGCCAAAGGTGTTGCTCTTGTCGCAGGTGCCGGGCGTGCGCATATACCTAGGCTCATGCCGTGGCACCCAGAGCAGAGCCGCAACGGCAAGGAGGTGTATGACAAATGAGGACAGCGTCACTAGGTTGTGAAAGTATGAGACACAAGAGGAACCGTTGCTCAAGCGTGATTGTTGTGGCGTGCCACAGAATCTGTGCCGATGAGGCGTGGGTGGTTGGAGAACGAGGTCGCAGTGCATCTACTCAAATAACAGGAAGACAAGTGCAAGTAGCGGCACTTACGATAACGCTCAATTTCTTCAAAATAACAATCAAATAATTGTTATGGGACATTTACCGGTGCACGTAACGCAGAAGACCTCAAATAAGGCTGCTAGCCTGAATGTTTCTTTGCAAGATGTCTTCGAAGCTCGCACTACACAATTGTCTCCGGATGAGACCCGCATGTCTGCAGACATATAGGAAGGCTGCCCTTAGATAGTATGTGCTCGCGAGAAAAAGGGCATCTGGAGCTTGAGAGTGTTTTTCTGGGCCGTGCTACTTAGTCACCATGTCAAAACGGTCAGGATTCGAAGAGTGGCTTTCACTTTTTGAGGCCTCGCATGATTTGACTCCAGCAATGGTGCAAGCGGTTTCCGTTTGTGAGGACGGTGGTGAGCTAATACGTCACTTAAATACTGGGACACAGCCACCCCGAGCCGAATGCTGGTCCCAGGCCGCTTTGATGTTTGAATTTCGAGGATGGGGCCGATTTAATCTTGGCGCAGCCAGGGTGAGTTTAGGTCCAGAGGCTCAAGTGATGTGATGCCATGCCATGCAAATGCATCAGATGCTGTGCAGTGCTGTCGACTATGCGCGCTGGAAAGAAAGTGCTACAGAGCGGATCACGGCCTTCAACCGGTTGTTGTGCCCTGCCTGCGCGGTCCAGGTGGCGTCCTCACCCTCTTATCTCCCTCTCGCCCACCCACGCACCCTCTCCGTCTCTCCCTTTTCCTGCAGGTGGCTGCCGCCGGCACAAAGGAGGAGGGGTTCTCCAGGTTGAGAAGAATCAATCAAAACCGCTCATTATGGATTGGGACAGCGTTAAGGAGCTGCACGTGACAGTTCCAAGGGCGCTAAGAGCCGTTCCAACGTTACTTCAGTGCAAGTGCACCGTTTTTGGCGCCTTCAGGACGGCAGAACCGTCTTTGGGCCCGGTGAGGGGGGCCTCCAGGGGGGTACCCAGGTACCCAAAAGCGCCTACCTCCAGTGGTGTGCCATCTACCTGGGTACCTAGCAGAACGGTGGGTGGTGACACCCCCTCCTGGCCCCTACCACCCATCCCCCTTTCAGGACAGAAGAAAGGCGGATGGAACAAGAGCAAGGCTTCCAGATCAAATGGGGCCGCGATCCAAATCCACAACAAAGTCACGGCCATGACACCTGTGCAGAACCACTATTTCCCACGACCAACAACACTCTGACCACGGCACCGTTTAGTCTACCTACTCCGGTCCACGAGGACGAGCCTGTCTATGCACATCGCACCAGTGTCAGCATAGCATCAAACTCAGCATCATCATCATCAGCAGCAGCAGCAGCATCATCATCAGTAGCAGCAACAACAACACACACCCCCTCGCCTTGTTCTGCTGCCGAACGGGTGGTGGTGAATGAAGACCCCTGGTCCACTCTACCTAGCCCAAGCCCGGAGCCCAAGCCCCTACCGCTTAAATCGTCCATTACGCCCCTCCACTAGAGCCCGAATCCGATGCGACGAGACACGCCGACAGCCCGGCCAGGTCCACTCAATTGTTCTTCTCCTGAATCGTACCCTATCCCGTCGCCTCAATCAGACGGCACTGCACTGCGTTGCCCTGTTCTGCCCTGCTCGTGCCGCTCGTGTTCGTGCCGGCTGGCTCACCTTCGCCCTCGCCCTCGACCTCGACCTTGACCTCGACACCTCTGACCGGCACGTCCGCCTTCCTGTTTGAGAAGTCGCCACCCAGCCCACGAAGGCCTCCGCGACACGCCCTCCCTCAGCCCAGACTGCCGACACCGAACCACCACACGACAACCACACGAGCACCGGCTGGCTTTTGGGATCTGCTGCCTGACGAACGGGCCTGATCGAGGCCTATCCTCGACCCCAGATGATGGTGCGTATCCCCCAGCCTTGAGCACGGCATCAGCCCGCATCGACGGGACGCCATGTTGCCTCACGAGACGGGCCCAAAAGTCCCGCCTCGGATGACGGGACAGGCAGTCCGCCGAACCTACGACTGCTCGGACGAGACGTCCACACTTGTTACCCCAAGGGCCCAGCTGACTGACACATGTTGCTCACCCGCGCAGACCTCATCTAGGCCCCGCGAAGTTGGCGCCAGCTTTGCAGCACGACGTGGACATGCCAACACTCTTTCGATATCTGACCCGAGCCACCACGTCACCGAGGCAATAGGCACCCTGTACGGCTCAGACGATGAATCCGACGTCGAGACCCGGGATCACCGCAAGAGCCGCCCCTTGAGCTTCCTCTCATATGGAGATGAACAGCTGCCGGGTGCCGCCAAGAACGCGGGCGGCGCCCAGGACTCGAGACAGCCGCTGCAACGATCCATCTCGGACAACACGCACGTGGGCTCTCACGATGGCAGCCCGACTCCAACCCTGTCCCAGCTCACAATGCCGGTTGGGCGAAGTCCACCGCACGAGAACGGCCCTCCGTCGCCGGGCGGTACCATGTCTCCCATGTCTCCCACGCCGTCCTTGCGGGATATGCAGGCAGCCGAGTCCTCTATGCCTATGACCAACATCGATAATCCAAACGACATCGCCCAGGAGCTCAGCAATTTGCAGGCGTTGCGCCGCATGTCTATGGACGTGGGACACTCGAGTGACCCCGACCTAATGCCATTCCAGGGCATAGTTCCCATCCCTGCCATAGCGCCGACCGGTGACGATGACGAAGCCGATCCGTCAAGGCTGCTCTGGGTTCCCGCCAACGTGCACCCGGAGCTGGCGCCAGACCAGTTCAAGAACTTCCTGGAGAGGAGGGTCAACTCCATGAAGAGGAGATCTGGGGAATCCATCATGGCGTCGGGGGAGGGCGGCCTGCAGCGGAACAATTCGTCGAGCTTGAGGCGGACCAAATCTAAGCTGTCCAGGCAGATCGACAATTCTGGTGGTCGCGGAGGCGAGGGCTATGTGGATGGGTCTGAAAGGCTCGTACGGCAAAGATCGGTCGAAGGCTACGCCACGCCGGAACTGAGCCTGGACGAGCTTGTCAGTGATCCTGCGGCAGCTGTGCAGAAACTGGCACAGGAAGCGGCCGAGGGGACAGGGCCCGGTGACATGCCCATCTTGCCAGTCGCGCCTGGGATGGGACTACGACGCTCGACCCGGACACAATATCGGAAAAGTGGCAGCATGCGCAATGATCGCGCGCCTTTTTCAAAACGCATAGCCCACAGACAGGCAGACAGCCAGGACGAAGCTCTGCCGCCAATGCCCAAGGTCGATGCACCCCCCGGCCATGGCCTTTCCCGCGTACAGTCCGAGCCTCCGAGGACGGAGAACTTCTCAAGACCACAGAGGTCTGTTAAGCGACAGCAAGGCTTCACAAGAGAAGCAGCGTCCCCGATCGAACCACCGACAGAGCAGTCCTTCGACGACGACTCATACCAGGCTCACGGCAGAAGCTTTTCCGAGCAGTCAGAGGTGCCGGAGATTGTTGAGACACCGCCCCCGGCAGAGCAGCCAGAACTATCAAGCCAATTCCCAGAGAGGTCCTCTTCCCAAAAGAACCAGGCCCAGCACTCTCAGGACCAGCCACCCTCACCACAGCAGCAGCATCCCCAAGACAGGGTTGGAGAGCAGCAGACGAGCCGTGCCAACAGACAAGCACCGCCTGGCCGACAGGGCATGACGCCTATCTCTCTCGATAACGTGCCCGGGCCGACCCAGACGATGAACGATATTACGAACCATCCCTCTGCAATTCCCGGACCTAGTGGGACCCGGACTGACAACCTCACCTTTATACCGACCTTTTCCGACTCTGAAAAGAAGAAAAATAAGGACAGCGATAGCGAGTCGACTAAGTCAAGTAAGGGCTGGAAGTGGTTCAAGAGCGAGGATAAGCAGAAGAAGGAAAAGGAAAAGGAACGGGAAGAACAGGCAAAGAAATCCAAGGCCAAGGCAGCAGCCGAGAAGCCGCACGAGAACGCTCGCCTGGATGTCCTCCAAAGTTCGATCGAGAACGTAGTCACCAAGGGCCGGGAGAGTCTGCTCCTGGACCGGGACACTATCGATAACAAACTGCAAGAGGAGCGCAAGAAGGAAAGCAGCCGCAAGTCCTCTGACGGAAGGAAGGACAAGGACGGATTCTTTGGATCCATCTTTGGTGGCAAGAAGAAGTCAGACAAGGACACTCCAAGCAAAAAGCACCAGCAGCGCGCACTTTCACCCGAACCACCCCCAAGAGTGCTGAAGCCCGACGTCGATTACCCCTACACGCGATTTCCCATACTCGAGGAGCGAGCCATCTACCGCATGGCGCACATCAAACTTGCTAACCCCAAGCGAAATTTGCTCTCCCAGGTGCTGCTCAGCAACTTTATGTATTCTTATCTGGCTAAGATCCAGGCCATGCACCCTCAGATCCAAGTGCCTGCGTCGCCGCAGCAAAAGCGCCAGGAAGAGGAGAGGCGTCGCAAGGAGCAGGAGGCCCAGCAGCAGGCATACATGGAGCAGCAAATGTCGCAGCAATCGGCCCAGAACAGCATCGACCAGTACAACTTTGAGTACCACCGGGTAGGCACCTCGCGCACAGCCGTGCAGTTTACGAATATCGGAAATACCATCTGCTAACACGCTGCACAGTCTTCCAACCAGTATGGCGACTCAGAGAACGATTACGTCGATGAAAACCAAGAGCCGTACGACTATGAGCAGGGTCGCGGCCAGGGCTACGATGGCCAGGGCCAGAATGGCGGCTATGGGTATGGGCACGATGCTTACGGGCAGCAACAACAGCAGTATTATGATGGCCATGATCCGCAACGGCGCCAGGACGACAACGATATGTGGTGACCTGGTCGGGATCGTACTTCTGAAAGCCTCTCATGTGCTGCCCCAATGTGTACGGAGCGGAGAGGATTTGCGCTTTCAGTCGACGGGGAGGGCGCCGTGGGGAAAAACAAATACTGCCATATAAAAAAAATAATATCTGCATATGAGCACGGAGTTTGTGGGATGCGTGTGACTGGCCTGGCTGCTGGGATGGAAACTGGGAGGCCGCGCTTCATTTGCAATCCCTACATGTTCCTTTATTTTTTCTTCATCACATCTGTATACCACATCACATACATGCATAAACGCAGGGCCTCGTGAGGGTCACAATAGTCGAATCAAGCAGAACATGATTACGGGACGAGCAACATCGTGGGCAGCATCGTTTCTCGTGGTTATTGGGGGAGGGACCTATTTTCCGCGCTGCTCAAAGAAGGCAGGGTTCAGCTGATTTCAAGCTCTGAGGGTGGTTCTCATTGCTGTGCGTGGCTATATGCGTACCATGAAAAGCGCAGGCAACAAGAGAGCCGATGAGCATTGAACGCTATCTCTGGTGAAGCTCTATTCTCGCAGCCTCGCAGCTGAAGAGCATGCTTACAAGCACAATAACAGACCCACCGGCAGTACGCTTCACGTTCCCAGTGCGGTTACTGAATCTTGGCGCGAATTTTGCCAACCCCGGACAACTATGATCCTTCGTGAACCTACCGGAGGTAGGGGTGGTTGGGTCGGACAGGACTTCGGGGATATATTCCCCCTGTGGGAAAGGCTGGGCTTTTCGTCACCTCATAGTAGCATGACCGCAGCTGAATGCTTGATTTTATGGTAGAGACTAGTAGTCACCTGGATCCAGCCAGAATCTGGGCAGGGGCCGGATTGGGGTTGTAATATCGGCTGGTTCAGTGCTGCTTATGGGGCGCCACTCACTCCATGTCGTTTTGGTAAGTAAGCTCTAGGCTGCCCCCGGTGACAGCCTACGTGATGGGAAGATGCAGCCGAGCTGTCTAATGTGTATGAAAGGGGTGGTTGATGTGTCCGGGGTAAAGCAGACTACATTAGCATGTAATAACGGCGAGGCAACCCAGCTTACTGGTAAAGACATGCCATGCTCTTTGGGCCTCTCATTCTCTGTAAGAAGACAATAGCCCAAGGACTGCCTATAGCTACGCACCACGATGGCGCTCACCAACAGCACGTGGACCTTCACGCCCATCGTCGAGGCGTTCCCTCAGACGGTGCTGCCCAACGTCGCCTACTGGAATGTCACGAACGGGGCGGACCTGGCGTACCAGGTCTCGCTCTCGTGGCCCTTGGACTGGCCCGCGTCGCGCGAGGTGGAGAACAAGACAGCTCTCACCATGTACGTGTGATCGCGGGGGACACTTGCCTTTAAAGACTCGTCCCACTATGTGCTGACATGCTCACCACGCAAACAGGTACGTCCTCGACGGCAACGCCTTGGGCATGACGGCAACAGAGGCCTGGCGGCGGCGCGACGCGGTGGAGACAGCCCAGCCGGACTACATCGTGGTGAGCATCGGGTACCCGGTGGCGGACAGCGTCTACGGCTCCCAGCGCAGCATCGACTTCCAGCCGGTGACGCCCGGCGAGGACCCGCCGGCCGTGCCCGGGGTGCGCGAGGGCGCGGACGACTTCATCGCGTTCATCGAGGGCACGCTGCGGCCGTTCGTGCGGGACCAGGCGTTTGCCCCCGGCCCAGCAGGCGGCGGCATTGAGTTTGGGCGCGAGGCGCTGTACGGACACTCGTTCGGGGGGCTGTTTGTCGTGTACGCCTTGCTGCGGCGGCCGGACCTGGTCGACACGTTCCTCGCGGCCAGCCCGGCGCTGTTCTGGAATGGGCACTACATTCTCAACCACACTGGGTGGCTCGACGAGGCGCCGGCGGCGCCAGGGGATGGCCCTGCGTTCAGGCTTGCGTACGGGTCCCTGGAGCAGGACGCGGTGCGGCGGCGGACGGAGACGCAGGAGGAGTTTGAGGCGCGGGTCGCGCTGCTCCAGAGCTTTGGGCTGCTGCACATGGGGGAGGAGTGCGCCGAGCTGATCGGGAAGATCGGCTCGAACGATAGGCTGAGGGATGCGGAGCTCAAGGTCTATGAGGGGAGTGATCACGCTTCCGTGGGCGCGGTGGCGCTGACGGATGGGCTGGATTATTTTATCGACTGGTGATATGAGATGGTATATAATTTCATCTGAGCCACCTGCCTCGAGGCTCACTCACCTCCTGAGCCGACTCACATATCTGTCTCAGTACTGTAGCTCATAGTCCAACCTTGAAGTACCAGAGTACCCCCACCCCAGCCTAGGAGAGTGACCTAGCGCTAGGCCGCAATGGGCAAGGAGTTGTTGCTTCGCTGGCAGGCCGAAAGTTTGGAAGGAAGGAGCACGAGCAGGAGCAGGAGCTCCAGTGGGCCTGGGGTGAGTGACACTAACAGCGGCACCAGGGAGAAGTGCGTACGGCACGATACGGTCGTTACGGCAGGATACAACGCTGGATGGTGACTGGCCGTCGCGACCTTCAGACCTTGGGCCCAGGCTAGGCTGCCCGTGTGCTGCGTGCACGTCGTGTCTAGATCTAGTCCATGTAGGCAAAGGCGAGAAATCAAAACCTCTCCTCGCCAGTTTGACCCTCGCTGCCGCACCCGTCGTCGCGCAGTTTTGTATCAAACGCCCATCTTCTGACGTTTTCTTTTGATACCCCCTTGTAGTCCTTTTCCCTCCTTGTTGAATATCAACTGTCGCTCTTGTCGATTGACGGGAATCTCGACGATAGGAACAACAGCAGCACCCGACTGCATCGACCGCACCGCAGCCTCAGCCTCAGCTTCTGCTTCCGCTCCTGCTCCTGCTGTCCACCGGTCCCACACTTTTTCCTCCTCCCCAGCAACGCAGCACGCTTCGTCGCGACATCTGGACCCACGACCGTCGACACCACAGCACTGCACCGCACCGCACAGCACCGACCCAACGCCCAACGGCACGCTCTGCACAGCTCAGCACCGCACGCCCAAAAGGTCCCACGCCACGGTCCACGGTCCACGGCCCACGGTCCAAGCTCGACATCGACGGCCATCTCTGTCTGTCTGCATCGACCTCAGATACATACAGCACACCCTCGATCCACGTCCTCAAACCCCCCATCCCAATCTGCCTCCCTGCCGTCTACCAGTCACATTAGAATGGCCAATGTGAGCTCGCCCCTGCAACTGCAATTCTGATCTGTTTGCCCGTCGCGATTGTTCTGCACACGACCCCGATATCATACAAATCCATAACCATACCTGCCATCTATCCTCGTCTCGTTCGCCTTGCTCCTTGCGGATGCTTTGATTTTTGGACCTTGTCCGTCCACACATCTGTCTCCCCTCCGTCACCCAACCCACCCCCACCTCCATCCTGAGCTTGCTTGACTTTGCTTCTACCTTTTTCTGCTTCCTGCCTCTGCCCTGCCTGTCCTCTTGTGTTGTCAGGTCAAGATGCCTTCGGCCGCGCCCCCAGCTATTCCCCCTGGTGCATGGCGAAAGCCCCTTCCCTCAGCCAGCAGCTCACAACCTGTCCAGCAACCTCCCCGCCACCCCTACAACAACCCCGGTGGCTACGGCCTTGCCAACGGTGCCCCCGGTGGCGCTCCCCAGGCCGTGCCAGCTCCTGGTGCCACCCCCCTCCTTCCAAACCAGGGCCGCATCCTCCAGTCTGGCCCCATCCGAGTTCTCTGTGTCGCCGATGTTCGAGGTAAGCATGCAAATCCATATCCACCTCCCCCGGCCTATCACATGCAGGCTGACTCAAATTCTCGACAGGTAACCTGCGATCCCTGAACGATCTTGCGAAGAAGGCGGGTGCCGACTACATTATTCACACTGGTGATTTTGGTTTCTACGATGATTCTTCGTTGGAGCGCATTGCTGAGAAGTGAGTGAGACGTGCCTGGGAGGCGCATATTGTTTTGGCGCATGGCGCATTGCTAATGCTGGCATTCAACAGGACCCTCAAGCACGTTGCCCAATACTCTCCACTCATCTCCGAACCCGTGAAGAAGGCTATCGCCCAGGGCGGCCCCGGCTCCGTCAAGGCAAGATTCCCTGCGAACGAGCTGCCGCTGTCTGAGCTTCCCCTCTTCATCACACCGCAGAATGGAGGCAACCCGACTTTCGAGCTGGAGATCCCCGTCTATACCGTCTGGGGTGCCTGTGAGGATGTCCGGGTCTTGGAGAAATTCCGATCCAGGGAGTACAAAGTCAAGAACCTGCACATCATCGACGAGGCCCAGTCCATGCTGCTCGAGGTCGGCGGAGTCAAGCTGCGGCTGCTCGGCCTTGGTGGAGCTGTCGTCATGCACAAGCTGTTTGACAATGGAGAGGGCAGGACGACCATCGCAGGCGGCCAGGGTACTATGTGGACAACGTTGCTGCAGATGGGCGAGCTAGTCGACACGGCCAACCGAGTCTACGATCCTACCGAAACCCGCATCTTCGTCACGCACGCTTCGCCCGCACGCGAGGGTATTCTGAACCAGTTGTCGGTGACCTTGAAGGCAGATTTCTCCATATCTGCTGGTTTGCACTTTCGGTATGGCAGTTCGTACAACGAATTCAGCGTCAACCCAACCCTGGATCACTACCGCGGAAAGCTGGCGGCGAGCAAGGCTTCCTTCAACGATGTCTGGGAGACCGTCAAAAACGAGGTCGAGCCTGCCATCCAGGCCAACGAGGCCCAACAGAACCTGCTGAAGAACGCACTCGGAGTGGTCGAGAAGATGCCTACCCAGGCTGCCGGCGGAAACCCCTTCGGAAATGCCGGAGGTCCTGCCACCTTGGGCCAGGTGGACGAGAGCGCATTCAAGAACATGTGGAACTTCAACCTTGCGGATGCCGCCTTTGGTTGGCTCGTGCTAGAAGTGCACGACGGCCGCATTGGAACAGAGATGAAGGCTCAAGGCTTCAACTTTAGTCACCGTGGAGCAAAGCAACAACCTACAGTCCCCTCTGCTGCCCCATCTGTCGTCGGCGCTGCACCACCATCCGCACCCGCCGCCCAAGCACCAGCGCCTGCACCGCAGAGACAGCCCTCGCAACCTCAAGCGAAGCCTTCCCCCGTTCCAGCCCAAGCGAAACCTGCGACACCTGCACCTGACACGGTGCCCAGCAAGGAAAACGAGAAGCCTGCAGGTGCAAACGGCCACGCTCCCGAGTCCGCGCCATCCCCTGCACCAAAGAGGGATGAGATTATCGGTCTGTTTGTCATGAACGCAACATCAGACGAGGAGCTGCGCAAGCTTTTCGCCGAGGAAGACCAGCCCAAGATCTCCGAGATCACTAAGTGGGGTCAGATGAACAGGGTCGTCCAGTTCAAGACAACCGAGGACCGCGACGGAGCCCTAGAGCGACTAGCCGATGAGTTCAAGACGCGATCGCAGGAAGACCGATCGAAGCCTCTCATCAAGCTCTTTGAGCGACGCGAGACCGGTGGAGGTCGAAACTTCACGAACCGCGGCGCAGGCACCTGGGGCAGCAGCCGTGGCGCCTCTAGCACGGGCGGACCTCGGAGCGGATACCAAAGCAGCGGCGCCGGCGGCACGGCCTCTGATAGCGAAGGTGGAGCCGGACGTCGTGGCGGACGCGGTGGTCGTGGAGGCCGGGGAGACCGAGGTGGCCGTGGGGGCAGGGGAAGGGGCGGTCTGAAGGGTGAGGGCGGTGGCAATGGCTCGCCTGCGCCTGCGGCGGCCACGCCTGCTGAGTCGTAGGACTTCTCCCAGACAACAGAGTCTCAAGCTAAGAAGAGACAACGGCTGCGTTGAGGCGTTGCATGGAGCTCGGAGCCCAAAGGGGGCCCATCGAGCTGGCTGCTTCTTCTACTGGAGGGATGGAACGGCGAAGGAACTAATCTTCTTTTGCGAACCTTCGGCCTTACTACCTTGCTACCACACTGTCACATTATTTGCGGCCTTTGACTTGAAGAAAAAAAAAACATTTTTTGACACACCACGCCACATGGCTGTCTGCACATCACATTCCATAGGTTAGGTTTAGGTTGACCTTTTTGACATTTTCACGAAGAGAGTGAGTGAGAGAAAGAGAGAGTCAGACAGACGCAGGAAAGAGAAAAGCACGATGTTCTAATTCCTTTCTTTCTGCTCTGTATTATGTTTATGCTCTTCGGAATCATTGTCTCTGTCTTGTTGTCTTCTTCGGTGTACCTTCCATGTTTTGATAAGTCTGGTCTTGCCTATCTGCCTTTCTGCTCTTGGACTCGTCCCCCACTTTACTGTACCATACATCCATCATACCCTAGGTATTTGTTGAGGCTTTGGAGTCATAGAGGGGTGGAAGGTGGGAAGGGTTGGTAAGTGGTCAGCATGGGATGGGGTGGGATGAAAAGGAAGGGAGGGGGGAGATGAGAGGGCAATTTGAGATATTATGGACGGTGTCTGCCTTGGTTCCACGTTCATGCCGCACCGTCTTGCTATGGTACTCTCGTAAGCATCCGCGTGATTTGATGTGTTTTTGTGCGTTTGCGGTGTTCTCGGAATACTGTGATGAGTAGTTAGTTAGTCAAGGTGAGGAGGAAGGGTTTGCGGAGAGGCAAGTCCGCTTGAGCTGGGCACAGAGATACCGTTCATATATAAACACGCTTCTATTCAGTTCCCTTGCGTCTTCTCATCTTCGTGGGGTGCCACTTCGATGTGCTATACCATTCATTGCCCGCCAGCCTCTTCGCGCATCTTCTACCTCTAACAGTAGTAGTCGGCCTTCTGGGTGATCTACGTATTTATCTACATCCCTTCGGACACCAATGAAGGCATAGACTGCTCGCCGTTTAAAAGTTTGCAAAAGACCCTTTCCAAACGTCGCCTGGCATGTTGGTAGTCTTGTCCGTCAGTACAAAACATCGTGGCAGATGAAGATGCGACGGCCACCTCGAATGGCGTCCGCCAGGCTACGTGATTAGACACACAAGGGCCATGCGTTGTGTTCTTTGGAGAGCCTATTGGCATCAAGTAACTGGGAAGTGACAGTCTTCTTGTTCCTTCCGCCATCTGCTAATGCGGAAGAGGTATTGTCATTGTCTGTATTATGTCTTCGGACCACGGAACGTGCCTTGGTGGCGAGTGGCGTGTTTTACAGTATTCTCCTCTATTCAATAACGTACTCCGCATGAATATTCCCTTTGCAATGCAATTGCTCGTCCATCATGAAATGTAATGTACAGGAGAACAGTTGGTCTTGCGCAAAAACGGACAACCGGACGGTGACCTGTCCCACTCGTCGAGCATGAGCACCAACAATGCTAACCACATCAGCCACACACACACAGCAACGGCGGAAACCTGAAATGTTCTCAAAGCTCTCGTCACTCCTTTGGCTTCATGCCCCGGTGTATAGCCGCCACGCCACCCGTGAGGTTCTCATAGCCCTCGCCGCCAACGACGAAGCCGGCGTCGAGGATGAGGTCGCGGAACTCGTCCTGGGAGGGGAAGCGCTCGATGCTCTCGACGAGGTACTGGTACGAGTCCCTGTCGCCGGCAACGAGCTGGCCGATGAGGGGGATGGCGCCGAAGCTCCAGCGGCGGTAGGCGGCGGCGAAGAGCGGGGTCCAGCGGTCGGCCTTGCTGAACTCGAGCACGGCGAGGACGCCGCCCGGCTTGAGCACGCGGTGCGCCTCGCGCAGCGCCGCGGGGATGTTGCTGAAGTTGCGGATGCCGAAGGCCACCGTGTACAGGTCGACGCTCGCGTCCGGGACGCCCGCGGACCGCAGGTCCTCGGCGTTGGCCTCGAGGAAGGACAGGGCCGCCTGCTGGCCTGCTGGCAGCGCCTGCGACCGCTGCTTGCCTACCGCCAGCATGTCTGGGTTGATGTCTGAGATGGTCACGCGGACATTCGGGTTGCGGTTCACCACGTGGGCGTGGTTCAGGTGCCGGAAGGCGATGTCGCCCGTGCCGCCGGCTATGTCGAGGATGTGTTGGGCTGGGGGGTGGGATGGGTCCGAGGAAAATCCGGGGTTGAGGGAAGATACGTAGTGATCTCTGTGAAAAGGCTCGTGTTAGCAACTTCATTAAGGCAGGGTAACGGGAACAGACTCAGCGGCTCAGGTTGGGCTTCAGGGAACGGGCGGACGAACTTCCATACGCGATGCCAGCCGAAGGACATCAAGTCGTTCATGCGGTCGTACGACTCTGCGACACTGCTGAACACGTCGGCAACGCGCTTTCTCTTCTCTGCCTCTGTGACCGTCTCAAACCCAAAATGGCTTGGGCGGTTGGACGTATCACTCGGGGCTGCATCTCGGGCTGAAGTAGTCGTGGAGAATGGTCGTGATGATGTTGATATTATGGCAGGGCCGGAACGTAAATTTCGCAGACATGATCGTACAGTATTAGCACCCAGACCCAGAACGGGTCTCGGAGCAGCCATCGCGAGGGAAATTGGCTGCCTTCAGAGAAGAATGAGAGGCAGGTAGGTCTGTGAGGTCGTCCCAAGAGAAAGGTTAGCCGATGTCCAAGGCTGAGGAAGATTTTCGGGGTCGACAGTGGCTGTGCCAGCTTCTCGTCCGCTCGGAACGCTTGCCGAGCTCAGCCTTGCCAGCGGTGGGGCTGCTCATGCACGTCATCGCCTGGCGTGCCTGGAAGCTCCACGCCGAATCGGCACCGAGCCCAAATGTTTCTGTTTCATGGGATTCATGATGCAGTTGATGTGGGAGTTTTGATTTGACGCCAGGTCGTATACGTACCTTAGACCGCGTTTCCACGTTCAGCCTGCTTGGCCTGGACCATGGCAGTTGTGAAAGCCTTGATCCACTTGCGCCCAAAGTATGCGCCGATGCCGATCACGAGGAAGAGCAGGAAGAGCGTGAGGATGATGGCCAGGTTGTCGTCAGGCATGTTTGACAGCGTGGATAAATGCTAGATGGGATGATCTGCTTCGATATGCTGTGTTGCGACCTGTATTGCTGAGCTCGGCGAGGTGGTTCTGTCAATTTTGTCTGGTGACGACCTCCGAAGCCTGGGCGTTGCAGTGTTGTCCAAGGCAGTCGAAATCAACAATCAGTCTCACAGGCAATCGCACACTAGGTGCCCACCCCGTAGGCCGCGTTGTTACTGCCCTCCACTGCAAACACAGCCATTTGCAAAAGTGAATCTGTTCTCCGCTCTATGATTTTAAAGTCTCTTTACCCCCTTCGAACTCTCCTACATCGTATTCATCCGGGTACTTGTCGAGGTGCTCCTTCAGCTCACTCATCTGCTTCTTCAGATCTGGTGTCAGCTCCTCATATACATCCTCGAATATCGCCCGAATCGGCGGCTTCTTCTCTTTCTCTGCCTCCTGGAACGCCTTCAGCAATTCCCTCCTCGTGCTGTCCCGCGCTTCCTTCTCCTTATGCTCGTCCCAAATCCCTTTGGCCTCCATCCACTTTCGCAGCCTCGATATTGGGTTGTCCCTTCTCTTCCAGTCCTCGACCTCCACACGTGCCCTATACGCGAACGAGTCGTCCGACGTGCTGTGGTGGCCCACTCTGTACGTTAGCGCTTCAACGAGCACAGGCTTGCCGCCATCCTGCAGTGTCATTTCCCTTGCCCTCTTGGTGGCCTCGCGGATAGCCCACATATCATTACCGTCAACTCGAATCGTCTCGATACCATAACCTACTCCTCGGCTGGCGATGCCGTCCCCGCGATACTGTTCCAGCGCAGGCGTGGAGATCGAGTAGCCATTGTTCCGGCAGATGAAGACCACCGGACAGGAACGCGTCGCGGCGATGTTGAGAGCCGCATGGAAGTCACCCTCGGAGGCGGCGCCCTCGCCAAAGTAGACTGCGACCACGCGTGGTGGGATGGAAGGGTTTTGGAGCCGCTGCATTTTCAAGGCGTACGCGGCACCTGATGCATGGGGTATCTGTGTTCCAAGGGGCGACGAGATGGTGCTACTCGAGCAGACGTGGTGTTAGTCCGGGACTGAGATTACACTGATGGGAGACAAACGGATGCAAACCACGAAATGACTGGCACAGATAACACGTACAATATTCAGCTCCTTGCTACCGTAGTGTACCGGCATATTGCGCCCCTTTCCAGGGTCCATCTTGTTGGCAAACAACTGGTTCATGAAGTCTTTCGGAGTGAACCCCCTCTGCGCGAAGACACCCTGCTCCCTGTACTGGCAGAATATGACATCCTCCTTGGTCAGCGCCGATGCTGACCCCACGCAGACGGCCTCCTCACCAGCTGATACCATATAAAAGCTGATACGGCCCTGGCGTTGGGAATCGAACATGATGATGTCCATGATCGAAATAAGTAGCATGTTCTTGTACAGCTTGATCACCTCCTCGTCGCCGAGGTCTGGCTTGAAGGATGGATCGACGACGTTGCCGCTCTGGTCGACGGCGCGGTAGGTGGGCATGGCATCGTGGGAGGAGGGCTGCTCGAACTGGAGCTTGGTGGTGAACGCGGACTTGACTGCCCCGGGGAACTGGACGTATCTCGAGTCCGGCCGTTGGGAGAGCGAGGATGCAGAGCGGCGCGTCGATGAGCTGAGGGCGGTGGCCAAGCTACCGTTGAGCGGCAGCGAAGGACGAGCACCACGGAGGGCCGGGGTGAGGTTGGGGGCTCGGATCTTCATCGCGATGCAGCAATTGCGCCTGGGCGGAGACCTGACCTTTATGAGAGGCAAATTCGAGGCTGTAGCTCAGTGCAACGAGAGATTCTTGGGTAGAATCCCATTGCACGGAGGAGGGCAATTCACTTGACTGCCATGTAGGTACCCGCGGCTCAACCCCCTCAGCCAGGGACGGGCGTCATGCTAAACCCGACAGAAGCCGAGCCACCTGGCCCTTGGCCAGATGGAGCTTTGGCTGTAGATCGACAGTAATCCGGAAGATGTCAATGGGCCATGTACAATAAAAGAGAGCATTGTGAGGTTATCACCTCTGCCTGACAAGCAATGAGGCCATCGCGAAGATCAGAATAATAGGATATGCGGGCTGTGGACTAAAGCAGTGGAAACGGGTCACTCAGATCCGATCTCGGACTTGTGGCCCGAGCAACAAGAATAACCGTATCCTTCTAGATACTCCTGTTGCTAGAAGGCTAAATAAGATTTTGCAAAATGACTCTTCAGAGGATATTCGCGACTGCAGTGAAGCTGAAATCTGGGATGGGTCGACTTATTCGCTGTTGACTGAGGTGCAGCACCCGCGACCAATTGTTGACATGCCAGGGTCCTGAGTCTCCACCATTGCTACCTTGGATGCCGTCATCGTCATAGATACGTGGCGGTGCGTGTGAGAGAAAGACTGGAACCAACACAGCAGACAGTGCAAAGAACACTTGTTGGTAGGCGCACACACAGAGAAAAAGATTTGAAAAATCTCTCAAGACAGCAGTTCTGGCTTCATTGGGAAGCCCACTTGCCCGGCAAAGCCTTCAGTCTCGACGTTCAACAAGCTTTGCTCTCATGGAGGCGGGCGGGAGCGGTGGAATGCTACGGTATGGGATCAGGGGTCCAGTGGGCCCCTGGGACTGCTTACCTCAACAGCATCCCCGGTTCTCACTCGCCTGAGGGGGCCGAAACGATCTGCCGGGGCTCATGGGGCAATTTATTAGGCGCCGCCTGGCCATTCAAGAGTCGTGACCTGGCCTGGCTCTGAATGAGGTGCTGGGCCTGCGTCGGGCCCGAAGGACTTGTTATTTGGGCTGTGCTTGTGCTTGTGCTTGTACACTATTACCCGCTAGACCCTGCCTGAGCCTGACCTGACCTGACAAGCCAAAGACGGCCGTTGTCTGTTCCTCCCCGTGATCTATCTATCTACCTGTCTATCTAGTCTATCTAGTAGACTAATAAGTCGGCCTGGACCTCATCACCACCCGGATCCCGGACTGCGTCTCTGCGACGACCACGACCACGCACCCGACGACGACACGACGATAATCATCGCCACCGCAACCACGACGACGACGCCCAACGGCGAACCCCCGACCCGACCCGGCTCCATCAAACCACGCACACTGTGTCACAGTCTCAGCCTGCGACCTTCTAGAACTCGTCAGGATCAATGAACAAGGCCTGCCAGGGGCCGCCCCTCAGCGATTAAATCATATTGTTACAATACTATACCGTGAACTCTTGTCGCCAATCCCAATGGCGGCGTAATCCATGGCAGAACGAAGTACGACAAGCTGGAACTCGCGCTCGCCCAGAAGTACAGAACCTGCCTCCTCGGCCTCCACTGCGACATCGATCTCCTTCCCTCCCATCTCCGCCTCCGCCGCGACCGACATCCCGCCGCCGAACTCGAACTCGAGCCCGAACCTAAGCCCAAGCCCACGAGCGAGAGCAAACCCACATCCGGCGACGGCGGCAGTGAGGACAGCGACGACGACGAGAGCAGGCGCCCCGGCTGTAGCCTCCGGCTCGATCAACACTCGGTCCCGTTACTCTTCCTCGCCAAAAACAACAAGGTATATATATACATACATATACACAGACGTGCATGCATACAGACACACCGCGCGCACACACACAGACACACACTTCCCGTGCTCTTCAGTTCCATATCCCATCCCATATCAGCATCGCACATATACCATACCATAATATCCCATTCGAAGTACATACATTATATATCAACCCCCTCGAGCTGGTGGTCGCGCAGGCAGGCAGGACACGCAGACAGGACGGACAGCAGGGCAGCTAAATGGCCGGCTGCTCGTCCTTACCCGCCGCTTGCTCACAAGATCCGGTCTTGGTATCAAGTGTTATAATCTGGCACTTGCTTGCATTGTATTGCACTGCATAGCACTGTGTCGTGTTAGGCCGGATATGTCCTGACTTCCCAAAGCTCCCAAAAGTGCTCGCTCGCTCCTTCACTCTGACATTTCACCCTGGCAGCAACTGCCTCTCGCAGCGACATCCCATCCCGCCTCCCCTGCCTCTCTCCATCGATAGTCATCCGTACCTCCCCTCAGCCATTCATCCCTCTTTCCTCCCCGCCTTTAGCGGGCCTGGTCTTGCCGTTTCTGCAGCCTGCTAGGCCTCGAGATGGAGGAACTTGTGGCATCCTGAACCTGCATCCCTCTCTTCCAGATCACCCAGACACCCACCCCCCATTGATTCTCTGCCGGCGCACTACTGGACTGGACTGCCTGCCGTCTTCCCAAGACAGCCGTCTACCCCATGGTGCCAAAATTTGGGAGCTCCACCAAACCGGCCATACGCCATCAGCTTAGCACAGCACCAGCACCAGCTCAAGCACCTGGGCCGTACCTGCACTCGCACCTGCACCTCTTGGCCCAAGCACTTTAAACTTCATGCAACAACAACACAGCACCACCAAGAAATCAGTCTTAGGCATCTGCTGTCGGCGCAGTCAATCGTGTTCAGGCCTTCCACTTCACCCAGAACATTCGACCGCGTTAATCACTCCCAACTTCTTGTCACCTACACAAACCCTCTCCGCCGCTCCCCCTCCCACCGTAACTCTCCTCATCCACCGCAACTCCTCACTGCGCCTTGCAGCTTGACCTGCCTTTGAACGATTCTTTGACTTTTCGATACCTGCATCAAATGATGGTCTCTGGTCAACTCTTTACTCATGTCTTCGTCTAATAGGCCTGCCACTCGCTCGTCAGCTCGCCAAGCAGCAAGGCAGGCAGACTCCCTCCGACCTGCTGGCGCTTCTGCTGCTGGGTCCCCGACCGAACCTGCCCCTCCTGCCCCCGCGCCTCGACGATCCGAACTCCGCAAGCGTAAGGCCACCGCCGATTTAGAGGTCGCCCCCGAACCGACTCCCTCCACTAGGCGTTCGAAGAGAGCAAAGGTCCCCGACCAACAACCCCCTCAGCCAGCCGCTGCCCCAGCGCCCCCCTCACAGCCCGCATACTCTCTTAGGAAGAGGAAGGGAAAGCACGCTCCGACTATGTCGAGTCCAGAGTATGAAGCCGTCAAAGTTCCCCCCTTTGAACCCCGCCTGCTGACTATCTCCAGATCTGCCGCAGGCCCGTCCATACCCCCTTCGGAAAACGCGCAGTCTGCTTCGTCGAGTCGAAAGTCTAGTCGTAGCAAGAAGAATGCACAGGGTGAGACTCGCAAGCCACCAACAAGGGCAAAAGCTGCAGCAGCTGACACAAATGCTCTCGAACCAGCTCCTGGATCCTCGTCTTCGAACCGACGGTCGCGAAAGAAGCCAAGTAACGCTGATGAGGATACTCCCATGACCGGCACCGATGAGAATGAGAAAGCGTCAGCCGCACCTCCACCTCCAGCCCACGAGGACAACTTCGACGAAGACAGTGAGGAGCATGACGATGAGGACCACCGATATGATGAGCACGACGACGACGACGTCTTTGGAGGATTTGGCGGTCCTCCAGGAGGTCTTCACTCCAGCCTCGCGCTCCTCACAGGGATGATGTCAGGCATGGGTTCTCGCCTCAGAGAGATACTAGCCAATCTTCGACAAAAGGAGGACCCAAGTCTGCATCTCATCGCGCTGAACGAGCTGTCTGAGCTGCTCCTGGTGTCCAACGAGGATAACCTCCAGGGACACTTCTCGGCAGATTCCTTCGTGCGTGAGCTGGTCGCGCTGATGAAGCCGGACGATTTCATGGAGGCCAACCCGGAAATCATGCTTCTCGCCTGCCGCTGTCTCGCAAACCTCATGGAGGCGCTACCGTCCAGTGTTACCAACGTTGTGTATGCCGGCGCCGTCCCGGTTCTCTGTGAGAAGCTCAGGGACATCCAGTTTATCGACCTGGCCGAGCAGGCTCTGAGCACCTTGGAGAAGATCTCTGTCGAGTACCCGTCGGCAATCGTCAAAGAGGGTGGTCTTGCGGCCTGTCTCGAATACCTCGACTTCTTCGCCATGAGCACGCAACGAACCGCTGTAACGACGGCTGCCAACTGCTGTCGCAACCTTCCGCACGACTACTTCGATGTCGTGAAAGATGCCATGAAGATTCTTCGCGACGTGCTGAAGAACAGCGACCAGCGGGTGGTGGAGCAGGCATCCATTTGCGTCTCTCGTATCGTGGACACCTGGCGCCATAACCCAAGCAAACTGGAGGCTCTGGTAACGGAGGATCTCCTTTCCTCGATTCTGCGGTTACTTCTGCCAGGCAGCACGAATCTGATCTCACCCAACATCCACACCCAATTTCTGCGAGTTTTGGCATCAACGGCGAGGGCAAGCCCCAGGCTGTCCGTGGAGCTAATGAAGATGAATGTGGTCGAGACTCTCTACCAGGTTTTGACCGGTGTATCACCCCCTAATGGGACGGACGACATCGCCTCGAAACTCGATAGCGTGCTCATCATGCAAGCACTAATCCACCGACCACGGGAACAGATCCTTGAGGCTCTTAATGTCATCTGCGAACTCCTGCCCAAGCTGCCCACGGGCGCTGCTGATCCCACCAAGGGTGGCTTCAACGAAGTACCTCCACCCGAAGTGAACACTGGATCATCCTCAACATCGAGACGCAGAACCTCAGACGAGAAACGTATCCAGCTGTTGGAAGGCTGCAAGACAGAGGTCCGGCGATTTGCGTTGATTCTGTTCCCGACTCTGACGGATGCCTTCTCCAGCACGGTAAACCTCAGTGTGAGGCAAAAGGTCTTGTTGGCGCAGCTTAAGATGTTGTACAACTTGGACGAGGCAATTCTCACAGAAGCCCTGGCACCGGTGCCATATGCCTCCTTCCTCGCGTCGATCCTCTCCCAGAAAGACGATCTTACCCTCGTGACGGCAGCCTTGCAAGCCACAGAGCTTCTCATGACACGGCTGGGAAACATTTATCAATATCAGCTGTACAGGGAGGGCGTTATCGCGGAAATCGCAAAGGTGGCTGAAGAGACTGAGGCTGATGCGAAGGCAGTCATTGAATCTCAAAACTTACCAAGGCGTCCATCTGCGGCTTCTGAAGACCGATCTTCACACAATGGCTCATCTGACGACGACGACGATGAGGACGCGGGTGATGAACATGATGAAGACGATGAGGACGACGAGCCGTCGCACCACTCGTCTGATGACGAGCATGACGAAGAAAACGAAGACGACGAAGACGAGGAGCACGAAAACGAAGGCCGGCCTCAGGTGATGTCAAGGTCTCCCGATAGCTCCGGGGGATCTACCATGTCAATTGATGGGCCACCGCGGCCGCCTCCTTTCACGGGCACTCAGTTGCTGCGATCCAAAATCCACAAGGATGCAAAGCAGTTCTTGGAGACGCATGAGACGGAGAAGAACGCCAAGTCTATGAAGAAGAGGGCTACCAAGATTTTGACGGACCTAACGGATTTGGCGAACGAGATCGAGGCTTTCTATCTCCGGCCGACCTCCTCGGGCAGTATCGCTGGTGAGAATGGCAGGAAGCTTTTCGAGAAATTGGCAACCTATTTCGATTCCGACTTGTTTGAGAGCGCAACAAGTGCAGAGCTGCTTGCTTCGGGTGTTGTGCGAGTCCTTGAACAGGTCTTCAGCAACCCCGACGAGGATCTCGCGATGGCTGCTCAAGCAGCGTTCATTGAGGTCTTCATGGGATACACTGTCAAATCGAAGCCCAAGACGGCAACTGCTGACTCGCCGGCCACCCCCTTCAGTATGCTGGTACACAAGCTACAAGATTTACTGAGCCGATCAGAGCACTTCGAGGTCCTCACTGTGTCTAGTGCTTCACATGGTGACAGTCACCGCAGTAGTCCAGCATCCATGCTGGCCAAACAGATCCGCCTGAAGCTCACCGCCGACGACGACTCCGACATTCCCAAGGTGTACCGAAACATTATGGTGTCCATACATGCAATCGCAACGTTCAAGTCATTGGAGGACTATTTGCGCCCTCGCATCAGTCTCTCTGACCGCCCGCGCCCTCCACGAGGCAACCGCGAGAGTCTCACGAGAGCCCTGGCCGCAATGACAGGAGGAGCATTCCCCTTCGGCGCCGGCTCACCCTCAGGGTCCGCTCGTCTTCCCTCCCGCCTGCCACCGCAGCTTGGTAGTGCAACTCCGCCGCCACCTCCGCCGCCAGTCCCACCTACGGCCTCCGGCTCTCGATCATCGCGAAAGACCAAAACCTCCAGGTCGCTCCCAACAGCAGAGACCCCAGCCACACCGGACCCCGCTTCTTCGGCACCGGGCGCAAAAGTCATACTGCGTAGGTCCAGTCGACGCAGCACGGCGCCAACAGATTCACCACAGCCAAGCCGCCCGCCCCCAGCCGACGAAGACGACCTTGAGGACGCGCTCGAGTGTGCTGATGAAAAGCATATCACCGAAGATGAGGAGACACCGGACCGCAGTGCTCTTGATACTATTGTGGGTGACCTCGATGAAGACATGGGTGACGCACCAACTCCTGATCCTTCTGCTGTGAACCTCGAGGTTGCAGCTGGTGGCAAGATAACAGCACGGAAAGAGGACGGAACTCGCGTGCCAACTCCATCGCAGGGAAGCAGCAGTAGCAACAACAACAACAACCTTGCTCAACGTTCGAGCCTTCTCGCCAACGCTCTGTTGAACTCTCCTTCGCCTTCGTCTCCTTCTCGGTCCATGTCTTACGCGGCTGCGATCCAGTCCGTCCCGCAAGACTGGCACTTGGAATTCAGCCATCAGGGCAAGGTCTTGACCAATGACACGACGGTGTATCGTGCAGTTCAGAAGCCAGCAATAGACTCCAATGACTATTCGAGCCGGAATGTCTGGATTCTGACTCACGAGATCAAGATCCGGCGTGTTCCAGGGCCCCCGTCGGCCGAGAGGCTCTCCTTTGGTTCAGCTTCCAACGAGGATAGCGAGAACGGTGAAGGCAACAGCCCAGCATCGTTGGCCAAGCACCCCAACACTGCGTCCATCCTGCGGCTGCTGAAGATTCTGCATAACCTCAATGCGAACATTGACGACGTGCTTGTGGAAAACAAGGCCACTCTCAAGCTGAACATCGAACCCCTGTCGCAGTTCGTCAACACCAAGCTCACATCGAAGCTCAACCGGCAGCTAGAGGAGCCTCTGATTGTTGCCAGCAACTGTCTCCCAAGCTGGAGCGAGGATCTAGCCCGGCTGTATCCTTTCCTCTTTCCCTTCGAGACCCGTCATCTGTTCCTTCAGTCGACCTCGTTTGGCTACGCTCGGTCCATGAATCGCTGGCAGAACGCTCAGTCCCAGGAAGAGTTGAGACGTAACCGCGATGACCGCCCGTTCCTTGGTCGTCTACAGCGACAGAAGGTGCGCATCTCACGGGCCAAGATCCTCGAATCGGCTTTGAAGGTCATGGATCTATACGGAAGCTCGCAGAGCATCCTCGAGGTGGAGTACTTCGAGGAAGTCGGTACTGGTCTTGGCCCAACCTTGGAGTTCTACTCAACCGTCTCGAAGGAATTTGCCATGAAGAAACTCAGGCTTTGGAGAGATGCGGACCAGAATGAGTCCGATGAGTATGTCTCTGGTCCAACTGGTCTATTCCCACGGCCACTGAGCGAAGATGATGTGACCACCCCAAATGGCGAACGCATCCTGCAGCTCTTCAGGACGCTGGGCAAGTTCACGGCTCGGTCAATGATTGATTCCCGAATCATCGATATCAACTTCAACCCCATCTTCTTCCGCATTGGCGATGAGACCTCAGGCATCAAGCCTTCCCTTGGGGCCATGAAGCTTGTGGATCCTGTCCTTGCCAGATCCTTGGTCCTAGTGAAGAAGTTCGCCTTGGCCAAGAAGACAATTGTCGAAGATCCCAACCGGGACGCCACACAAAAGGTCAATGACATCCAAGACATCACCGTGGATAACGGCGTGCGGGTCGAAGATCTGTCACTCGACTTCACCCTCCCAGGCTACCCAGAGATTGACTTAGTGCCCAACGGCTCGCAAATCATGCTGACCATCGACAACGTGGACAACTACCTCGACCGAGTGATCGACATGACACTGGGCAGCGGTGTCCGCCGTCAGGTTGATGCTTTCCGTACAGGTTTCTCCCAGGTGTTCCCGTACAGCGCGCTCAGGGCTTTCACCCCTGATGAACTGTGCACCTTGTTCGGCCGCACTGAGGAGGATTGGTCGCTTGCCAGTAAGCTCAAGTTACCCCACATCTACGAGAATTCGGAACTGACAGCAATTACAGCTCTTATGGACTCCATCAAGGCAGACCACGGCTTCAACATGGACAGCAAGAGTGTCAGGAACTTGTTGCAAACCATGAGTGAGATGACGCCGGTTCAGCGACGGGAGTTCCTGCAGTTCACTACCGGAAGCCCCAAGCTTCCCATTGGAGGTATGCATCAACTACGAGTGGGGAGTGCTCGAATAGAACTAACAGCCACACAGGATTCAAGAGTCTTACACCAATGTTTACCGTCGTCTGCAAGCCGGCGGAGGCACCGTACACTTCGGACGACTATCTCCCCAGTGTCATGACCTGCGCCAACTATCTCAAGCTGCCCGACTACACTGATGTCAAGATTCTGCAGAAGCGTCTTTTCACAGCCACCAAGGAGGGCCAGGGCGCATTCCACCTTTCTTAGAAACCTCATGTCCGGGTGCGGACTCACTCACCTTGCTCATTTCTCTATCACTTGATCCGCAACGTTGCAGCGGAGATATGCCTTCAACCTCTATACCCACATCAGTTCACCGCCACCACTTGCTAGGAATTTGAAGGCGTCTTTTTGGCGGAACAACAGCACCAATCAATCAGTCGATCAACCAGGTGGGAGTAGGAAGCAGGGGAAAATGGATTGCATGGAAAGGGGTCTCCAGGGGCTTTCATGTCTGATTTTCTGTAGTTCCCATGGCCTGGCGGGCGGGCCATTTGGCAAGCGAGCACATCACCCTCTTAGAGGACGGACAAGGAGGCGTATATCCCAGATAGATTGGTAAACTCATTACACGCTCTCGTTAGACAATGGCCCGATTGAGAGTGCCTGTTAATTCCTCAGGGGCCCCCTGCCCGGGGCACACAGCTTGACGAGGCTTCCACAGCTGTCTGCGGCTTGCCCTCTAAAAAATTACTTCAGCTCGAAATTTTTTTTTTTTTTTTCTCTTTTCCAATTCAATGATATCAACCAATTGTTCGCAATCACATGGCAATATTTCGACATGATTTAAGTCCTGATTAAAGAGTGAATACGTACATGGGTTTTCTGTCTGGGCAGTTGAATTGACAAACGATGTTGATTACATAAGTAGAGCTGATGTCATCTCATTTGATGGGCGAGCTTGACGCGTCTCGGTGAGTGAGCAGTCGCGTCTGAGACCTCGACCTGACCCGCGCCAAGTGGAAGTGACCCACTGGCATGGGCCTGGGCAGGGGCACAGGGGCACTCCTGACTTCGACATGACTGCCTGGACGACTTAGACTCAGAATCGGGGTGGACGGAAACCTTGCCAGGATGATTCATGGCCAAGTCCATTCGACCTCTAATAGCTCCGAATCAGAATCTAGGAGAAAGCAGTTCCTTCCCGCCTCGCGTTACGCTGCACTGCACTGCACCGCACCGCACCGCACCGCCGCCTCGCCAGCCTGACACCGCGACAATGGCGCCTCAAACGCGCTCTCGTACATCAGGCGGCGCTGCACAATCGTCCATGGACGATCTGGTGACCCGAACCGCTCCCGAGGCGTCCTCCAAGTCATCAGTCGCCAAGAAACCCAAAGTGTACCGACGCTCCGAACCAGCCCCCAAACAACTCTATTTCCCTGCGCGGAACAAGACAGTACGTACATACGGCAAGGGCAAGGCTCGTCGAAGTCTCCCCTCCAAAACACCAGATCAGTCAACCTTGACGCAGATTGGGTGGATACCGAGTACCTACCAGGAAGAGGAAGACGATATGGATGGGCTTGTCGATTTGACCATGGACGATGAGGATGACGCACAAAAGACGGAGGATCGGAAGACGACGAGGAGGAGCACCAAGAGAAGAAAGACGACAGGCGACCTAGACACAGTGCCCGACTCTACAGCCGGCTCCAGCTTTCACACCCAGACCTTGACCCAGATGCCATCGTTCATGTCGGAACAGCAGTCGGAGGACGACGAGGTTGAGGATGAATTCAAGTTCGACGACAACGAGGATGAAAACAAGGTTGCCACCAGGATGCCAGATAGCGAGAAGAAATTGGGCGGTTCATCGTCGCTGGAGGAGAAGACGAAGGGCCCAACACCCTCGCCGGAGAAGATCGTCTCACAGCCTCCACATGGCACAACGCCGGCGCATGTATCTCAAACACCACGCAAACAAATTGTCAACCGAGAAGTGATCCCTTCATCCCAGCCATCTCCTTTTACTCCTAATCTGGGAATTGGGGAACGGTATTGGTCGCAGATGGACCGGACGCCCTTGCAGGAGAGGTCAACAAATGTCGATGCCCCGACACCAACTATCAGCAGAAAGAGGCCTCGGACGCTGGAAATTGCGGACTCATGGAGCACTGTCAATGGCGGCATGAGCTCAAGTCCTTCAAGGGGGAAAGTTCACAGGACTCCTTTGAAGGAGATAAATCTGGCCGAGGTGGCGGAAAGGAGTGTCATCTTGGGAGAGACCCCCGCCCGCGATAATGAGGCTACTACCACAGAGGAGGTTGGAAACGCTGAGGTGGATTCGGTGCGACGAACGGCTCCAGAGATGGAAACCCCTGAAAACAGAGGACGCCTCTCGCAGAAGTCGACGCGGCCAGCGGAGAACATCATCCTTGATTCCGATGACGAGTTTGACTTCGAACTCGAGGACGACAGCGGGGCCAACGATGAAGCTCCTGGTACACCTACGCCAGCAACCCGAGCACACTCACAGGGGAATACGAAACCGGTGACCGAGGAGGCTGGAGCGTTGGTGCAATCCCCACACAAGTCCAGTACAATCCCTTCCCAACATCCGGCCACTCAACGCAACTCTACTCCCGATCCTCAACCCGAGAATGAGGAAGCCGAGCCTGAAACGCCCAGCCCTACACCGCAGAGACGAACGAGCATCTCCAGCATAGTCGAAGCTGACAAGGGGACACCTCTGTCCTCGCCGCAGAAGACATCCCCTACCCTGCCGCCAAGCACGCGGATTGGATCCAACCACAGGTCACAGGCCTTGTCCACCGTATCCTCTCCGCAAAAGGGCTCGCCAGCGATGCCGCCAGTTTCTCAACTGGATTTTAGGTACAAATCGCAGGCTTTCGAGTCACAACGCGTGCCGTTCGAGCGCATTCAACAACTGGGGCCACAAACTGACCGATCCGATATTATCGTCTCAGTCCACCCCGAACATGCTGAGCAGATCACAGAAGGCAACAAGACGCATGAGTTCCGCAACTATAGAATCCCTCAGACTGTAGGGCGAATCTGGATTTATATCACGCGACCGATTTGTGCCCTCAAATACATGGCAACTATCAGCAACGCCAAAGAACCTGGACAGATCTCCTATGGCGATAAAGGGGTTGGCAATGAAGAGTTCAACGAGGGCAAGGGTTTGAAGTTCGCATATGAGCTGAAACAGGTTTATGAGCTCAACAACCCCGTGTCCTTAGCCAGGATGAAGGAGAATGGCTGGGTGGAAGAGGCACCGACCAAGTATGTCTACGTCCCGCCCGCGGTTTTGGGCGAGTTGATGGGAAACCTCAGGCGTGCCATATTTGTGGAACCGGGCGAGCCCCAGTCAAGCCAGGCCGACATGTCGGTCTCACAGGAAGTGGAGATGCAGCTGCGTAGTGACATTGCACACTCGACGCAAGTGGGCTGTATGGTGTCTTCGCCGGCGCATAGTCAGAGGCGTGATGCGGCCGGCGACGCCGACATAATTCCATCCAGTCAGGGGAACGAGAAGGAGCAAATCACCAGCAGCCCACCCCAAGCAACCGTCGCCGCGACGGACAAGCCGGTCTTTGCTAAGCCCACCGTGCCGGCCAGCCGCTCGCAGAGAAGCGTACACTGGGTCGAGGACAGCCCCGTGGGCAGGCGTGCACAACAGGCATCGCAACACGCCGAGGGTTACGCCGTGCGCCCGTCCCAGGCCACGACGGCCAGCGCCCCGTCCAGCCCCTCGCAGCGGCTGCCGTCCTACCGGGGGCACCCCATCTTGATCTCATCGCAGAGCCAGCCGTCCATTCCCGTCTCGCCACCCACGAAGGCCGCGCCGCCGCAGATGGGTCCTCGGTCCAGCGGTCTCGTGTCGGACCTCGGGGAGCAGGGTGAGGATGTCGTCGTGGGCGATAGCCCCCTGCGCAGGCGCGGTGTGGAGATGCAGAGCTCCTCTGCCCTGCCTGGCTCTTCGCAGGGCCTCCTCGGGTTGGGTAGCGGGGAGCCGGACAGCCTGTTGGATGATTCGAGGGTAAGGCAGCCGCCTGAAATTGTATGGGACTCAGAGGGAGAGATCGATTGATGTCTCTGTTTGCTTGTGACACGGAAGCGTGCATTCTTCTTGGAAGGTTTGGGGGCGGGATTAAGCATGCTGATAGGTCGGCGTTGGACATTGTTTCATTTGAGATCTGGGAACTACAGACCGCGAGGTCGACATACTGCTTCGCTGAGCCCGGTTGTGTATGGCTTCCCGTGTGCTTGAGAGGGTGTGGGACAGTGAGGTATGGACGGTTTGACTTGTACTGGTGGATACCCAGAGCATGGACAACAGAGGGTAGATGGACCAGATAGGCGTTTGATGGCATTACAGTCTTTTGATGTGACACTTTTTACTCATCTTGAGCTGCATTGTGATTGTGTACGTGTTTGCAAGTGAGATGTGCCCAAGCGCACACGCTGACTGCCGTTCCGTTGCTGAAGACTTCGTGTCAGGTCTGGCAAGGTGGGACTGAAACTTGGCATGCACTCGAGGTGACGAAGGGAGGATCGTGAAAGTGGATGGTGTTTTACAGTCATTGCAAAACATCCATTGGAGATCAACACGTATGCTACTAGTTAAACAGGATGTATCCCAAGGAGGTTATCCCACAGGAGGTTATTCTGTAGGAGGGTACTACAGGAGGCTCCTTCCATGAGCTTATTCTGTAGGAGCTTGTTCAGAGGAGGTTGCTTTGCAGGAGAATTTACCCAAACCTCGAGTTCATCCAATAGAAGATAAACGAGCCCATATGAGGTTATCCTATCTGTGCTCGTTGTAAGAGTTGATCCTATGGATCATAATCCGGTTGGAAGGGTACGCTGGCTGAGACACAGACTGGTGGTGTTCCGGTCAAGGGGCAATCACACTGTGAAAGGTCATCGTGAGCTTTAGCAAAAGCTGGTTGGGGTGTTGACCGCCTGGGGAAGGCGACCACTAGTCCATATCTGCTGCAATAGAAGCAATCTGACATTCGGTTTGACTGAGAGCCTGAATGACGAAGGCTGGCATTCTGCTGGGGAGTGCTTGAATGTGGCAGTGTTGACATGAATGGGCCTTGGCCTGGACGCATAAGGAGACGATTTCCACAGGGACGCGCTGACAGGACTGCAGGACAGTGTAAAACAGGTTCGCACCCCTCCCTGGGAACGCCCTGCCCCACCAATTACACTGCGTCGTGCGGCCTGGAGTCTGGAACTGGTTGTGGCTGGAGCAGTGATTTGGAGATCTGACCCCAGGCTGATGTGGTTTCACGCACGCGGGTATGACCTCATCTCACAGCTCCACACCAGCTTCCCGGCCCGATCGATGTTGACCGTGACGGACGTGGATATGCCATGACGACTGTCTCCCTCGATGCTGTAAGTAAATATGGCACACGACCACGTCCAGGCCACCTAGCTGGACCTGGGACGGCTTGACTTTCGACTACACACTAGTCTGCTTTCCTAATTGCATGACCGTCAGTGATACCCCTCTTAAGCCGGATTGAGGCTTCACTTCAGCTTGTCTACAGCCACTGCCACACTTTGCATCCACTTACACCTCGCAGCCCCAGACGATACGCCAGCATGGCGGAACAGCCACAGGACTTCGATGAGCAATACTCACGGAGGTCGCACGTGGGGCCTCACTCTGGCGGCCACCCCATCCCTACCATCCAGGGCTACAAACAGCACAGGAGGGATCTGAACGACCGCCAGCAGCAGACAGAGGCGGCCCAGGAGGGTCCCGAGGACGAGTCAAAGCCAAAGAGGGCATATGAATCAGTCAAAACCATCTTCAAAGGCGAGGATGAGCAGAAGGGCAGCCATGAGCCTTACTCTTCGACAAACCGCCACTATGTCGTGCCCCCAGGCCAGGAGCCCCAGGGCCAGCAGTCTCAGGGTGGACAGTTCCGGGATCAGGAGCAGGTGCCGGAGCAGGAGCAGGTGCCGGAGCAGGAGCAGGAGCAGGGGCAGGAGCAGGGGCAGGAGCAGGGGCAGGAGCAGGAAAAACCAACACGGGACGAGGAAGATGTAGATACCCGCCAATTTGACGAGGCGAGCCAGGAAGACGACCAGCAGCCCCAAGAATCACGGCAACAGCAGAAGGAATCCAAAGATGGGGGTAAGGATGGGGAGTCGCAAGAGAAGACCGCCACGGAGAAGGTAGCCAGCTCCGTCGACCCCAAGGAGAAGCGGAAGGCCATGAAGAAGAGCAAACGCCAGACTGGAGGCCGCGAGGTCACCGATCCAGTCACCCACCTACCCATCATAATCCAGGACCAGACCGACAAGGACCTAAAGTCCGCACCGGAGAACGAGCCCGAGCCCGGGGAGCACCACACCACGGCGACGGGCCCACAGGGCGCCTCCAAGACGGACGAGGAGCTCCAGAAGGAGTGGGAGATGGGCCAGAGGGGCCACAACGGCGTCCAGAAGCTCTTCCCCCCGCCCAAGTTCGCCGACCTAAAGGACGAGCTGGCCTCGGCCTACCAGTCCACCGTCCGGGCGGGCTTGTCGGTCATCGGCGTCGTCGCGGCCAGCCCGTTCCTGATCTCGTCCCTCCAGGGCCGGCTGATCCCGCATTGGTCGACGCTGCTCACCGTACTGGGATTTCTATCCGTCACACTCGGCACCGCCTGGGGCATGGGGAGGTGGATCTCCAAGAAGGTCGACGAGATCGTCGAGGACGAGACGTGGGACGCCTCCAGGAGGGAGGAGGAGGCCACGGTCGCCTCTGACTCTGAGCTTCCCGAGTCGGTGCAGTGGCTAAATAGCTTGGTGGCTTCGATTTGGCCGCTCGTCAACCCGGATTTGTTCTCATCCCTGATAGATATGATCGAGGACATCATGCAAGCATCCCTTCCAAGAGGTACGTACACGAATGTATCCACTTCAGTGCATCATTTCCCTCCTAGCTTTGGGACCCGTCATGAACCCTACTGGGTGCCGTAACGTGCGGCTAACATACTGCAGTCGTCAAGATGGTCTCAGTCGATGATATGGGCCAAGGAAACCAGTCACTACGGGTACTAGGAATTCGCTGGCTACCCACTGGCGCTGCTAGCCGCACTGTCGGTCCCAATGGCAAGCTGGAAAAGGCGGACAACGATAAGACAAGCGATCGCACAGATCCTGAAGCTGCACAGGAGGAAGGCGCCCACGACGAAACGTCTGACGAGAAACAGGAAGGCCAGGACGATGGTAAAAACAAGACCAAGGAAGAGGAGCAGTCCGAGGCTGCGATGCGCGAGGGTATGGAGGCCGAAGAGGGCGACTTCATCAACCTGGAGCTCGCAGTGGCTTACCGCAGTCGGGCCACGGGCAAGTCTATCAGGGCTAAGGCCAAGAACGCACATCTGTTCTTGAAATTCTACTCGGTTGGTGGTGTGGCATTCCCAGTCTGGGTCGAGATGAGAGGCTTCATCGCAACTCTGCGCCTGCGACTGCAACTCACTGTAAGTGATTAAGCCTATAAGTGGCCAACGGTCCCTGTCTACTCCTCTGTAGCTAACCTTCATCCAGCCCGACCCACCGTTTGTCAGCCTTTGTACCCTGACCTTCCTCGGACAACCCAAGGCCTCGTTATCATGCGTTCCGCTATCGAAGCATGGGCTAAATTTAATGGACGTACCGATGTTGTCATCTTTCGTTCAGTCAGCCATCGACGCCGCTCTAGCCGAGTATGTCGCGCCCAAGAGTCTAACCCTGAACCTCAAGGATATGCTCATGGGCGAGGATTTCAAGAAGAACACCACCCATCATGGTGTGATATTCATCTTGATCAAGCGAGCTCGTGGCTTCAAACAGGGCGACGGCGGTATTGGGTCCTCAGGAGGCTCGAGTGACGCGTACGTCACCGTCGGCTGGGGTAAATTCGGCAAAACAGTGGCCTCGACCCGGATCATTGAGTCCACGCAAGAGCCCGACTGGCACGAGTACGCGAATATCTTGGTGTCGGCAGAGGAGCTGAATGCCGAGGAGAAGTTGCGGTTGCAGCTCTGGGATTCGGACAAGCACACCGCAGACGATGACCTCGGCCGGGTCGAGGTCGACCTCAAGGAGCTGATTAACAAGCCCGAGAGCCATAATCAGATGCAGGACCGAGAAGACCGTTTCACAGGCCAAGATCCTGAGGAGCAAATGCCCGGCACGCTACAGTGGTCTGTCGGGTATTTCTCCAAGGTCAGGATCCTGCAGCAGCAGCTGGAGCAGCAGACTGTCATCGAGAAGATCCGGACCCAGGAGCAGCTGAAGGAGCATGTCGCTGAACAGTCCGCAAACAAGCTCAGGGAGGCCGGGAAGGCACCGGACGACGAGGAGCTTCATCAGCAGCGTGTCCAAGACTATGCCGAACTCGAGGACAATATGATCATTTCTGCGCCTCCACCACGGGAATATCCCTCTGGTATCCTCAGTGTGCAGATCCACAACATCACTGGCTTGGAGGTCCAGAAGCTGCGTAAGCGAGACAACAAGAACGGCGATTCCGATATTGAAGAAGAAACGGAGACGGATGACGACATGCCTGACAGCTACTGCAACATTATTTTGAACCACAAGAAGATCTACCGGACCCGCACGAAGCCGAAGAACTCTAAGCCATTCTTCAATGCCGGTACAGAAAGGTTCGTCAGGGACTGGAGAAACTCTGAGGTCATCGTCGCTGTTCGCGATGCCCGTGAACGCGAAGACGACCCCCTGATCGGCATCGTATATCTGCAGATCGGCAAGCTGCTCAAGGACAGGAGCCAGGTGATGCAAATGTTCCCCCTTGTCGGCGGGATCGGCCTCGGCCGAGCACGCATCTCGATCGTCTGGCGAAGTGTTGAGCTGAAGCTTCCTCCGCCTCTGCAGGGGTGGGACTATGGCACGATCGAGATCCGAGGTGCGATCCGTGTCAAGGGACAGCTCCCAGGAAAGCCCACCAAGAGTCGGCTCAAGATCCGCAGCGACCTTGGCAGAGTGAAGATGTACCCCAACAACGACCAGGGAGAATGGCTGCTCAAAGGCAAGGACAGCAGGAACCAAAGCGCATTTCTGCCTGTGCGGAAGCGATACAGCTCGGCGCTGGTTCTCGAATTCCGCGAGTCCACGCTCGGGCCTGACAAGTCGCCTGCTTTTGCGGTACTGTGGCTGCGTGACCTCGTTGACGAGGAGAGCGAGACGAAGGCCCTCAAGGTGTGGAGAGGCGGCAAGCAGCAGATTGCCAGGGCTGAGTCAAACTGTGATTACAATGGTATAGAGGAGGGCGAGCAGCCGCTCGGTGAGATCGAGACGGAGCTCAAGTTTTGGCGAGGGCTCTCCGGATATCACAAGCGCTTTGCTGCGTCGTCCAAGAGGGGCAACATGAAGCAGGTAATGGAGTGTCTGGACACGATCACGGATGAGAGCCTGGCCAAAGACGACGATGAGGTCGATGATGAAGAATACGAAGACTCAAGCTCGGAGAACTCCCGCAGCAGCGACGACAAGGCGGCCAAGAAGAGACTGAAGGTGCACACGAATGACGACTCGTCGGCAGCCGAGGACTCGGACTCGGACGGCTCGAACTCGGAGGAGAAGAAGCAGAGGTCCAACTCGAACTTCTCGATTTCGAACCTACGCAAGGCGCCCAAGAAGATCCTGCGCAACCCAGTCGAGGGCACGACGTCGACGGCGGCGTCGGTCATCGCCCCGGGCCACAACGACCCAGATGACGGGTCGCGCGGCGTGCGCAACCAGCTGCGCGACTACAAGGATCACCACAAGCAGCTGCACCGCAAACACCGCGGCATCATGCAGTGGCGGGCCGCGCGCGAGGTCGACCACCTAGGGAGCAAGCTCAGTGACCTCAAGGGGAACGTCAGCGGGCTTTTTAAGCACAGCGAGAAGGGCGACGGGGTCGAGACTGAGGTGTAGGGTGTAGGGTGAAAGCTGGACGAGCTCCCAGGGCTTGGAGGTTAATACTGCGTGAGAAGGATATTGGAGATGATGGATTTGAGCCGGAAGCCACAGGCGAGGCAGATCTTGGAAGGAGGTTGATTGTATTCTCGCCTAAAGTGCTGCACTAATTGGCAGTCATCAGCTCCTGCAGTTGCGGGTGAAGAGATCAAGACTGGAGACAGCTGAGCACAGATACCATAATTAATTTACCAGTCATACCCACACGCCTTGGTACATCCCCGGAAACTAGATCCCGTCGGAAATCTGATGCCGGACAGCCTCGTATCAAAATAACTTTGTTTTTGGATAAGGCCTTATGACAAGACCTACAGGATACTCTGTCGTGGCATAAACTCCTACAAGACAATCCCGGATGGGCCGAGGGGATTTTCCACATTCCCCTCTAGGTTAAACCTGCCTAACTTGTAAGACGACCTCTCTTAGGTCCCATGTCGATACCATCCGGACCTGGGTCTTGTCCCTGCTCTCACGCTCGCAGGCTCCTTGTGGCTTGGGCACGGTTGTAGATATGTATTCGAGTCATAGAGAGCCGTATATTCGACTCAATAGGGTCTCGGAAACAGCCAGGTTAACAGTGCAAAGGCTATCCCACCGATGTAACGGAAGATCGACATGTTGCAGTATCATGCCCACGAGTCGTTAAATGACCTTCTCCATTTGGCCTAGTGATGCGGTTGTGGGCAGCGGGCACTACCCAATTCCCGCCGCCACATGCAGCACGTTTTTCATCCAGCGCTGCATTTAATTTGGGAATTGCTGGTAAATGTTCACCCACCACCGAGAAGGCGAGAGATTCGCCGCCAACCTTCAGGTGTCGCATCGCATGGTCTCTCGTCTGACCCTTTAGGCAAGGGAGCCCAGCCCACGTCATGGGTTGGAATGGACATGATGCCCGGAAGATGGTGCCTCTTCAGCGCCCTCAAGGGAGCCCTCAGGCCAGGGAGGGCGTGGGTATTAATAGACCACACCGGTCCCCGATGCGCAACCTCGGAGCGATCGACAAGAAAATCATGGCTTTCTTCGCTTTTGCTGCGGTGCTCTGGCTTATTGCTCCCTCGCTACAGGCAGTCTTGCCAGCAAGACATGCCACCTCCAACAGCAGCAGCTCATTTGGTCCTCTGAAGTTTCGAGAAGATGGCACCTTCCAAATATCCATCTTTGAGGACCTCCATTTTGGTGAAAGTAAGGATTTCAAATAGAGCCCAAAAAATTTTCCTTTTCTGAATGGCGATCAGGGCTGACATGTGATGACCTCCTCAGACGCCTGGGATTCTTGGGGCCCTCAACAAGATATCAACACTGTCAAGGTCATAAATCAGATTCTGGACAAGGAGTCTCCGCAACTAGTCGTGCTCAACGGCGACCTGATCACCGGCGAGAACACCTTCAAGGAGAACAGCACGACATACGTGGACCAGATCGCCGGCCCTCTCGTCAAGCGCAACCTGACCTGGGCGTCCACATATGGCAATCACGACAACGACTACAACATCACGGGCGAAAGCATCCTCGAGCGCGAAAGACTATGGCCCAACTCGCGCACCAGGAGCATGGTGCCGGGACCCGACGCCGGCGTCACCAACTACTACCTCCCGGTGTACCCTGCCAACTGCAACCCCCAAGCGACAGCGACAGCGACAGCAGAACCGTGCGCCCCGGAGCTGATCCTCTGGTTCTTCGACAGCCGCGGCGGCCACCGCTACCAGGAGCCCGGCGCCGACGGCAGCGGGATGGGCCTGCCGAACTGGGTGGACACGAGCGTGGTCAACTGGTTCCAGCAGACAAACGCGGAGCTCGTCAACCGCCACGGGGGCAAGGTGATCCCCTCGCTGGCGTTCGTGCACATCCCCACCAACGCGTCGCAGGCGCTGCAGACCGTTGCCGGGGTGGACCCCAGCCGCCAGCCGGGCATCAACGACGACTACCCGCTGGCGGCGCAGGGCCAGGGCTGGTGTGCGGATGGGGCTGATGATGGGACGTGTGAGTATGGGGGCCAGGATGTCCCGTTCATGCAGGCTATCACGACGACCAAGGGGCTCATGGGGGTGTTTTCTGGGCATGACCACGGTAAGGTTTAGTCTTTTTTTATACCCCAGTGTATGCTCCGTTTATTCTCGGATACCCAACTGACCCGATACGCGTGTTCCAGGCGACACGTGGTGCTACAAGTGGGAAGGCGTAGTGCCCGGCATGACCGTTGCCGGCAGCGGACTGAACCTGTGTTTCGGGCAGCACACGGGGTACGGCGGGTACGGCAACTGGATCAGAGGCTCGAGGCAGATCATGGTGTCTCGGGAGCAGCTCAAGGACCTGGTTGTCGACACTTGGATCCGGACTGAGGCCGGGACGGTGGTTGGGTCCGCATCCCTCAATTCGACTTACGGGACGGACTTGTACCCTGTGACGCCGAATAACAAGACGTATTGTCCTACTTGTGACTATTCATGATCTTAGACGGTTGGATTTTATAAATTGGAAAGACTGTAATATCTATATATTGTTTGCACCTGGTGTACAAGCTGGCCAAGTCGCTTTTATATGCAAAAGGCCTTTTTCAATCAGTTCCGCTTTTTCCGAAAGATTTATTCCACACAATTCCCTTGGAATCCTCTTCCCAAAGATTTCAAGTTGCATCAGCTCTCAAGGCTCATTGTGAGCCCGATCTGTATTTGCTTAGAGCAACCCCGGCATACCCACGAGTTGGGTGTGTATGTGCGTAGCACTAACATCGCTTGGCCTGCTCAGCGCTTGAAGACCTTATGCCAGTAGCACTCATATATGTGGTTGAACTTCTGCCCTAGAAGCCCTTCCTTTATGTGAATGAGTACACAATTCGACCTTGATATACAGAGGACAGCTACCTTAGACAATCTGGCGAAGAAAAGGTCGTAGGGGTGATGTGTGAGTTGAAATGTGGGCAAGAAGACGGCACGGGAACAAAGAAGATTGAGCAGCTTGTTGTTTTGTGAAATTTCCATTTCTCTCTGAAGCTCCCTCGCAATGCAGAGATCACGAGCACGAATATCTGTGCCAACCATTTCTCAGCCCTCACTCATCTAGGAGGTCTGAAAATGACCATCGGCCTCCACAAGAAGCCTGTGCAGCTCCTCCCGCGCAGCTCGGTTCCCGTCGTCTTTAGCCACGATGCTGGTCGTGTAAGCGTGCCACATGTCCCTGTACACCGAGCGCTTCAAATTTTGGAGAGTGTGTCCCATGGTAACGCATCTGCTCCTCAAGATCCTCTCAACCCTGGACGAAGCACAGGTGTACATCTCTGCGCCCTTGTCGCGAATGTGACGCTCCACAATGGCCTGCTGGCGCTGGAAAGACCCGGCGCCTGTTGGAATTTGACGGTGATTGAGTCAACCTCGTGTGCGTTCAACAAATGTCTCGCGGGAGAGGGGAAAGACCTACCGGTTGTTTTGACGCACTCTTTCCAGGTTTGTCGCATTTCGATTTTCAATGCGGATTCAAGCTGATTTCTCGTATACCCCCGGGTGTCCTCGTCGGTCAAACTCATCCGCATATCCTCGACAGCATCGTGGATGCTTTCTATCTGTGACCTCGCCTGAAGGCGCAGCTTCTGGCGCGCCGAATCCGTCATGCTGGGTTGCATGCGCCTGTCTGCTTCCTCACTTAATTCGTAAATGACCTGTGCAGACTTGGCTTTGAGGTCTTTGAAGGCGGCTGGAAGGAGTTTTTCGAATGCATTGCCACATTGGTAGTCGATCTCGTCAAGGAGCGGCTCTGACAGCTCTGTTGAGGGAAATTAGTGAAACCTGCGTCCTTGATCACATAGTATTCCACGTTATGGAACTTTGGAGGACTGGGAAACATTTCAGTGTGATACGTTGGAGAGATCAAGGGCGTCCACTGACGAAGCAGGACGTAGAATACGGGTAAAACGATAGGGAACCTTTGAAGCAAGGGAATCTTTCAGAGGAAGGGTGGTAAGATCAGCTCCGTGACGAAAGAAAGAAAGACCAGGGACCGCTTCTCGGCACGAACAGGTAGTGTTCCAAGAGAGAACATGGCGTCTTGTAGTGATGTGAAGGCCTACCTTTATTGAGGTTCCATGGATTCTTGTGGGCATGACCTTTACCTTCGTAGATCCCTCTGAGTTGCCGCATTAGCCTAATCCAGCTCCACTATCGGGATGTTGTCCAGACTCACCCTTTTCTACACGCAGACCGGTAGGATGAAGCCGTCAACAGCTTATCACCCCTTTTCCGGGACGGCCACGTGCTGGCAACCTCAATGGCTGACCCGATGACCTTGGGAAGCACAGTTCTAACCCGTTCTGAGAACAGCCTGTCGAAGACGTCCCGGCATTCGTCGACGAAGACATCGAAATGGAAGCCCAGGCGCTGCGGTAAGTCAGTTATTCGTTGAGAACGTACTTGGGAAATGGAAGGCTTCAAATACTTTAACACCTGAGTCCAAATCTCGCCTATACCGGGCCAACTCCTCTTTTTCCTGCTCAGAGGTGAGGCTCATTCCCGAGCCGTTGTCGCACCATATGGCCATATGGTTGAAGCACCGCAAGACAGCCCTCAGGAAGGCCTGACACTTGCGCCGGCGGGCGGGCTCGGTTAGTTCCTTGATGTGGTCTCGCCACGCCGGGATTCCGGACAGCTCCACCGTGTTGGGCGCCCAGAATTGCTCATTCCTGTGCCGCTTGAGAGACTCGAAGTAGCCGCGAACCGAAACAGTATGAACCATTGGAGGCACGGGTTCGCGCTTGTTTTCGTCATCAAGTTCTTGATCTGTGACGCTGGATTCGGATCCTCCCTGGCGAGAAAGAAGTCTTTTCGGTCGAGTTAGCACGTTGGCTCATCAGTACCAACAAGATGCGCTTCAGTCATATCCAAGCGCGAGACTTACTCTTTGGCTGCGTGAACAAAGTCTCGTCCGATGGCAGAACGGGTGAGAGTGTTCCGGGCCTGTATGCATGACTCCTTCAGAAAGAGGTTATGCTGCATGAGTTGTCGTTGCAAATTTTCACACTCTGTCTCCAGGTGCTGAATCCTTGTGCCAAGTTCTTCTACCTCGGTCTCGAGGTTAGACGTAAGCATTTCGACTGGTTCCTCGGTCGTTTCCATATCAAGCTTCGCCGTGTAGCTTCCCCATTCTGGTGGCGAGGGGAGTGGATTTCTTCTCAGCCTCTTCTCGCGCACAGTCTCAGACGTCACGCTCCTCTTTCTTTTGTCCCCCGCTGATTTCATCCACGACCCAACGGTGTCTTCTACAAGTTGCGATCTGACTTGTAAGGCATCGAGTTGTTCCCGTGCCCCAGCGAGGGCAGCGTCGCAGGCGTCGAGCTCTTGTTCCAATTGCCTGGCCTCGTCGAGATGCTCCCCGAGACCAAATTCCTCAGCGTCTCCGTCTATCTCGATGGCGTCGTCGGTCATGGTGCAGACATAGGTGATGCGGTCAAGCCTACCGTCGAATTTGATCCAGTTCTTGAACGTGCTGGCGTCGTTGAAAGGCTTCTTCACGATCTGCTCACTGATTGCGCGCTTGATCGGTACAAGCACGCACAAATGGTCGCACCTGTCCCCGTCTGCAGCTGCACGGGCAGACCTTGCCGAGTTTCCATCTTGGCCACCAGGCTGTTGGCGGAGAGGAATGGGTCAGCCACGCACCAATGTAAGCATGGGGAAAATCAGCGGGGAGGAACAAGCAAAAGGTCACCCTACCATGTCCCTGATTACAGCACCTGTAGAAAGCACCTCGGCTTTGACAAAGATATTCACCTTGTCCACCAGTGGCCAATACTGTTGCTCCGCACCAACGCCCTCGGCCCTCTTCGCAAGGGCGGCATTGTCCCTGTTGGCGATGAATCTCTCCAGGTACCGGCATAGTCCCGCAGCAGTCGAGTGGCAGACCTGGCGTGTCTCCCCGAGGCAGACGCGGATGAGATCGTCCTCAAGCAGGACGTGGATGTCGAAGTCCGGCGCGGCGAGCTCGGCCCTGGTTAGGCGCGGCCAGACTGCCTGGATCTTGTCCCAGGCGACCTCCGCGTGGCTGTTGTCATCGTAGTCAGCTGCTGTCCCGGCGCTGCTGCTGCCCGCCGCTTCGCTGGTGGAGAGGACGTCCTCCCTCAGGATTAGAAGCTCGTTGAGCAGTTCTTCCTCTGTGATGAAGGTGATCTCGGCGCGGTACGCTTCGTCTGGGTCTGTGGAGTGGTTGTACCGGACCTCTGTCGCCACGGATGTGCAGGCGTCGTACCCGCTGGTGGGCAGCAGGCGGGCCTCGTCGATCAGGCCGTTGATGGCTGTGCTCTTGCCTGCTCCCATGCTGCCCACCACCATGATCAAAGTCTCTGGGGGTTTCACCTGGTCACCATCTGATAGTCTGACCAGCTCCTGGTGCCAGTGGTGGATATCATCTGTGTTGTTTGCTTGGGCGAGTAAGAAGTCAGACAAGGCCTTGGTGAGTGTAGAAGCAGTCTCTCGATGCCTCTCCAGGGCCTCAATGTTGCTCTCTGCGGCTGCGGCCTCCAAGTGGCGGAAGCTGGAGTTCATGATTTTGCTGAATACTGTGACTGACGTGGTCAAGATGAAGGAATCGTGAATGCCCTTTTGGATACCAATGTTCGTCTCATGAGAGGATGGCTGTGATATTAAGAAAAGTTTTCTTAGGTGATGGTAGATGCTGGAAGCCGAACGGTGAGTTGAACTTATGTAGCCCCAAAACATGCGTGCTTGTTATCCAGAGTCATTCACAGAGCATCATGAGACATCCATTGCTTCTGGAATGCGCCTAATGAGTTCTTGCAGACACATGGCAACCCCGGTTCCTGGACGCGAATCTACTAAGGCACGTTGAGTGAGTCTACTGTAGAGCAGAACAAAGGAAAGAGGCTGCAGAATATGTAAATGCCCGCCCACAACACGTATTTCTGGTTTGGAAAGACCTTGTCCTGACTGAGTATTAGCTTGTGCAGGTAACTCCCTGGGCGTCTCAGTTACACCGCCCTCAAAACTAGGTGAGTAATAATTGACTGATCTCATATCACTCCGTCTACCTTTGCGAACGAGCAGATCTTTTTGCGGGAACAAAGAGCCGGGTTTCACCGTATGCGCTGGCTTGATCACAATGTGTTCATACGCCTAGTTCCGGACGAAGATTTCTTTGCCCAGTGGCAGCTGCTAGTCGTGAGTATTCGACGAAAGTAGGAAGGACGATATTGGTGAGAGCCAGGAGAAGAAGCTTATCTAAGCAGACAACCATTTGCAGCTCACCGTAGGCGTCGATAGTCAAGAAAATCGTGTCTATTTTCACATGTCAAGCACTATTGACAGGAGATGAAGGCAGGGAACGTTGTTGAAGAGTCGGAACCCAATATTGCTTGCCTCGCCGGTCCAGTGCCGGACTATCTATCTAGGTCAACACCCAGAGTCCGTGCAGCGAGGACGAAGAGCATATTAAAGCAAACAAGGGGGGCCCGCAAGCGAGGCACGTGCATAGTCGTACAGATCCGTCACCATCTGCCTTAAATTCATTCAGTCCTTGCGGTTTCTCGATTCCGTGTAGTGTTCCCCCTGAGCCTCGGTATCATGAGTTTTCCGGTTCATTGCTCGTCAGTATATCCTGTACAGAAGAAAAAGAAAAGTCGGTATGTTCGTCGGGAAATGAGTGGCACATCATGCGTAGCCGTAGTCTGACTTCGTGGGAGTGGCAAAGTCCTCGAAGTAGGGGTGGTTGCAGGCGGCCTTGGCAGAGATGCGGCCTGCTGGGTCATAGACAAGCATCATCTCGAGCAAGTCAAGGCCGTGGCGGTCAAGGTTTTGGCAGAGAGGCTGGGAGAAGTCGCGGTTCCACTTAGGGAAGGACGACTTGAAGTCAGGGTAGCTGGTCACACCCGGCCACACATCCTCTGTCGGTGTGCCAAGAACTCTGCAGATGCGGGTCAGTGAGGAAATCGCCGACTGAAGGCTGTGGAAAGGCTCACCTGAAGATCTTGAAGATCTCGTCGATTTCGGAGTCGCCTGGGAACAGCGCCTTGCGCGTGCACATCTCGGCAAAGATGCAACCAACTGACCACATGTCCACACCTGTGGAGTACTGTCGACCTCCCAGCAGGATCTCCGGAGCGCGGTACCACAACGTGACGACTTCGTGAGTGTACGTCCTAAGAGGGACTCCAAAGGCTCTAGCCAGACCAAAATCCGCCAGCTTCAGGTTGCCCTCGCGGTCGATCAGCAGGTTCTGGGGCTTCAGGTCGCGGTGCAGCACGCGGTGAGAGTGGCAGAATCTTATGCCGTCGCACAGCTGCTTCATGAACTTCTTGATGATGGCCGATCCCAGGCCCAGCTGGGCCAGCTCGCCGCTCGTGCCCTCAGGAAGCGCCCTGCCCCTGCCGCCGTCAGCCACCGGCAGGGCCTCCATGTACTTCTTGAGGTCGAGGTCGAGGAACTCAAAGACGAGATAGAGCTTGTGACTGTCGGCGTGTACGATATTGAACAGACGGACGATGTTGGGGTCACGCATCTCCTTGAGCAGTGAGATTTCTCGGATGGCTGTGGAAGGGACGCCCTCGTCTTCGGCTTCGAGTCTGATTTTCTTCAATGCGACGATTCGGTTGTCATGGAGGAGATCTCGAGCCTTGTAAACCACACCATACGTTCCTGGGGGAAAAGCGTAAGTCAGCCTTCGGCCCGCGGCACCGAGATGGGGAGAATGGGTTGTGTCATTTACCCTCCCCGATCTTCTCCAACTTCTGGTAATTCTCCATGTTATTTCCTTGATTCCTGGTGCAGGTGGTCAGCCATATATGGTCAGAATCATCGCACAAAGGACAAGTACATGGTCGCTGTCGAGGCACGCCGAGTGCGTGAGCAGTCTGAGTTGGCAGAGACAGTCGGATTCGCAGACGGGTTCTACTGCTCGATCTTCCTTGTCCACTTGGGTGTCTCGTATGCTCAACACAAATTGTTCTCTCGCAGATTGTGGCAGTCGAAAGCGGCGCAGCGAGTTGGGCCGTCCCAAATGGTATTGGTGGTGGGCTGGGTTCAACCCCTCGCTGGACGAGCCTACTTGTGTGCTTGCCGCTACTTGTGTCTGCCAAACTGGGGGAGGCAGAGTCTCGAACGTTGCATGCGAGTCTCTCTGGGACACAATGCAAAGAATTACGACTGGATAGGGCGAAGAAAAGGTGTTGTCTTTGTACCTTGAGGTCTGGTCGAGGGTCGGTTCGGTGAGCAGGAGTACAGGTAACCTCCCTTTCGGGGAGACCGCTTGGTGCAAGTACGCTGTTCAAATGCCAATCGAGGGGACGATTGTCGGTGCGAACGGGCGTTCGAGACACAAGGGCCACTGTCGTGCGGTGGTTGCTGCAACAATGGGGCCGTCTGCAGTTGAGTGCAGAGGGGTCGAATGCGAGGGACTGGCGGTGGGATGGAATGTTTGGCCGGGGACGCGGTTCGAGGTTTACTTTGGCCGGCAGACGCGTCGCCGATTGGCAGCCGGGCCTGGGGTTGGCTAGCTGGGCCTTGTTTTGGGCGGCTGCAAGGTTTCTAGGGTGATGATGGTGGGGTGTTGCTGCTCATGCTCAGCGCTCAGGGGTACTCAGGCCTGGATGGCAGACAAAAGCTCAAAACCAGACTATCGATAACATCTGGCAGGCAGGGGCATGTCGCTTGCAAAAGAACCCTAACCCAGCCGAGGTATGCGATACGCAACCTCTTGTCTTGGTCAGGTCTGACTCTGAGGCGAAGGCGTGCCCATGTGAGACCTGATCGACATTCATCAACGCAGCAACGCAGACAGCAGACAGCTTCCATGATATTGCAGACTTCTCTACTCGAGGCTCACAGTTTGTGTGGTGTCTCGGAACACGACTTGCCCAAGAACCTACACAGCACCCAGGGCCCTCAGAATCCAGTCGATCGAGAACAAGTGGCGTGACGAGTTCTTGACCATCGACCAACAACCACAAAACTTGCAATCAGCGAGAGACGCGGGACGGTATCAGGCATTGAAAAAGGTGATTCAATAACTGCAATTGTATCACGGCGACAGACAAATAAGGCCATGACTGTGGACCTCACCACCTTGGATGCCCACGAGCAGCCCTCGGATCATCTCAGGAAAATATGGAAGGGCTATTCCCGAGCAGACGGAGCCGCAATTCTCAGTGGAGGCGAAGTCGACGACCTATCCGTGCCGGAGAAGCTTGCTGAGTTCCAAAAAGGAGGCAGCATCCCTGCAGAGAAGATTCGCTCGGCTCTTTCTCACCTTGCTGAGGATGACCCGTCCATTGCTGAAGTGAAGCAAGACGCCGCTGTCTATTACCACCCCCTGATTCCAGGCGAGTTCAATTGTCCCATATGGTTGTCATGGGCAAGTGTTCTGATTGGGATTCAGGCCTTCTTATAGTACCATCACTGCTACCGCCTACAATACAGCAGACTCTGCTGTCTCGTCTCATCCACAGAGACCTGAGCCGACCTCACCACCAGACTAATATGCATCTGCACTACGATCTCCCCTATCCCGAAAATGATGCTGTCACCAATGGGCCGCAGTCATTTTTCACATACTCACCAGAATCAGAAACCAAATTCATCCCCAAGGACCCCTCAGTGCACAAGACTCTCTCCATGAAGCAGGTGATGGAACGGCGCCTGCATTGGGTCACTCTGGGCGGGCAATATGACTGGACGAATCGGGTGTATCCAGGTGAAGAGCCGCCCGCCTTTCCCGAAGACGTGGCTGGCCTCTTGGAAACTCTGTTTCCAGAGACCCAGGCTCAGGCGGCCATTGTCAACTTCTACACCCCCGGCGACACGATGATGATGCACCGGGACGTGTCTGAGGAGACGGATAAGGGCCTTGTGAGCCTGAGCATGGGGTGTGATGCATTGTTCAGTAGGTGATATCGCCCCGGCAAGAATATCATAGCTAATCCGATACAGTGATTGCACCCAACGACGTGGGCAAGATGTCCGAGGCAGACAGGCCTGCGCAAGGAGAGAAAGAGTACCTGCTATTGCGTATCCGTTCTGGAGACGCCATATACATGACACAGGAGGCAAGATTCGCCTGGCATGGAGTGCCCAAGGTCATCAAGGGAACGTGTCCTGAATACCTCGCGGATTGGCCTGCGGAAGACGGCAAGTATGAGGAGTGGAGAGGGTGGATGTCCAACAAGAGAATCAACCTGAACGTGAGGCAGATGCGAGACTGACGCAGACCTTATTCGTCACCATCTCTTTAATTCCATCCAGATCACAAATCGTCAAGGCATCGAGAACAACCGCCGGTCTGAGAACGAAGCTTGCGACGGCCACGGCTGGCAATGTCACCGAACCGAGTCTCTATTCCTTCAAAACCCACTTCAGTTGCTCCAGTCCGTGGCTCCCGGTATCCAGACAGAAGATCTTGGCTCAGCCCGCCTGTTCTTCCAACAGGGAGTGACGCGGCATCGGACGCGTGCTTGTGCCCATGCCACCGAGCTCTCGTGAGGATCTGCGGCCCTGCTTTCGATTATGTGGAACGACGCACCGCACACAAGATCTTGTGATCCACCTTCAATCGCGTTGTGTCCCCAGCAGCGCTCAGCCACGACGCCGACATGCACGTTCGTCGTGATGTGGGGCATACACCACGAGATCCACGTGGGTCCATCTGGCAACGATGCAATGCCACGATATTGTTCACCAATTTCCCGATTAGCTTTGGCTAAGCAAAGATCTCGTATTACTTGTGCATGTGTTATAACCAAGATAAACCATCGGCTTCTGCTGTATACTTGTCAGCGTCATGTCAGGAGATATGGAACGGCCAGGGTGATGAGTCTATGGCGACAGTTGGCTAGGCTGCGCCTCCCTCGAGAGGCTTTTGACCGTCTGGGCTCATGACACCGGAAGGTTCGGTTACCAGCGGCGATCACAGGATTTGCCAACATACGGAATTGTTGAGATTTGGACAATTCTGGCTTCAGCGAGTATCGTCTGTGAGGAGAATTGCCACAAGCTGGCCTTGCAGGACGCCAGGGCATGTCTGCGAAGCCTGTTGCTCAAGGGCCGGGGACTGCGCCACACTTGTCCGACCCGCGCCACACAAGAGGCAGCCCAGCAATGAGTCCAATTGGCCAGCAACCTGGCGGCCCTGCCTTGGGCCTACTCCTTGTGTATAGACCACGGAAGGGTGACAAGAGTCTGACCACAAACATCGGACTACAATCCGAACGCGACGCGTACCAGGCGCCCCCGCAATGTAAGCACCAATAAAGCTGGAAATTTACATCTGCCGGTGGTTGTGCCCGATCTGACCTTCCCATCAGACGGAGCCCCCTCGGCATCCGTTTGGCTGTTTCCGCCCGTGGCTGAGTTTGCGTATTGCTTGACCCGGCCCCCAGAATCCCCACCACCACCAACGCAATCCTGGATAATGTCAGCTCGCCATGGATGAGCCCGCCCGTTGATTGTGGATAGTCGGATCCCTTTCGGATCCAGAGCCCGACCCCATATTCGATATTTTGCCGATAGATCGTCACTGCGGGACGCAAGGGCAAGAAACGAATCTCGCCCCACGTCGAACGGCGCTGACTGACCAGCTTGTACCGTTGTACTCATTTGGACGATGGGTATGTGGTGAGGACAGTGCCCCAAGGCGGCGAGGCAGGCCGGTCGAACAGGTACTGACATGGCCATGGCCACGATGGCTGCGCCTGGCGCATGCAGCTCAGCTAAGACCGATCTGTGACCCCAGGTGTACGATCCACGCAAGAAGACAAGCCCGTCCGCAGGCTGCCTGGTGGGCCAGCAACAACTTCACTCAACGCCGCACGCTATAGGGATCTTGTCTACGCCCCTGACTTCACGCGTCACGAAGGTTCATCGCATGCGACCTGCCCGGAAGCCCATTTTCTACCGGGGCCAATTGTCGACAACCCTTGTCTCGCGCCCACCCCGGAATGGGATCGCCTGCGCCGCAGCCGCGCGCCGGGGAAGGTTGTCTGGTGGATTCAATGGGGGATCAATGAATCCTACCTGCCCCCTTCCATCGAGGGATTCTTGACTTGGTATCCTCATTGGGGCACCCTGCACGCCCTTGCCAAAGAACGTCTGACAGGTAGACTACCTTTCTACGGTACCTGTCTCCGTGCGGCGCTGCACAAGGCAGGCACAGGGATTGGTCCGTGAACGAGCGTACAGTCCGCCGCGCTGGGGCTGGACAAAGGGCAAACAACGTGTCGCACCCCCTTTCAAATAAGTCTGGGCACGGTCATTACCAGCGCAGTGGTAAACCGACAACTTACTACCCGGCGCGCACGCAGGTGTCAGACTTCTAGACGACGGGACGGCATGAAGTTGGGATCCGGGAGGAGGAGGACGAGATCGCATTCGGCGCGCAACGATGATCCTCCGGTTAAGCATGCGGCGCCATCGACTCTTTTTTCAGCCTTGCGCAGGCCGAATCCGGAAAATGGAAGGATCTGGGGCCCACGCCGCGTCAGGGCTAACACGACGCGGCTCGGTTGGGGGAGGGCTTGCGCGCTAGATCCGACGCCAGGGAGAAGGAGAAGTCACCAGCCCAGGTCGAACCAGACTCCCGGGAGGCCCTTCATCCCGCACCGGCGGCGCCAGCGGCGGCTTCACAGGCTGTCGCGCTCGGGCTCCCGCCCGTCTGTCTGGCAGGAAAAGGGGGGCTCCCGAGGGCGTGCGCTGCCCGTGCCGGCGATGCCAGAGCACTGGACAAGTGACTACCGTCTGGCCAGAACATTCGGGAGACTCTCTGACCTTCTCGTCACCTTCTCGTCAGCGTCACAGGATACCAAGCCTTTTGACTCGACTCCTGGATACTTTGTTACAGGGCACCTCTCTCTCCTTTGTTCCCCTTTGTTCCGCGTGCATCCTGTGGGCAACACGCAGGGCCATTATGATCCGGGCTGTTGGGAGCGCCCATCATCCATAGCGCGCCCACTTCGTCCCGGCAGGTCGGTAGGCACGTTGGCAGACAGGTAGGCAGCCAGGCAGGCTAGTTAGGAAGACGCCAGGCTGATAGCAGCGCCCTTTGTTTCCCGGCCCATCACTTGATCTTTGGATATCGATGATGCTCTCTCTCTCTGTCCGTTGTCTGTGTGTGGGGAGGGGTTTTTGGGGCCTGCCAAGCCCGGCGATATGGGCTCGCGCTGCTGCAGGTCATCGGGTACTGGGGATCAGGAGGATCATCCATGTAGTCTATCTAGTCTATAGTCACGCCCCGCCAGGCGCGGCTGCCTACCTGCCTACCTAGCGTGCATTGGGGCGATATGTGCGTCCTGTCATCCGTCGTTCTTCACTCACTGACCGCCAACCTGCACCCGCACCAGCGGGTCGCGTGATGCGATGCAATGGCCGATGGACAGAGACTGGTGCCAAGAGGGCCAGACGCGCATGCTTGCTTGACTCTTTTGTTCCAGGCCATGCGATGCTCGCCTCAGAAGTCTGCACGTCCATTTCAAACCCAGGACCCTGGGCCCCCGAAGATACCCCGTCACCCGTCACCACAAGGTTACCGGGTGCCGGGCTCGGAGAATAAAACAACATTGTGGGGACCCCGATGGGCGGTGGGCGTACGTGTGGCCACATGGTGGCGGGCGGCCGTAGTGTGGTCCTGTCGCAGTTGCTGTTGCATGTGTCGTATGTTTTATTTTTTTTTTCTGTGTTGGCCCGTCGCATCGAAATCTTGTCGGGCCTGTCTGGGGGACCCTCCACGAATCGAATGGCATCGCATCGAATCAACCCGGATCGGGTCCTGTCGATTCGACTGCAGATGCCGGATCCGACGTTGATGTGCTGTGTGTTGTGACGTGCTGTCTTCCGCCCCCCGAGGGAAGTATCCAAGCACCAACCCGGCTGCCCGGCAGGGTCCCCAGCCCAGCGCGAGCCTAGCCAGCCCCCGGCCCACTTGATCTGATCGACAGCCCTGCCACACGCATCGCGACCCGACATCGCGACCGCTTCTTTTTGGGTTGTGTGATTCATGCTGGGATCGCGGGCTTGGTACCTGCCTCATGACGGCAACAACATGAGGAAAACAAACACTAGGCAGGTGGCTGGCTGGGCCTGGGCTGGTTAGGTGGCTGGCTGGTTGCCTGACAGCGAAATATTGTTGTTATTGGGCCGTGATTGTAACGGTGTGACAGGCGGTCAATTAGACTGGTTGCCCGTCACACAGTCATGTCCATGTCAACAAGCATTCTCAACGGAAGAGTCACTTGTACACAAATCACACACAGGGGCAAGCAAAGTTTGAGTGAAGTGTCATGTTTTGCACCGAGACCAATGGTGGTCTGGCTATTGGCCTCTCATTGATGAATTCTGCCTGGGCTCATCAGAGTGGACAAAAAGAACTATGCAGATGGTATCACAACTGTTCGCGGATCCAATCATCCATCTCTCTGTCTCTCATATCATCCTCGCTTCATGCCATGACCATCATCTCTCTCTCTCGTACCCTGCTCCATGCACACAAGATAGAAGCAAAAACAATCTCTGATTCCACACTTTTTGCCCCGATTCCGTGTCGGTAGATCACTGGTCTCCCCAGCAGTGATATTATTAGGAAAAAGTAGTCGTCGGTCGTACCATGATCCGAGGTCCCCCCTCACAAACGCCGTGCGGAAGCGCAATAAAAAAAAAAAAGCAAAAACGTAACCCTTGCCGCCGTAAACACCTGTGTATGCTTTGTGTGCGTGCCGTCTATTCATGTCTCGCTGCGAAAAGAAGAAAACCAGGTAATCGGCGCTTTTTATGGTTGAGATTGATTGCGCTGGCGAAATTCATTACCGCGCGGTGACACCCGAGCCGCCAAAGACACGGCCCAGCATGCCCCTCATCCTCTTGACCCTGCTGCCGCCCTCCTGCAGGTCCCTCAGCTCCTCGGCGCTGATCTCGTAGGGCAGGAGGGACCTCTGCTTCGTCAGGGCATGCGGCGGCGGCTGCAGCATCTGCTGCTGCTTGGGCTGCTCCAGGACGATCTCGACGGGCGGCTCGTAGAGGCTGCCCGTGTGGAGCATGCCGTCGTAGATGTACGGCGCCTCGCCGTCCGAGGACAGCGGCGTGGTCGCCTCGCTGCCCCGCGACGATGAGAGCGAAGACGCGTAGGAATGCGAGCTGTGGATGCTCCGTGATCCGTAGCTGCTGCTCAGGCCGGGCAGCGAGTCCGGGCTCTCCTGCCTCATCTGCCTGGACGAAGACCTGGACCTGGAGTCCGGAGTCATTGGGGGTGTCGAGTAGATGTTCCTGCTGGCCGTCTGTGCCGCGAGCCATGCCGCTGCCGCCGCTTCCTCCTCCTCCCTGCGCCTCCGCTCGTCCTCGGCGGCCATGGCAGCCTGTTGGGCGGCCTTCCTGCGCTGCCTGCGCTCGTGGCGTGCAGCCACGTCGCCCCTGAGCGGTGCCAAGAACGGGTCCAGCTCGCGGTACAGATCCTCCTCCGTGATGCGCAGATCCCAATCCAGCAGGAACAAGAGCTGCTTCTCCATGAGGTTGACCTCGGTCCTTGAGAAGCCGAAAGAGAAGCCCGCACAAGGCATCACCGAATAGTTAGCCCAGTGCTTGTTCTTGGGCGAGCTGTCATTCAGGTACTTTGCTGCTAGGATTAGCGAGGCGAGGAAGATCCTGTGTGTGGTGCAGCGGAGGCCCTTTGCCATTGGTTGCAGGCGGGACCGGAGACGGTTGAGGTAGACCAGGGTTGACATGAGCGTCGGGACCTGCACGTTTGAAGAGACGACGAGCTGGGTGATGAACTCCTCCAGAGTGGGCAGTCCGGCATCTTCTGCCGGCACGGCGCGCGGTGGTGGGGTCTTTGGTGGCGTGGGTGGTAACCTGGAGTTCTGAGGTGCCGCGGTTGGCGGTGGAGGCATCATTGTCGGGTCGCACTGGATGACGCTGCATGCTGCCGTGGCGAGATACGAGATCATACTCCTAGACACGGGCGTGTAGATGAAGTGGTCCAGGGCGGCGGCGTTGAGCTCGTCGATGCTGAGAGTTGAGCATGTTGAAGATGCTGGCGAGTGTCGTATTTGTGAAGCCATGGTGGGCTGTGACGTGGTGGTGAGAAATGTGAGAACTGCGAGGCCCGCGCAATGCAGGTCAAGTTCAGATAATTGCCTAGGAGAACGCTCGGAGAATTTCCGCGGAAGCCCTCGAGAACGGGACTGCCGGTGGGGAAATAGGTTATCAGGAAAATGGAGGTGGAAAAACCGTCAGCAGTCGAAGGATCTTCGGTTGCTGATATTCCCAATGATGGATTTATGCGGGTGTTGGGCGAAGTGCGGTGTGGTGGTACTGAATGCCGTGCCAGCTGATACGAGTCAAGGATCGTAAAAGTCTAGGTGCGGCAAAGTTTCATGTGGCTAAGGTGCCGGAGTATCTGGTGTGTCCGGTGGGACTTAAAAAGAGTGAGATGTGAGATGCGGGCGTGAGCTGCGTCCTTGAGCGGCGGGTTGGACCGGCTGATGAGTTGCGAGCAGAGGTCAGTCAGGTGTGTGTGTGCCTCGAGGTATGGCTTGGCTGTGGGACTGGTATGCCTTGGTGACTCGACTTCCAGGTGTCGTGGTTGGGAGTCAAGGGCGGCGGGCAGGGAGGCTGTGATGGGGAACAAAGAAGGTCGAGGCACGGAGGCACACATGCAGGTGCAGCGGCACTCGAGGGTATATGACTTTCTTGGGAGCTCGAAAAGGGCAAAATGGGACAATGAATAAACCTCGAACAAGAAAAATAGAAGGCCGACTTACAAGTGACTTGTCTTGGGCCTTGGCCGGTGGGGCGCTTGGGGTCAGGCGTAGATGGGCCTCCTGAGCTGGGGCTTGTACGGCTTGTTCGTCAGAGGGTGACGTGCGACTCGCTGGGCCCACGAGGCTGAGTATGTGGTTGATGCGAGTGCACAGGGGTTCCCTGGAGGGGTCGGGGCAGGCGACAGGGAAGAGCGATCCCGAGGTACAGTCTGGTCTGGCGGTACTTGGGTACACGGCGGCGCGCCCTGCAGCAGGGAAGGGCAGGGGTGGCGGTGGGGTGACAGGTGGTGTGAAGGAGGGATGGGCCGGCCTAGTCAGCGATCGACTGTTCTGGCTTTTGGGCTGGGCTCTCTTCTCTCTCCGGACGCTGTAGCACCGGTGCTGTGGTAGTGCAGACTCGACCTTGGCGAGGCCCGGGTCGATCTCGTCGGGGGCAGGGGACTGAGGGAGGGGAAGACGGCGCTCTGACTGGTTCAACGCTCTCAACGGGCTGCCAAATAGGGGGCCACGAGAAAAGCAGGCCTGACTCGAAATGCAAGACGGTCTGGCCGTAGATCAAGCAGCGATTCGCTCTCAGGTGCTCAGTCTGTCTTGCGCCTTGTCTCAGTCCAGCGAAGTCAAAGTCCACTCAGGACGCTCTGAAATGGTCCTTGTGCGAGTTTGACAGCAGCCGAAACTCTGTAGGTGGTCCTGAGACGACCAGATTGGGCCTGTGACTGAGTGTGCCTGTTGTCGTGTGGCGGTCGATCGACAGTGGTCTGCTGGTGAGCCACGAACGAAACTTGGTGGTGGCAATGGCGATGGTCGTATTGACTGCCTGGGTAATTGACCTCGGCCGCTGGCGGGGAAGGGATTCTTGATTCACAGCAGTGGCTGAGACCGATTCCGAAAGCGGGCCCGGACGAGGAGAAAAAAAAGTTGATGAAAGCGAAAAAAAGGTTGCTCCCAAGAAAAGAACTAAGCCCACAACAGCCACTCAAAAAGAGGAGCAAATCAAAAGTTTGTTGTTTCAACTGGACGGTAATGGTCTTGGTGTTTTCTCTTGGAGAGGCTCTTGACCCGGGTTTGCGGTGGGGTGAATCCGGGGTTGCGGAGCTGCTGGAGCTGCCGGCGACGACAGTTTCGATAGCGTCGGCTAGTGGGCGAGTCAGATTTCTAATTCGAGGAGCGATCGCGTGCCCCGTGCTCTATTATTCTTCAATGCCCGCCGGGGACAATGCCAAAAAAGAAGGAGGCTGAAGTTGATTACGAGAAGTTCGTCGGCAGAAGTCCGGTCCAGCGGAGTCTCTGTCGGAGGTGATAATAGGAAACGGAGGGGGAAACGAGGAAACAAGTCTGGGGCGATGCGGTCCCAGGTGGAAGCTGTCGTGGACAGGTGAGGCTTCAAGAAGAGCTCCTCGATTGTTTTCAGGGTCCGCTGCCAGCTTAATACGCGTCCTCGTGGACAGGGGTGTCAGGCGAGCTGCCGCAGGATGAACTCGTCGGTGCAAGTTCGCGCGGGTAAACAGAATTATTTCCAGCCCTCGAGATCCGCAGGCGGCGGTGGCGTCCCGCTGGCGTCTAGAGATTGGGTGAAGCGCTGCGTTAGAGGAGACGCTGGTTCAGGGGTGCTGCTGCGCGGTGGGGGCAATGATTCGCTGCCGGCGCTTCGTGGGAGCTCGCAGCTGCAAGGCCAAGATTCGTTCGTCTCCCAACCTGGGTGGCGCTGTGAGAATGGTTGGCTCGAGGAGAATAGGAGAGGCTCCGGCCATCCCTGGGCGGACACAAGGCCTTTGAAGCAGGTTGATTGCACTGAAATAAGGGGATCTATGCCCTCCGGACGCTGGATCTGGAAAAGGCAACCCTGGTGCCGATGACGTTCCCGCTTTCGTACGGGTACCACGCACTTTACTTAGCTTTTCGGGGCCAAGGTTGTGTTCGGGATGCGGACCGCAGGCGGTTGGGGCTGGTGCGTTGCAAACATGGCATTCCCTGGTCTGAATGCGGCTGTTCTTGTATGTATGTATGTATGTATGTATGTATGTATGTATGCAGACGTAGATAGATACGGTGTGCACACTGCCGCCTCCCGTCGACTCAATGGCTGAAGACAGCATTGAGCTCTGGAATTTGGGAGAGATAGATCAAAGTCCAGATCTCGAAAGGGAGTTTTCTTGGTCAAGTTGAGACCGAAGGGGACCAACACTACACGTCTTTACGTACACAAGGGAGGACGCCCAGTCGAGGATCGCAATTACAGGCGAGCCTCTTTAGCAATTATTGAACAGAGCTTGTCATGCCCAGGGGGTCACCAACCCTATGGCCTGCGTTAACGAGGCTATCGTCAAGATCCCATTCCAGTATAAACCTGGGATACGTGCGGAATTCCCCGTCACCCCCAGGTGTTGATGGCCAGGGAGAAAGACAGCACAAAGGGTTGTGCACGACCCTGGGTCGTCGCTAGACCCTCCCTTCTTGGTGGTCGGCAGATGCCCTGTGCAAATCACAGGCTCGAGCTCGAGGACGACTAGGTTCGATTTCGAGTTCCAGACCGAGGCCCTTGGATCCGTGACCGGTCAACAGCCGAGAACAGCTCTTGCAGATGCACAGCCTGTCAGCTGGCGATGGGCCCACGGGCCTCGGTGCCATGTCCTGCCTGCGGATTGAATGGCTGCACCGCTGTATGGCTCACCGACACATGACCCAGGAGCGGCACTTGCGCGTTGGAGCCAGATTGATGGATGATGAGTAGCTTCGTGCATGACCTCTCAGATTGGGCCGCCTCGACGTTGGCAATGGTTGGCGAGCAACCTGTCGACACATGAAACATTGGGGGGGGAGGAAGGGACCAGGGGTTGGCTGTGGATGGCCGAAAGCAGAAAGATGCATCGACGCCAGGCTGGATGGGGTTAGCCTGCATGAGATACTTGCCGGGTCACCTCTTGGTCGCGTGCATTGCATGTACTCCCTCCTGGCCCTGCAGTCCGGGAAAGAACAGACTGTAATAAGTGTATGTACGTGCAGTATGGGAAGCGACGGTTGCTGTGTGCCGTGGCAAGAGCAGGCCATCATCAAACCGACCAAGAGACACCAGGCAAACATGCTTGATACGCTTCATGCTCACATCTCACACCCCAGCCTTGAATGGCCTGTTACAGTCTCTAGGCAAGCATCGCCGCGGGTCAACGGTGGCCACCCGTTCAACCAGCATTCAAGTGCCAGTGACACGAAAACTGGACTACCGCATGCAGCGAACAGCACTCCCCAACCTCTTTCAGCCCCCCGTCGTGCATACAAACATGGGCAGTGAAGCGTCGGCCAGCGGCAACGCAGGCCTCAACGCTGCGGCCACCCATCGCCGTCTTTGTCTCGATATGTGGGCGGATATTCTTCCATTTTGTTACCTCGTCCATCACTGCCACTTCAAATCGGGCCATGTGTTCGATTGCTGACCCCCAGCCTGAACCCCAGGCAGGCCACAACATTGCATCCGGACGGTCTGGACGGTACGCTACCAGACTATTGCCTACCACATGCAATCTTTTGCACAGCTTCTAGTCTATTGCCTGGTGGTCAGATGCCGTGGCAAGCTGACGCCTTTTTGGACCATCTGGTGGTGGAGCTGTCCCGAATGCAGCATGCAGCCCCGGGTGCCTCGACCCCAGCGCCACAATTGGCTAGCAGCATGTCAGTGACCCCGGCCGATTCGGGATGGCTGGATGGCATGCAAGCATTTGATTGACAGCAGCGCACCCATCAACTTGCCCGCCGGCAGAGGCTAATGCACCCCCTGCGTGCGGCTTCAGATTTTAGCCTGTCCGCCTGTGTGGAGACGCGGGAAATCAACAGGGTCGTCCCTCAGAAATCTGAAGACTGGTGATGCCACCGCGGACATGGTGAAACGGAACAGCATCCAACTCAACGGCTCTGGTGGACCACGGCGTATGTCCTGCGAGGTCGTTTCTCGGCGATCTGCAGCACGCATGAGATCTAAGGACCAGTCCTCGCCCGCTCATATTCCAGACATCGCGCTCCCTAACTGCCTCGGCACATGGCCCTTGACGATCTTGGCGCCGATTGCGACGACGCCCCGACAAACCTCACGCCAGCGTCCCGTAGGGCTGGGTCGTGAATCGGCCCATTGTCCATCGATTCAAAACTAATCTTGGCGAGACCAACTGGAAACTCCTGGCCATATCTCTTCTGGACAAGCTCGGCCGGGCGCATTGAAGCTGTCGTCAAGCGTGAGTTCGAATGGGCGCACGCATTGGCTGCCATGCTTTCTGTGGCTCAGTCCCGAGCGCCTGGTAGAGCAGCCAAGGACATTCGGGGTTCCCACCCATCCCGGCCAGATCAATCTTGGGTCCGTGTGCCTATTTCGGGGTCCATGAACCGAGTGACGTCGCGCATGTCGTTGGCAAACACTCTTGTCATGCTGGTACGAATGCTCTCGGGTCTGCATGAAACTCGACTCATCATCAATTTCCTGGAATAACTCCAAAGTGACAGGTTCATCACAATATTGCGACGCTGTTTCATGTGCCTGTCGACACCTGCCATGTCGTGGTCAGAGTTGATAAGATCAGCTCCACCCTACCCCCTGAGCCGATCCCTAAAATGCGGGCGGTCGATCCTCTCGGGAAATCCAATCAGTCCAGATTCGGCATCGCTGACCATAGCTCCGGAGCGGAACGCATGAGCACGGCTGTGTCCTGTCAGCGCTTCTGTGTGTCTGTGTCTAGTGTGACTGCGTTCGGGAGTCTCCAGAACAGGAAGTGTGGCTTTTGGCTTCTTGTCGCACTCAGCTCAGTTGTTGTCCCACCTAGCTTGGCGGGTTCTCCGAGCTGGATTGCGATGGCAGGCACGCCGCTCGCCGTACGCCTAGTTCCTCGGATTTAGAAGAGTTTTTGGCCCGGTCCACCACCTCGGTATCTACATTCGCTCCGAGTAGACATGCTGGAATTTACCGGTGGTCAAAACTCGGTACGATGGGGCGGGCAGGTCGCGAAACAAACGTATCTCTCCACCAATCTGTGTCGGTCACTGGGGATGAATCGGAGTGGGGCCTGAATCTCCCCAAGGACTGCAGAGCCTCAAGCAGATTGGTCGTTCCTTGGCCCCGTCATGTCCCCGAATTGAGTTTTCTTGCGATTTCCATAACGAATACGGGCCACATGCGACATTGGCGTCTCCAAACAGCCAGGACAATGTCTGGCATACTTTCTGGCTTTCTACTAAACAGCTTCGAGCCTCCTCCAGCACAGCATCCATCTCCCCCTACTTTTGCCTTAGTGCACGACCGATCTGGCATAGATAGATGCAGCTGCACGTGTCCATGTGGAGCGTGCGGATCTGCAGGTGGTGGTGGCACCGTCGGAGGGCATGCCGAGATGTGGCCTGCGCCCGCCGCTATTGGGCCGTGTGCCTTCTGAAACATACATGGCTCACTAGGAGGCATCTCCGGCTCCAATCATCCTGCCCCGTTCGATCCCGACTCGGGGCGCCGGCGAGCGGCGGGGTGACGCCGGGGAAACTTTTCAAAGACTCAGCCACGAGACCGGCGGCACGCAGAAGTGTTGGCGATGATGGCCGTTTCTTGGCTACCTCAATTACATTGGAGAACGGCTGTTCCAATCCTCTCCGTTGCGCGCTGCTTCACGGGCTGTGCGTTAGCTGCAGCTCTGTTCGGTCAGTCATTGAGGAACTCGCGCCCATCTCTTGGCTAGCCTCTGAAACATGCGTGCAAAGTTTGACTCTGACGTTCCTAACTTCCCGCCAAACTCTTGCGGGTTGGCTACTCGTGGTTATTTTCATAGCTTTGAGATGGGTGCCCGATGCAAATAGCATGTTCTAATCATCGGACGAAGCATCACAGTCGTCTTTCGGGTGAACCGGAGCACTCTATCTATCCATTGTCGCTTGGCACATCCTTCAGGAGGCGACAAGGCAATCGGGCTTAGGAGGACGACAACCGATTGTGTGTGTATATGCGGTGGCGGCTGCAATGGCTGACATTACAGATTGCCTCAGCTGCCGAAAACCCGATGGCATCTCCAAACTTCTATCAGTTGATGATTTGCCAGAGCATCTCACCCGACGGGTTTGATAGACCTCCACACACACACTCGGCCTTCGGCGGCGAGATGTCTCGGAACCGTATAGACCAGCCACACTTGGCCTTGCTGGGCCACCCGCCCCGGCCGAGAATCATTTCATGCATTCAAATTTGGCTTCAACGGCTTGCAGGGCGCGCGGTGTACCACAGCGACGCCAGTCATGCCAGTGCTGATTTCATCGAAGTCTGCATCCATAGCCAAACGAACGTTGCATCTCGATATCACCACTGGTTGCATCGTCATCGCCTCGCCTAGTCGCGCCTCGGAATCGGTTCACAACCCGAGTCAGCCCTTGCAAGCCAGGATAGTGCGTTTTCGGATACTGACCGCCAGGTAGCGTGTGTTACATGAAGGCGGTCCTGCGGTGAGATGAAGCGCGTTTGGCGCATGCTACAAGCACTCGAGACTCTGCTCGACACATTGCAGGGGCATGTACTGCTAGAGCAAGAGCCTGTCGTTCCCACTGCAGGGCGGAACTTCACCGGTGACCACACTGAGCTGTGAACTTGATGCTTACCCGAGATTTGATACTACGCCGGCCTCGCTGCGGCCATGGCTGGGGCGGCTGATCAAACCAGCAAATTTCAGCAAAAGCATTCTTGTCGCTTGTGGCATTTCCCGTTTTGTACCGCGGTTCTGTTATTTCCCACCGGGCGCTTAGAACAACAAAACTTGGTGCTTTTTCTCGCGCCGGGGTCCAAAACAGCCGCGCGCATCATCAACCCTGCCGCTGCGGAGATCAAGACTGGCGATGCGCTGCCTGTCCAACGTCGACGACAACGACAAACAAACAACACCTGCGATGACAATGATGCAAAAGGCGGCCGCTTCCGTTCCGAGGGCACCAGCGGTCATGCACCAAGACAGCCCAGTGAGCTACGTGCGTTCATCGCAGTTCTTGTCATCAACGATCACACAGCAAATCCCGACACCCAGCGCCGTCAATGCAAGTCAGCATGGTAGACGCTCGCTAAGCATTCCTTCCCGCCCCCCAGAATAGCTGGACCCAGCATTCTGTATCGTGGGGTCCGGCTCACTGCCGCCCTTGTAGAGCACGATCTGTAGCGCCCAATCTCCCCCGGCATGCTTAATTGCATTATTGCTTATTCTCTTTGCAGCACACCAGCAGCGCCACTCGACAGCGATCGTGCAGCTCAGCTCGGCTTCTTTCGGCCGCGCTGGGTACACGCAGGTGGTTGATTGGCGGTGCTAGCCGCAGCTGTGGGGGATTTTCTGTCCATTTTATTTTTTCTTACTATATTTGCATTGCGCCACCTGCTTCTCGGTACCAAGAAAACACGGGTCTGGATTCCTTCAATTTTTCCCTTGTTGTTTTCGTCTTCCGCGGGTGACGGCCTTCGGGTCAGACGATTTCCGGGGCCTACGCGTCTGCGACCGCGAGACGCATTCGCTATACTTGCATACTTGAAAATGGCAGGCGCCGGCCTTGGAGAGTAAGGGTCGGGCAGGCTGTTCGGTCAGGTGGTCGATTCCGCGGCCGGCCGCTGACAGCTGTCGAAGATCATGTCTGAGACCTGTCGCATGGCACGGGGCACTGAGACAGGAATCAAGTGGACTTGTTCAGAGCTCTGTGGAGTTGGACGGAGGCCTGGGCCAGCTATCAGACTGGAGACTTCGTGGCTCGACTTCGTCGGACCGCATTGCGCCCTGCACGCTCAGATGAGCTTTCGCAGTGGGCCGTGCCGGCCTTGAGTCTTGGGAGGCAGCCTATCGAGGAGGTCGGCGGTGGCCTACCACTGGTCAGAATGTCGCACAACGATGCTAGAATCCGGCCTTCTCGGCACGAAGACGGTATTAGCGAGCTGCCTGTCAATGGCTCGAAGGTCGAGCTATCTGAAACTGTAGGTAGTGCTTCGTTCGTACGTCGCTCTTGACTGTGAAAAGGTGTCTAGAGCACCAAAGGCCATGAAATGGCAGGTAAATACACGGCCTTGATCAACCATCGCTTGGCGATCATACTTGTGACACAGCTAGTGACTTTGTACTTCACGAGCAAATGGCAGAGGTTGAACAACAGTAGCTTCGTGAAGCCCATGAGTGGTGTGGGACAGAGTTACCCAATATCCGGATCAAGCCCAACAGAGATCCTCTTCTGAGCGTGAAAGTGACTGCAAGACCACCCGGCTCTCACTGATTTGCCTTGTGCCAATTGCAAATTAATGATGAAGATCAGGAAAGGGGGTTCTCGATCCTGGAGAAGGACCAGGGTCTATCGATACATTCAGTCGTGGACCAAGGGAGCAGGTTAGATTGGAGATCAGTGTGTCTCTGGTAACGGGGACGGGATATCTGTTCTCATTTCGATCCCACGCTCCCTTTTAGCGTCTCCTCCCTCACTTCAAAACACTTCACTCCGTTCAAAAGACTGACAGTCGTGATCCCATACTGTTCGAGCGTGACGTCCAAGGAAGTGGACACCGAGAGGGAAGATAGGGGTCGTGCCTCGTGCATGGAAAACCCCAATCCCAAAGATCAGAGATGTGGAAATATGCCAATACGATGACAGCACAAGATTTTTATGATTACATTGGATCCCAATATAGCTCAAAGACTGTTCTGGGAGCGATCGAAAAGCATATGGGAAGCATCGCCCATCCTGGCAACTCTATGCAGTTGAGCTCTCATGTGTACTCATTTAAGGGGTGGGAAGGGGAGTAGGAATAAAGTCACTTTAGTCTTTTATTTAGGAAATTCAGATCTCTTTTATCAAAAGGTATCCTGAAATTGGCTTGAATCTGCTCTGAGGCTGATCAGACCGCAAGCCTCTTAACATCAGGACAGCCTCGTAACCCCGATGCAATTTGTGGAACATTGAGGACCACGGAGTAACTTAAAATAGACCTAGGCCATTTCATAACCATTTCCTCAGTTGTAACCCTGGCTAGATTAGCATAAAATCCACGCAGAGGGTGTGGGTGCATCCAATTTCCTTCTGTATTCAAGTTCCTCTCGCAATTTTTTGGAATTTCCTTTTATAAGACACCACTGAAAATGACGTTCTTTGATGAATTCGTGGAAAATGACAAGAGACTTACGCCGAAAAGTCGACGTGGTAAGGAATGTCGTCCATGGATGTTGAATTTTGGAGCACCTTGAGTAGGCGGTACTGAAGTGACTAAGTAGACGTGTCTACTCACAATGTCGTGGAAGTTTACAAGTCGCGCTGATCAAAGAAGCACATGGCATGTCTCCGGAAATACATTTTCAACAGTCGAATGCTGCACAAACAATTTTTTCGCAGCCATCCGAAACATGAGGGCCGTTTCCACATGCTTCGTTGGCAGAATGGTGTTCTCGCACATAATGCAGGAGAAAAACTCGCACCATACTATCGACATCTTTGGAAAGGGGTGGCCATCTTTACTCTTACATCTCGCTCAACTTTGTTGGATTCTCCGGATCACAGTGTCCTTTTCACACAACCCATGGCTGCCAAAGGGCTCAGGCAAGCTACTCAGCAGAATGTCACCTTGTACAAAGATCATCAAAACCCGCAACCGACATTTGACAAGTGAGGGGGTTAATTACGCGACGAAGCAAAGGTACCGCTTTAAAGCCTTACAAGCGCATCACCGGTCAATAGTTGCGCATTTTCGTCTGAAAACAAATTTAGGTAAAGGGGAGCTTAGAAAACCCTTGATAACACGCTTTAGATAGACTGCGTTGAAGGGAAACCACGCCAGTGAACACGTAAATCTTGTTCAACTCTCCAAGCAACATACAATCTGATCATTATCTTGCGATTTGTAATTGTATTCCTCATACTCAGTTTTGAGTTCCGCAGCGCATGATGAACTCGGGGCAAAATTACAGGCTCGTTGATACGTGAGTTCTGACCTGATGCGGCATCCTAGACTAGTCCAAAGAATGTTCACGACTCTTACAAAGAGAATATCAAGGCTGCGCAATGCCAGTTTAGCAGTCCGGAATCATTTTCTCCGCGAAATGGATCTGGCCCGCAGTGGTCCACATATGCTGCTCATCTGTGACTCAATCCGCTAGCCGTCTTTCCACCCATCCTTTATCCTTCCCCAGCTCAGAAGTACCCACCTTGAGTAAATTAGGCTCGCTTGGAATCGAGAGTAACCCTGTACGTCATGTAATATAAGTTATCGTTGATAGACGCCGATGTGATGTGCCCGAAGTCGGCATCTTATCAGCGCGGTGGATCTTCGGGAGAGTCGACCAGAAATGTGGACTCCTTGTGAAGATTGTTTATATAATTTTTCTTCTGCCCGCCGTGGACTATGAGCGAATACTTCAGCTTTGACTGTATCCCTGATTGCAACTGACCTTCGTTGTCGGTAGTCCGCTCACTATGAAAGCCGCACTCGTATTTCTGGGCCTGGCATTCGCTGCGACAGCAGCTCCCAGCAGCAATTACCGGAGCCGGCCGGCGAAACATGGTGTTCATCTCTTAGGGGCTCGGAATGCCTCGACCGCCGGGACCAAGATTATTTTGGACAATGACTGGAGCACTGCCGGCTTTATCCCGTATCTCCTGGCTCTCGACGCCGGCTGGGACGTGCTTGGTCTCGTTGGCGATACTGGCGACTCGTGGGCTCTCCAAACCAGCCTTCATGGACTCGCGACCCTAGAAGCGGGCAATTTGTCTTCATGTATCCCGGTGTATAAAGGCTCCGACTATCCACTGGTCAACACCCCTGAGTTGTTCCAGACATGGGAGGACCTTCATGGCGACTTGCCCTGGGTAAGTCAACTGACGTGGACTGTGGAGTTAGAAAAGCCTGCTCACAATTTCGACAGCAAGGTGCTTTCGCTCCCGAGAACCTCACTGCTGAGGAACTCGGCAATGACCCAACATCGGGCGACCCAGAGAAGATTGTGAAGGCCGCCTTCAACGAGGGCTTCCCCAACGGAACCCTGGCGGGGAACAACTCCGCCGCCTGGATGGTTGAGCAGGTGCGCAAGTATCCTGGAGAGGTCATGATCTTCAGCGGTGGTGCTCTGACCAACATTGCACTGGCTGTTCGTCTGGATCCTCAGTTTGCCTCCTTGGCTAAGGGGCTTGTGATCATGGGCGGATATCTCGACGTGACCCTCCTGCAGACGTCTGGGTCTGTTCTGCAAGCGGACCTCAGCTCGGACGTGAGTCTCTTTGACATTTGAAGTTGGAGATGGAAAGGACCATAACGTCTTGGACTATGGAGTGCTAATTTTGAGTCACAGATCAATCTCAAGATTGATCCGGAGGGAGCCAAAGTTGCTTTAACGGCTGACTTCCCAAGCACAAGTGAGTAATCTCTGTGATTGGATAGTGTGAGTCAACGTGCTGAAAACGACAGCAATCGTGGGCAATGCTGCCAACCAGGTCATGTCAACTCAGGACTACTTGGATGAAGTCTATGAAGTTGAGACCCCGTACACCAAGCTCGTCCATGAATACTACGGTACAGACTTCCCTTTCTGGGATGAGACTGCAATGTTCTCTGTATTGGACACCAGCAACGTGCTCAATTCCACGACATGTAAGTACAAATATCTCTCTCTAACATTTTGGTAGCTTCGGGCCTCGCTTACGTTAAACTGAAGTCTACCTTGATGTCGATGTTGCTTATGCATCACCTTATTATGGAAATATCATTGGATACCAGGAGGCGTTGAAGCCCCGTGCGCAGAAGCTGCAAGAAGTAAACTTCATCTATGAGATCGATGGAGATAAGCTCAAGACTACGATGAAGCATGCATTGCAGTACCCTAAGACATGCTCGGACATGGTTTAGTTTAAATACTATATATGATAGTGTCGCTATTGGAAGCCCACAATGCTCCATCAAGGAGGAGGCGAAGCAATCCTCTTGGTAAGAGGGCCCGGCAAATACTTGGTTATGAGCTGAAATCTCGCGTCCAAAACTTCCAAACAATGTCTAACTCGGGTTTCGCAACTTCCCGATCTTCCCCACAGACGATGATCTGGAATCGGCATGGTCCTTGGTGGGTATGCCAGGTCATGACGCGCCGGGGCTACCGCCGAGGCGCTTCCTCACCCTCATCCGTACCCCGCTTGAGATCCCCGCGGGGCCCCACGATAGCGCAGTGCTTTCTGCCGCATTATGGGGTCACAGAAATACATGACGTTGGAGTTCACGAAACCCGGAGCAGGGTGAAACGGATGCCCTCTCCTCTTCTTCCTCAACATACTGTAGATAAGGCGTGGCCGTTGCTGTCAACTACTCTTAATAGACACCAAACTCAATCCCCCTTGTTTCACTACATATAAAAGCCAAAATGGGTGACGCACTGCCTAGCAAGTACAAAGCGGCAGTCTACGACCAACCAGGCAAGATATCGACCAAAGTGGTCGAGTTGGACATGCCGGAACCCGCTGCGGGAGATGTGTTGATCAAGCTGTACGCAAGCACCACCATGGTGCTACCTCACAAGGATATCGTATTGAGGAACGAGGACTGACACAACCCACAGCACCCATTCAGGAGTATGCCACAGTGATCTTGGAATCATGCTGAACAAATGGGCGCAGCTGCCATTCCCAACCGAAGTCGGCCAAGTTCGTCGAGCCCGCGCAAGTAGATGTGGTAGGGGAGGTACTAACAACACTTCTAGGTCGGTGGCCATGAGGGCGTTGGCGTCATTGTCAAAATGGGACCAGGAACAGAGAATTCTGATGTCAAGGTGGGAGACCGCGTCGGAATCAAGTGGCTTGCTGGTATATGTGGAAGCTGCCGTAAGCCTTGCTCGGCCTCCTCCAATCGTCTTGGTGACTGCCTCGCTGATGAACGGCCATAGCACCCTGCCTGGCTGGGTATGATGCCGCCTGCTTCAAGCAAAAAGTCTCCGGGTACTATTGGCCAGGAACATACCAGCAATATGTGACCAGCTCCGCCACTTACGTTACCCCTATACCAGAGGGTCTTTCCTCTGACGCTGCTGCACCACTGTGAGTCTCCCAGAATTTGGTTGCATCCCGGCCGCACAAGGGTGCTGAGTTTGCCCTCAGGCTATGTGCCGGTGTTACAGTCTACAGCGCCCTCCGCAAGTCAAACACACAGAGCGGGGAATGGGTGGTTCTTCTTGGTGCGGGAGGTGGTAAGTAACCCTGCTTTGGTCACAGTCTCCCAGAGTGTCTAATTCTCCGAAGGCCTCGGCCATCTCGCTGTCCAGATGGCGTCTCGTGGCATGGGTCTTAGGGTGATCGGAATCGACAATGGAAGTAAGAAAGACATTGTCATCGAGTCCGGAGCTGAGCACTTCATCGACTTCACGGCCAGCAAAGACGTGACGAAAGAGGTGATGGACCTGACAGGAGGGCTCGGCGCCCACTCTGTAATCGTGCTTACAGCAGCCAACGCTGCCTATACGATGTGAGTGTTACTTGTTCACGGACGTGTCTACAACAACTTATCCCGTTGGGAAAATACTGACGCCCGGTGGCCTCTCAGGGGTATGGACCTCCTTCGCTTCGGAGGCACCCTTGTCTGTATCGGCATCCCGGAGGGTGACCTCACAGCTATCAGTACAGCCTACCCACAGATTCTGATCGCAAAGTTGCAAAAGATCGTTGGTGTTGCGGTCGGCAATCGGAAGGAGGCCATCGAGACCCTTGAACTTGCCGAAAGAGGCATCATCAAGACGCATTTCAGGACCGAGAAGCTGGAGAAGCTTACTGAGATTTTCGAACAGATGCACAAGGGTGAGCTCAACGGGCGTGTAGTTCTGGACCTACAATAAGCCCGTCGCTGCCCTGTTGGGCCGGGCAGGCATGAGGAGTTGCTGGTCTCTGGTATTCTGACCAGTAGATCTGAGTTCAATCTCGTATCTATCATTTGGCGGACTTGCTTTTTTAGGTTGAAGCTTCGAACAAGAATGCCTGTATAAGTTTGTACCGCCCTCTTGCAATGGTGGCCACGAAGTGTGTTGACATCTTTAACGATCAAACACGACGGAAGACACCCCAGCAATGTCAGATGTACTTGTAATGTCCCAACGACCTTCAACGAACATTTTCTACTTGATTTGCTATCACTGTTAAAACATTTATGCCAATGCGTGTTAACACACATGATTGCGGCCCGCTTTGATAAGCGCAACCGTTTTGGGACACCGAAAGACACTAATGCACCTGACGCCTTCGAAGGATTCCAGCAGTGACTCACCTGACCGTCCTATCGCTTTCGCATTCACTTAAGATGGATCATAGGGTCCGAGCATGATCCCATCTACATGTACCTGCCAAATAAAGCCAAGAGGCATGGGTAATTCTTCTCAAGTATAAATACAGTTTTGAATTTCACACAACGTAGCGTAGTAACCCGCTGTTGGTAGGTCTCTCGTATGGGAAGCAATCGTGTATTAGTGTTATTCTATCTAAGTTTTAAGAGGCTACGTGCCCCGGAGGGGATAACTAAAGTAGCCTTCCAAGTAACAAGGGTCATACTTACCAATACTCACAGTTTTTCTTTTCTTTTAATAAGTATATACAATCCTTATTATAATCAACCCTAAAATTATAATTTATTATATATTAAGTATATATAACCTTTATTATAAAAAAACATTATTAAAAAGGCTTAAAATTATAACTTATAAGTTTTAAAATAAGTCCTAGCAACTCTTATTATTATACCACCCTTTAAACTTATAACCTTTATTATTATACTATTCCTTAAACATTATACTTATTATCCTTAATACTTAGCTTTTAAAATCGCTTCTTTATAAAAATTATTAACTTCTGCGTAAAAGCCTTAATCTTAAATCTCTTCTTTATAAGGGAAGTTAATGCCTATAAAGTTAATATTAAACCCTTTAGCTTATATTCATTTTTATTATATATCTTTATAATATAAATATTATTATTTCCATCCTTATTCTTATTACTAAAATATACTTAATATTACTTTAAATTATTTTCCTTTAGCCACTTCTTATCCTCTTAAAACTAAATATTATAAGCAACCTAATTATTCATTAAGTTTTTTTCTCACTTTTTATTATTCTTTTTAATTTCCTTAATAATTATTTTTTATTTAAATTACTTAAGTAATAATGCATATTTCTTAATAAGTTCCTTTATATATAAGCTTTATATATGCTTATTAGTAATTTAATATAAAAAGTTTTAAAGCTAGGTTAATATAATAATTTAATTCTTTAATAGCTAAATCTTTTTAATTTAATATATATAAAAAATACTTAAAATTAAAACTTTTATTAAATTATTTATTATAAAAATTATAATAATCTAGCATTTAAGATAATAATTACCTTAATAATTTTTATTATTAAAAATACTATGCAATCTTGCACTAAGAGTTCCAATGCTTTTAATATAAATATATAACTTTTTAATTATATTATTAAAAGATATTTACTTATCCTAATACTAAAAATTATTAATAATTTAAATAATAGCTATTATAATAACATTATTTAAGAAAAGTATTTTAACTTAAGCTATAGCTATAGCCTTTAGCTTATTAATTTTAATAATTTTATAAGAGTTAACCTTAATAAGCAACTTACTTTTTTTAATGCTTAGTATAAAAGTAAAGTTAAAGGCAATCTTTGCAATCTTTATTAAGGTCTTATTAGCTTAATTTTAATTATCTTTATTATTAATAATGATTAAATTGCTATTAATATTAAGTAAATAAGAATTGTTATTATTAATATCTTTATTAATATTTATTAAATAAGTAAGTAAATAAGAGTTATTATTATTAATATCCTTATTAACATTTATTAAATAAGCATTATTAATAATAACCTTATTATAAGAATTAGCAAGATTAATAAGCTTATCTTTATCTTTATTAATTAAAATGATTTTAGCCCTTTTTGCAGCCTTAATAATAATTTCAATCTTTATCTTATTGCTTAATAAAAATATAGTTGCAATATTTATTTTATTAGTTAAGGTTATAGTTGCAATGTTTATAAAGGAATCCTGATTTTAATTAAGGATTGCAATAAGGTTACCTTTAATGCTAGCCATATTAATAATAATCATAGCAATAATTATACTAAGTATATCCTTAGCATAAAAAGTAAATATAATATTCGCTAAATAATTCTGCTTATTATTATTATTTTTATAAGGCATATTAATAAAAGTATTAAACAACTTTTATAAATTATTATTAATATTTTTCATTATAATAAAAAAGAAAAAGATTTTATAAAAATTTAGCAATTAAAATAAATATTTATAATGCAAAACTTTATAATTATTATATAATAATTATTAATTTATTCTTTAATTATAAAAAAAGTTAATAAATTATAAATAAATTTAATAAAAGTTAATTTTAATATCTTACTAATAAATAGTAATAAAAGGTAATAATAATAATAAGATTAACTTTAAAATGATAATTATTAATAATATTAATAATTATAAGGTTATCCTTATATAAAATAAGGTATTAAAAAGGTTTTAATTAAAATATAAAAGGTTAAAGTTTATATTAAGAGTTTAAGTTTAAAAAGTATAAGGTTTTACAGCTAATAATAATAAGGTTAAAAGGAAAAGGATGCTAGCGGTAAGTTGCTCCTTCCTTAATAAAAAAAGGCTACTTTAAGTTTCTTAACTAATCTATCTACCTATATGCAAAACTTATTATTATTAATAAGCTTTTATAATATAATATTTAAAGTTAGTTTTATTATTATATTAATAAGGTTATCTTTTCTATTTATCCACCTTATTTTAATAATTTCTTTTATTTTATATAATTTTTATAATAATATAATATTAATCATAAAGCACTTTTCCTTTATTATTCCCAGCTTTATAAGATATTTATATAAGCTATATAAGTTTATATAAATAATTAAGGGTATATTTAATAATAAAAGTTATCTTATAATTATCTTAATTATTATAGCCAGGAAAATTCCAATATCCACTTTATTTACCATATTATAAATTTTACTTACCAACATGCTTTAAATAATATATTTATATTTTATTAATAATTAATAAAGAATATTACCTATTATTATAAATCCCTTAATTTCCTTATAAATCTTATTTATAAGGATAATAATATATCTAAGTTAAAATATTAAGTCTTAATTATTTATAAATAATCCATTTATAAATATAAAAAGTTTCGCTATTTTAAAATCTAAGGGCATATACTTAATTCCTTACATAGCGTTATTCATTTACTATAATAATTACATATTTAAGCTCTTATAATCTCTTGCCTTTAAATTCTATACCTATGCAGCCACTAAAAGATTATATAAAGCTTTTAATTAATAAATTAAAGCTATATATACTTTGCAAGCTCTTTATTTAAGGTATCTTTAAAGAGCATCTTTAACTATTGCATTAATAAAAGCAAGTTTATCAGCCTATCCCTTCTATTAAATAATAATTAAGCTAGTAATATCCATAATTATATAAATCTCATTATAATTTATTAGGTTTTTAAGCATTAACTCTTATTTTAATTTTCTTTATAATTTCGCAGCTTTTATCTTAATCTCCTCTTTATTTTAAAATTTTAGCATAAATAAAATTAATATATTATCCATTTATATACTTACCATTTCAAAAGGTTATATAAGCTTTATAATCATTAAGTAAGAATTATATATAAAGCAATTTATCTTAAGCTTTTATTAATAATATCTTTAATATATATTAAACTAATAAATACTGAATTTTATTATGCTATATAAGGATTAAATAATATAAATAATCATACTTAAAGGGTATTTATTTTTTAATTTCTTTAATAGCTTTATAAAAATCATTTTATGCAATTTAAACTTTATTTAAGGGTAAGCTTAAGTAATATCTTAAAATATAAGAATTATACCTTTTTCTTAAATTAATAAGGGGGCAAGTATAAAAATCATTTATTAACTTATTCTTTAAATAATTAGGCTTTGCATTAAGATTAATCCCTTTTTATTATTATTATAATCTTAAATAATAAATTAAGATTTTTTATAAGGTTTTATAATTTTATTTTTTACCTTTTATATTATGCAAAACTTAAAGAAATAATATTTATTATATTACTTTGCTAACCATTTTTTAATTTAAAAGATACCTTTAATAATAAAATTATTAATTTTCATTTTATTAAACTTTTTAAATAATAAGCTTAATATTATAATAACTTTATCTTATTTTAGTTTAATTGCTAAATTATAATTTTTATTTTCTTTCTTTAAGATATATAATATAATAATGTAGTCTTTTATTTTTAATAATAATAATTATATAATAAGTTGCATTTAAAATTTCATAACTAAGTTTTTTACTTATAAAAATTGCATTTCCTTATTATTATCTTAATAATATAGTTAAATAACTATTAACTTAAACATTGCAGCTTTATTTAGCATATTTAAGATTATATTATAACCATTTATAATAATAACTTTATATAAATCTTTTTATCCTTTTCTCTCTCTTTATATGCAAACTTTACATTATAGTAAATATTTTATATTAAAGATAAGTTTAACCTTAGTATTTAATGCATTTTATACTTACTATTTAGCTATAATTTTTTATAATATCTTTATAGCCTTTAAAATAGCTTTTGCTTACTTTTATATTAATAGTAATAATAGTAACTTATGCAATATTTATAGGTAAGCACTAAAAACTAAAAGCATAGGGACCAATCCATTTAATTCAGCAGTATTATTAATAGCTTTTATAGCTATTTGCAAAATAATATTATTATTTATGTTATTATATAGTTTAGTATATAGGATTTTATATGCTTATTTAAGGGCTTAATAGTATTTCTTAACTTTCTTAATAAACCAATATACCTTTATAAAAATCTATTTGTATTTAATTCCCATTATCCATACCTTTAAATAAAATTCTAAGGATGTAAAGTTCATTCCTATATTATATTTAATAATATTTAATAGTCCTTAATATATATTAATTTAAAGCATTTATAATATCTATTATATAGTTTTTATAAATATTAATTTTAAGAATTTTGCTCCTTAAAAAGTAATGGCTTAATTTATAATATAAAGAATTAAATATCTGCTTAAATATATTATATTAATTAAGATTTTATAATTAAATTCATAATTATTGCATAATATAAACTTAAAATGCCTAAATGCAAATCTATTTATTTAATAATAATAATATATCTTCTTAATCTTTATTATTACTTATTTATTAATATTTAAATTGCTAGCTTTTTTAAGCATTTAGTATAGTTAATTTATTAATGGGTATTTAAAGCAATAATAAAGTTTCTTTATTTCTATCTTTAAAAGGAAATATATAGCATTAATAATTTAGTTTAGGAAAAACCATAAATAGCTCCATTTTCTAAGTATTAGTATAATAATTACATTATTAAAGAAAACCATTTTATTTATAATATTATTATAATATACTTAAAGCTTATTTATATTTATTAAGCAAAGCAAAAATAGGGTTTATGCTTAAATAATATAAAAGTTAATATAATTAATTAAAATGGAAATTTCCATTATATTAAATAAATTAATAATTATCCCATTATTAAATTTAACTTTAGCTTTTCTTATAATAATTATATTAATTTAATACTTTAAATCTTTTTATTATAATATAAGAAATTGCTTATATTTAGCTATAAATATTAATAATGCTTTTATATTTAGTAGAATTCCTTAAAAATAAATTTAGTTATATTTATTCTTTAAGATAAATTAATTAGCTATAATAATTATCTTTATTTAAAAAATATTATTTCCCGTAATTTAATGCATAAACGCTTTATTAGCCAGGAAATTAATATTTATATAATAAACCTCCTTATTAAGTCCTACCTTTATAATATAGGTATTATTATTATAACCATTATCTTAATTCTATTTATCTTTATATTTATAAAATTTATTTTTATTATTCATTTTATATCCTTTAAATTTACTTAAAAAAGTATTAAAGTTATTATTATAACCTTTATATTTATATTATATTAAGTAGCTTCTTTTTATTAAATATTATTTATTAGCTAAATGTTTAATTAATTAGCATCTTTTCTTCTTATAAATATAATATCTTTTTTTTTAAAGTTATCCTTCTTTTCCTTCTTTATAAGTATTATTACTTTAAGTTTTATAGCTAATGTTATAAGATCTTAATTACTTAAAGCTTAAATAACTTAGGTTTAATTAACCAAACCTTTAATTTCCTTAAAATGCTTAAGATTATAATTATCATTTTCCCCTTAGCTTTTAGCCATTATATTTATAATTAATATAATATTAATTTAAAACTTTATTTATAATATAAATTATAATTACGCAGCTAAGCTATATTTTTATTATAAATCTTAAGTTTAAAAATAACTCTTTATATAATTAAGTTGGCTTAAAAAGAGCTATTTTTAGCTTAAGAACTCCTTTATAAGCTTTAATTATTATTATTTTTAAGTTATTCTTTTTAACATAGTTTTAGCTTAATGCCTATTAATAAAGTTATAGCTTATTAAGCATTAAATATAAAACCTTATATAAGTCTTTATTTGGGTTTTATGCTCTTATCTTTATAAATATTATTATTATTTAGTTTATATAATAATGCTAATAATTAAGGTTTATATTAAAATATATCTTAATTTTAAGGTATGCTATTATAAATATATTAGTTTAATTTATAAAATAAAAATAATAGGTTTTAGCTTAATCTTTAAGCATTTAAAAAAAAACTGCATAAAATTAATTTAACTAGATTTTAATATAATAATAGATATTAAAAAACATCTTTATCTTATTATTTAATAAGTTATATAAATTCCTAATATACTTATAAGAGTTATTAAAGGTTTTTATAAATTATATTAACTTCGCTAGATTTAAGCGTTTATTGGGAATATATTATGAGAAAAGAGTTTTATATAAATTATACTTCTTATTTGGTGGAGGCATTTCTAAGGCAGCCTAAGGTTATGCTAGGTATAGTATATATCTTTAATATAAGCTTTATTTCCATTTCTCCGCTAATAATAATAGGCCTTGCTGGCTATATTAGTTTTTAATAAATTGCATTATTAAGTTTAAGTTTTATAATTATGCACTTAAAGCTAGCGGCAGCGATAAAAGTTGTTTTAAGGATTATCCTCTTAGCAATTATTATTATTTAAAGCTTATTTATAATACTTATAAGGATTATACTTATAATTGCTATTTTTAAAATTAAGTATAATATTTATTTATGCTTAATTTTAAGGTTAATAAAGCATTACAAAGCTTATTATTAATTTATTTTAATCTTTCCTTAACTTAAGCTATAATAATTAATTATAATACTATAGGTTAGTTATTATATTTTATATAAATACCTTGCATTTAAAAAAAGACTTTTAAATATTATTAGTAAGGATTTAATAATACTTTAAATATTACCTATATCCACGCTATATAATCCTCGCAATAAGTAATAAAAAGGTTATTATTATAAAGGTTTTATTGCATATAACTTATTAAAGTACTTATTAAATAAGTAATTAAGTATTTTATTAATGCTCCTTATGTAAAAGCTATAAACCATAATTTTAGGTTAATATATTTATAATAGGCTAAGTTAATTAAAGTTTAAGCAAGCATTTTATTAATCATATACCCTTTAATAAAAGCTAGTGGCTCCTTAGCATTATTAGCCATTTTTATAGGTTTTTATAATAAATATTATAAGGAGTAAAATTAATAAAATAAAGAAATATTAATAAAATAGGTAATATTTTAAGAGTAAGTTAATAATAGTAATTTAATAGTAAGTAAGTTATAGTTATTAAAAGGAAAAAGTTATTAATTCCTTTAGGTTTTAAAAGCTAGGGCTTTCTCTTATTATTAAGTTTTTTTATATTAATTAAAAGCATAATGCATAACTTGCATTTGCTTATAATATAGCATTGCATTAGCTTTAATAATTGCAATAATTGCAAGCTTTATTTATTTAGCAATTATTAAGTTTTGCTAGGTCTTAAAGAGGATTTAAAAATAGGTTTATTTTTAGTAAAGTTTTATGCATAATAAATGTATATTTTTTAAATAGCAATAAATATGCATATGGATATTGCAGGGAATGCCATTTAGTTTATTTAATCTTTATAATGTCTGCTTAGAAAGTTTAATAATGCAAGGAGGCCTAAAGAAGCAGTCATTATTATATAGCGCTTATTAATAAGGAAGATATAATTTTTAGGTTAGGGAAATCCTTATGGGGTTGCCTCTTCTACCTTATTAATTTATAATACCTATGATTACTGATTAGTGTTGGTAGGTCTCTCGTATGGGAAGCAATTGTGTATTGGTGTTGTTCTGTCTAAGTTCTGAGAGGCTACGTGCCCCGGAGGGGATAACTAAAGTAGCCTTCCAAGTGACGAGGGTCGTACTTGCCAACACCCGCGGACTGCTTGCCCACCTCACCTACACTATCCGCAAAAACAATGGTGCTCCAAGTACTACCCGCCCAAGAGGCGGACATGTACCGATCCGCAGTTATTGAGCGCGAAGCCTACAAGCCCTTAGAAACTAACCAAATCCTGTTTCCTGGGCCGTTCCCTCCCGATGTCCTGGAGCACCGCGCCAATGAGCTCAAGGCGCAGTCGAAGGAGCCCAACACGTTCTGTTACAAGGTCATCGACACAGAGCTAGAAGGGGAGCAGATGATATCTTTTGCGAAATGGTAGGTGCCTCTACTGTGGATGGAGTGGGGAAGGTTTTAAATATTAAGCCATGGCAGGGTTGTCTATGATGGGATCAATCCGCCCAAGCCAAGGCCACAAAGACAGTGGCCCCAGGGAATCAATGGTGAAGCGTGTGAGCTGTTGTTTGGCGGGCTGACCAAGCTTAAAGAGAGGGTCATGGGGGACAGAAGACACGTGTGTAAGTCCTCAAAATCCAGGATGACTTGCCTTGTGCGCTGCAATAGAACCCTGCCTCAAACAACATCTCACTGACCTTCTTTGGCAAAGACATGCACCTACTCCATACCGATCCCAACTACCAGGGGCGTGGAGCGGGAGGCATCCTGACCTTGCGGGCCGTTGAAGAGGCAGCAAAGAGGGGCCTCCCGGCGTACCTAGAGTCTTCTGAGGCGGCACACCAGCTATACCTGAAGCAAGGATTCAAGGACTTGGAGGAGCTGGCCACGGACTTTAGCAAATGGGGATTGGAAACCCCCCACAGAGTCTGGGCTATGATACACGAACATGGCGCCTAGGGTATCCCATGGACAAGAAGACCGACTCCACAGGCACATCTCGTTCGTTGGCTCGAAGTTATGTAAGTGGGCGAGGCTTGCTCGCCACCAATTCGACACACTATCTACGGAGCAGGCAGTCGACTTTGTACAAAGGTGAGGTAGTAAGTGGCTGAGTAGGAGTCAATGGAGGCAGAACTACGAATCCATCTGCGTGGAGGGAGAACAACATGCCGTCGAATCCAGTTCACTTGATCTATGCGATTTAATGGAATAGCACCATCGATGGCTCAGGGAGCCTCTGGCCGAGGACGCCTGATGGCTAGACAGGGTTGACGGTGAGCTGCAGAAGGCAGAGGAAGGAGAAACGAAAGTCCACTTCTGAATCGAACACACTGCAGATGCGTGGTACTGATCTTAAGCCGTCGTCGTGTTTCCGATAGGCCAGCGTATGAGTTACCGTGGGTTTGGCGTAAATTCGTATGCTAGTCGTGTCAGGTGTGAACACGATTAAGATTCTAAGAAGCCATCTGTTGAACAATACTCGCGTCTTGGAAAGATGTCCAAGACTTTTACACGAATGCGACAACATCTGACCAGGAATGGAACGAAGTCATCTCCAATCTCTTATAAATGTCGAGGGAGCAGGAATGATCATGTCTTGGATTCGCAATAGCAACCAAGAGATTAATGAGTCACATTACATCAATCGATGAGAATCATCTTATCCACGCTTCACAAACCACGATGACATTGTATCGACCTTCTGAATAGGCTCTGGCGGTGTTGTATGCATCTCAGGTTGCTATCACCATAACGGTCGAATCCGGAAGCTTTTGGGAGATGTGACCAAGCCCAAGAGTTGTCTTATCTTGACTTGTGGATGGTGCGCTATTGAATATGGGTCTCAAGCCCCTAAATTCCCTCGAGGGACCAAGATTGCGGGTCCTTGGTAGAGGGTGACAGATTACCATAGGAGCATTACAGCCTTGAAAAAGAATTCACTTGGTCCACTAAAGAGGTGGCCCCTTCCACGTGGCCCGTTCTGGCCGCAGCTATCTCATTGTGGCCCACTCTCAAAACATTGAAGTCTTCCTGTGTCCTGCTGTACTTCTAGATACAGTTGTCAAACGGGAATGTGCAACGGTTCGACACGTAGGACGGGACAGCTAAAGAAGACTGCCCCGGGTTTCCAGAGTGTTCTGGAGATTCTGACCATTTTATGCTCTGCCCTATAGTGCAGCGGTGTACGGTACCATCTTAACACGTTGCGACCATGAGAGTCTTGGCCGCTGTGTTCTGTACCGCGGGGCCGTGCGCTGTACGCATCTGCGCGGCAGACCCCAAAAGAGCTGACATAAGGAGACCAAAGAAAATCTGAGTATCCCGAGCCCGGATACAATTCGGTGTGGAAACCCAGGCTCGTCAGGAGCTGAGATACTGTGCGACCCTACCAGCCCATGACCAGTATGACGCGCGACGAGAGCAGTGAAAAGAACACAGATTGGAATGAACTCAAACAGGAACAGAACCGGACATATAAGCAATTATGAATGAAACGGTGCGGCGTAGACGCATCCATATAGACTGCCTCACGTACTGTCGTTCTCTTCCCTCGCAGTGCAAGAGGCACAACCGTCCTGCTGGCGGCATACGCGCAAGGACATCCAACCACGGCATGGCTGTGGAAGCTGGGCTGACCGATAAACGGCGTGGGAGGACATGCTCTCGCTGGAGACTGGTGATGGGCGGGAGGGAAGTAGTCCAGAAGGCTCCCGAAGAGGGTCAGTGGTTGACCCAGTCCATATCTGATCGAGGCAAGTGACCTCGAGGACTCAGCTTGGGCTGGCATGGTGACATCCACGTTGACTGTGCAACTTGCACGGGGGTTGGACTCGAACCAGGCAACGAAAAAGCGACAGCCATCAATGCCCAAGCCCGAGAGGGCCCCTAGAGGAATACCGGGGTGGAAGGGGTGCGTGAGGTGCATAGGGTGAGGTGGAAGCTGACAGGGGGCCCGAGGGCATGTTGGGTGCTGATTGGTCAGATCGAGGCAAGTCCTCCCACCTCGAGTCTGCCCCGTATAAAAGCCCTGTGCCACCTCCATTTTCTGTTCCATGTCCTTCCCTCTTTCTTGAACCAAGGTCCAAAATCATCAAGATCTTGCCATAAACCACATTGAAACTTTCAGTGGTATCAGAGTCCATCTAGCAGAACCCTCCTGAGGACACTTGCTCTCATTTTGTACGGTCCTCCCCTTCACGCCTTGCTCCTTGCCGTCTTCAGGTCATATCACTTCCTTCCCCGTGTTCAGTGTCAAATTGACTTGAATCTCTGGGAAGATAGAGATTGCCAGACAAGACCGCAACACTCGGAAAACAACAATGGCACGGTCAAGTCATAGCTCATCATCGTCTTCCACCCCTCCGCACGAGTCTCACCACCGTCGACAAGGACGTCAGCCATCAACAAGGCATTCGCCTTCGGATCAGCGCCCTCGCCGTTCAGTTGTACTTGACAGCGATATTGGGAGCCCACTGGAAGACGTCACTGACGTCGTGCTTGCAACCGAGTACTACTGGTCACCGGAGCCATGGCCACAGCCAAGGAGCCGGACCACGAAGCCGTACGGGGCAAGCATGGCGAGCACGTCCACACTAGAGGCAAGCAGCGCCGTGGCACCTGGCCGCAGAATGTCACCCGCGGGAAAGATTCCTAAGCGTGTTCGCGGGGAAGATCTCAAGGACGGGGAATACAGGCTTTCGACACCACCACGGACGCCTCAGCTGGGCCGACTCGGCACCCCTGACCTGGAATTGACGCGAAAATGCGACAAGTTCTGTGACTGCTGCTCGGATGAGCACAAGTATCTGGAAGACAGGTCAAAAATGGATTCTCAAAGTAGGTTCACGCACTCTCTTTCTTTTGGCTGGAGCATGTCGAGGTGGCTGTCTTTGGTCGTCGTCTGCCGTAGGACTGGGGTGAGACGTGACTAAGCCATACTGACCAATGACAAGTCGAAGCTGCCTTGGCTCATATGCGTGGGCCATCAGGCAGAAGGCTCTTGACTTCTGGGAATGACGTCCGTCGGGCGAGGTGAAAATTGATAAGGATGAGTATGGGCACCGACTAATTCCGAATGATGACTATGAGAGGGGATAAAATGGGCAGGTAATGATGTTTGGGTTATGATGTTGGCTGGCGTCAGGTATACTGCCTTTATTGGAAGCTTGCGGCTCTTTGGTGTGCTTGTCTTGTTTGCCTAATAACTTGAGGTGTCGTTGGTGGGACTGTTGAGCATCGCACCAGCGTGGCTTTTCTGTGCATGGGAATGCGAACATGTAGTTTGAATATCGTATATGCCGTTTGGCTCTTGTGAACATGGCCACAGCCGCGTTTGTAGACGTTGACATCGTCTTTCCTCTGACACGAAGGTTCCCTCAGTACAGCCGGTAGCTGCTGGGATCAACGGCGAGTCTTTGGAGTGGGAGCAAGTCAGACATCGTGGCATTCTGACCATGACTTACGGCAATTGGCGAGTTGCAGATGTGGTCGGTGCGTGGAGGGTGGTGGGCAAGCACGATCGCAGGGCAGGACGGCTGGATGGCAGAGGACGGGACCGACGTTGGACGTTGGACGTGGGATGTGGGGCGCTTATCGGTCTGCGCAGGCAGCAGGCAACTCGAGCCACCCCACTTAGTCAGCGGACCAACTCAGCTCCGTAGTAAACTGGCGTACTTTACGTACGGTAATACAACAGCAAGGGCAAGCAGAGGAGGCAGGCCATCATCGACGACTTCAATTCAACGTCGCCGCCAGCCAGCCTTTCACCAACATAACCTGCCCACTGGTCTTCACGCGTGAGGTCGTATTTTCAAGGTCGCATCAGATTGGCTTGCTGTATTAATGCAGCCATGACATTTCTGTTGCGCAGAAATCTAGAGGCCGTGCCGCCCTACCCTCGTGGTGCCCACGCGATTGCGTTCCAACCACCATGGAGACGCTGGGAACATGATGCCATTGTACCCCAATGCGGATTCTTGGCATATGCCGAAGAAGCCCATGGCTTCTCCTTTCATCGGTTGTGATGGCGCTCCTCCATTCGTGCACCCTCGCTGAGGCCTTGTGCATGGACAGCAACTTCGGTGACACCATCCGTCTCCGCCTGCGCGGGACCGAACATGCACGCCCGACTAATCAGCCCCTGCAACCGCCAACCTGTGTATCCATCCTTAAAGCCCTCGTGTTCGGCAGGATCTGGGCCCATGATGCCTCGCAAATCTACAGTCTGGTGGGAGAGTCTCGGTGTACACAGACCGAGTGCAATATGGATCCTCAACCTGCACGGCAGCTCGCCGCTACTGGCCAGCTGACTGTCGCGTTAACATGATGCCTTTGATATATGCAAGGTCTGTGGAACTTGCGGCTCATGGCAGCAATGTTTGCACCCTAATATAAATGTGTTGAGGGGTTGATAGCGCAGGAGGTGATGACGAGAACGCCCCGGAAACGGAGACTTGAAAGATGTGGTCATCATTGGGGACCATCATCTGCGGTATAAGAAGACAGCATCGCCACCGACATGAGTGTCGTTGAAGACAACAGTTTGTGAATGTCATCGCTTCCCACCTGTCTTGAACTGGCAACTGTCGATGATCACGATGCTTCTGGCCATCTGCTTGGCTGCTCTCTGGGGCAGTGCCTTCACTTTTGCCACCATCAGCCGCAGTCCAACCCTCTCCAAAAATACCACCATAATTCCTGGTGCCTATGTTGTTGAGTTTGTGGGCGGCCATGACCACACATCCTTTTACAGCAGCCTGAGGGCTGAGGGTGTCGATGTCTCCCCGCGGATGAACATGTCTTTCCAGTTGTTCAATGGCTCTTCTTTCTCCATCACGAACCTCAGCGAACATACCGGAGCCGCCTCAAGGATTTCTGTCATGCCATCTGTCAGACGAATCTGGCCTATGCGCCGGTACCCTCCACCCAAAGTCCAGCACATGAACTCCGCCCCATTCCTGAATTCCAGCGGCCCTGGGTTTGCTTCCAAGCTGGGTAACGCTGCCGCCTCGGGCAACCATTCTTACTCTCCTCATGTGATGACCCAGGTCGACCGCCTGCATGCTGCAGGATACACCGGGAAAGGAGCTCGCATAGCAATCGTCGACACCGGCGTTGACTACTACCATCCTGCCCTTGGAGGATGCTTTGGAAAAGGATGTCTGATATCTGGCGGCTACGACCTCTCGGGCCACAGCTACGATGGCACCAGTGCTCCTGAGCCGGGTCCTGACCCATACGACAGCTGTGACGGCCACGGCACTCATGTGGCCGGAATCATCGGCGCCAGGCCCAACGAAATGGGTTTCACAGGCGCAGCACCAGGGGCTTCCCTTTCGATGTACAAGGTCTTTAGCTGTGAAGGAGGGGGGTTTGGATCAACCGACGACATCCTGATCTCTGCATTCAACATGGCCTTCGAGGACGGTGCCGATATCATCACCGCCTCGATCGGTGGGTCCGGCGGATGGAGTGAAGAGCCCTGGTCCTCAGCCGTTGGCCGGATCGTGGAGAACGGCGTCCCTTGCACACTTGCCGCCGGGAACAGTGGCTCCGAAGGAATGTGGACGCCCAGCACAGCCGCAGACGGCAAGGACGTGACTGCTGTGTCTTCTTTTGATAATGTGAAAACACCTTATCTTCTGTACAAGGGCAGCTACTCAACCAACTCAACGTCTTCTGGACCATGTTCCGCCTCCAACGCCTCCAAATCCTTCGGATGGTTGCCTAGCTACCAGCCCTTTGAGAATCTGACGCTGCCTCTCTGGGCCACCAGCCACAACACGAGCGTGGAAGATGATGCATGCTCAAGGCTCCCAGCGGATACACCGGACCTATCGAACTTTATCGTTTTGATACGCATGACCACGGCCTGTGACACCTACGATCAAATGCGCAACGTGTCGGCCTTCAATGCTCAATACGTTCTCTTCTATGGCAGTACCACGGACGAGTAAGTGGCCTCAGTCTTGACCATTGTTCGTCTGCTAACACATGAAAGTCTCTTGGTTTTTGAGGACTCTTATATTCCTAGCTCCATTTCTGGAGCAGGGGTAGTACTTCCTGAACAGGGTGTGGAGTGGGTAGACCTACTGAGCAGGGGCTTCGACGTGCGCCTTACCATGACCGATCGCTCAAACGCCGGGGCCGTTCACGCCGACGTCGACAACGCTCTTACCGGAGGATTTGCGAGCTACTATACGAGCTGGGGCCCGACATGCGCGCTGGATGTCTACCCTTCCTTAGGGGCTCCCGGGGGCAATATACTTTCCACTTTCCTTCTTAGCGAAGGTGGTTACAAAGTCGCATCCGGCACCTCTATGGCCACGCCCTTCATGGCGGCGGTTTATGCCCTCGTTGGTCAAGCGCGAGGTACTTTTGACCCCGCGGAGTTGGCAAGATATCTTTCCAGCACCTCCCGCGCTCAACTATGGAACGACGGCAGTGGGACACTATGCGGTCTTGCCCCAGTCAATCAACAGGGTGCAGGGCTGGTACAGGCCTATGATGCGGCCTTCGTGACAACGCATGTCAGTACCAAAGGTCTATCTTTCAATGATACGGACAACTTTCGAAGCGCGACCTTCATCATTCGGAACATGGGATCTCGAGATGTGACGTATGAGCTCGGAAACAGTCCCGCGTACAGTATGAACTCGCTGTCTGTGGAATCCAATTACCCGCTATCATTTCCCAACCCGATTCTCGCCGCGACTGCGTATCTGGAGTTCTCCAAAACTTCCGTAACACTCCCACCAAAGGCACGCGCCAACATCACCGTGGAGCCCACCTTTCCGGGAGAAGCTGGAATAATGCAAGGTCTCCTGCCAGTATACTCGGGCTACATAACAATCAACGGGTCCAACGGTGAGAACCTGGCCATACCTTACCTCGGTGTGCGCGGAAGCATGTACTCTGCTGCAGTGATGACTGCCGAGGATTCGGGGTATGACCTCGAGGACTTCGACCGCCCATGGGTAGGCAAGCAGTCATCCTCGCGGGACAACTCCACCTTCACCGTACCATACCCGTCCGTTGGTGACATGCCGATTTCATCAACCGACGAGGTGCGCTTCATGTACCCTTCGGCCGAATTCGTACTCAATTTCGGCACCCGGATCCTCCGCGCCGACGTCATACCCATGTCGTCCAACTACACCGGCCCGACGACGACGGTCCTGGGCCTGAAGATCGCAGGCAGCGTCGTCGGCTACCCCGTAGAGTACCAACCGCGCTCTTATTTCTACGTGAGTTTCTCGGGGATGCTGGACGATGGGTCTGTCGTCCCCCAGGGCCAGTACGCGCTTGCCATCAGGGCGCTGAAGCTCTTTGGGGACCCCGAGGAGCCTGATGATTACGAAGATCTTGGTCTGTCCTATTTCACGCTCATCTACCAGGGTTGATTGCACGAGACTGCTGGAGTGGGATCACGACGATGATGGAACTGAACTGGAACTGTGATTCCGTGCTGGCTGTGGGCGCGCGTGGTAAGGGAGAACCACGGCGCAGGCCTTTCCCTGCTAGTCGCACCATTAGTTACAGTAGCAAACATTTCAGAGGGTTGCCTAGTTTGTGACCCTTCGCCTCGCCGAGCTCGGTGGGCCTTATGATTGAATGACAAATGCTCTTGAACATCATTCACTTCATGGTTTCCCGGAAATCCCATCCTTGAAATAACGAGAGAGAAAAAAATGCATTCACATCCACTCGGCCACATTTCCATAGGCGTGAGGGACTACGAGATAGCCAAGCGCTTCTACAGCGCCACGCTTCCCCTCATCGGCCTACATCTTGTCTACGACAGCACCGAGACCGCCACTCAGAGTCCTTCATCTGGGAACGATGACGACGAGGGGCCTCGGACCCTAGGCTTCGGGCCAGATGAGGAGAATGAGCTGCTCAACATCTTTGAGTATGGCCGACACGCGTCCGCCCCGGGGCCGGGCAGCCACATCGCCCTCAACACGGACTGCCGGGCCGTCGTCGACCAGTTCTACGAGGCGGCGGTCCGGAACGGCGGAAAGAGCAACGGTGCGCCGGGCGTGAGGCCGCATTATGGGAGGGCGTACTATGCTGCGTTTGTTATTGATCCTGATGGGTGGAGGTTAGAGGTTGTGTGTAAGGAGGTCGTCGGCGAGGGGGACCAGGTGGAGAAGGGTGAGAATGCTACAGCCGTTTGAGCTGGACTCGGATATCTTGAATTTTCATGTGGCATGGAGGTTTGCTTTTTAATTCTTATCTTGCTCAATTTTGGAAGGAATAGGAATCGCGGTGAGCTCTCAGAATGCTCTCATTGGGAGACACGGGCGTGGTAGGCCTCCTGCGTTGGCCTAGATAGTACCAACGCTTCATCAGCCAACAGCAACGCTGAACACTCAATCTCGGAAGCCAACAGCCGGTGCAGGAGGCCTACTCCAAATACCTGACATAATGAAAGGCAAACGAAATGAATGGGCAAGGAAGACATTCTCTAGTATGTCTCTTCTCAAGCCGCTGGTGCCTCGATATGGCCTGGAGTCTACACACTTATAAAGTAGAGCCCACGGGTCGAGTTTTGTCCACATGGTGCACTACGAAAAACTTCTTCTCAAGAAATGCCGTAAATCTCATCCTAGGTCATCACCATTTTCCTCACACCATCTGCCAACACCTACAAAGTCGACAACAAAGATATTTCCACACAAATACTCATCATGGGCTCAGCTTACGAGGAGTAAGTTCAGCACAATTTCAGCTACGCCACCGCAAATCGGACAGCGGCTAAGACAAGGTTTAATAGCATCATCGGCTCGGACGTCTTCACATTCGTGATTGGTCCCAACGGCAAAGAGTACAATGTCCACGGCACCGCAATCTCGAGGCTGTCAAAACCCCTCGGCGTACTGATCAACGGCGATATGTGCGAGGCCAAGGAGAAGTGCGTCAAGTGGCCTGACATTGACGAAAAAACCTTTGTGCGCTTTGCTCAGTGGGCTTATACCGAGACCTACGTGACGGAAGAGCCTGACATTCTCTTGGGCCATTCTCTCATTGAATCTCCAAATGCCCCCAGCATGACACCAGCGCTACCAAACCGCAAGACGTCTGAAATGCCTCTGTACTCTCTCATCACCGCGAACTCAACCCAGTACCAGAAGAAGCAATACTGCTGGAACCAAGTCTGTGGATGGTACGGTCGAAACAACCCCAAGTCTAACCACCAGCCGACGTGTCTCGTTTGCAGGAGAGTGTACACTGCAACTGCTTGCGCAAGTTGCAACTCTATCTACACAGACTGCCCAACCTGTGGACCCTCGACCAGGACTATGAGGAGCTCGTGCTCGAATAACAATTGTGAATATCGGTACTATGGCTCCACCTCCACAGGCCAAGTGACGTGCCTGAGATGCCGCACAAAATATTCGACCAAGCAATGTCAGTGTGGTTCAACATTCAGCGACTGTGGGGCATGTGTGGCCGAGAATGAGAGACCAGCACTCATCAGAAGACGCGTACTTATCCATGAGTTCTTGGACACAAGCGGCACCACGTATCCTACCTCCACTTCCGTCTTCTCAGCGCGAAGGAACATTGAAGGCTGTGAGGACTACACCGGCGTCTTCCTCTGCCACGCAAAGCTCTACGTCATGGCCGACACATACGACATCCCTTCCCTCAAGCAGCTCAGCCTGCACCGCCTGCATGCCACGCTCAAAGAATTTACCCTTTACCCGAGCCGCTTCAACGACATCGCGGCGCTCGCCAAGTACGTTTTCGAGAATACTGTTCCGGAGGACAAGATTCGAGATATGATCACGCTATACTACGCCTGCATTGTTGAGGATGCGCGGAAGCAAGACAGCCTGAAGTCACTCATTGAAGAAATTCCTGACTTTGCATCCGGCTTGATCAACAAGATGGGCGATAGGCTTGCTTGACGCGCACATGCACGGCAGGAGAGAGCCCCCACAGAATCGATGATTGCGGACACATCTTGGGAGTAACTTGACGGTGACAGGAAGACACTGAGCAGGAATGGCATGCATAATTACCATGATAGTCTGACGTCGGATGGCACAACTCTGTTCCCACACTGCGGCTCCTCCAAGTCTTGCTAGAGGTGTCTTCCGGCAAATCCGAGTGTGGTAAATTATGATACAGGTCCTCAGAGAGCACGCTTGAGGATCAAATTGTGATCTTTCTTTTGGTTGTTCTTGTGATTTCCAAGGTAGGGGCCAAATACTGTCACCCCACCTAACACCATCAGGTCAATGTCACCAGACTTCATGCCTTTCTCCTTCTCAAAACGCTGCCTGCCTTAACTGTAGGTTGTCACAGGCGCCAGCCTATAGACCTTTGCCTCATGTGGAAGCACCTCAGCTGAAAAGGCTGGAGCTTTCAGCGGTCCTTGCTGCTCATGAGTCCAGAGATCCTTGACTGTATAAGACCTCCATTCCACAAACAAGTATCGCTGAAGGTAGAGACTCATCAACGCCAGCTCTGACCCGCGATTCAGGAACGCAATGGCTATACTCCCATCCTCCAGCTCCCTTGCCCAGTACTGCAGCTGACCGTCCTGCTCTTGGTAGACCACTGTAGCTGCGACACCCAACGGATCTTGGCTGATGGCGATGATTTCCTCGTTGGTGATAGTTTCAAGATCGAAGCTCGAAAGTGTCCGCACATCGGTCCCAATGAGCAGCGGGCTGGCCACCATGCACCACATGCTAAAATGAGCGCGATACTCAATATTACTCGCTCCGGCGCCGACAAGCCGCGGAGCAATGCCGTTCAGCCCGACGATAAGCATGTCATAGTCGTTCCACCCGCCCGGGCCGGCGTACTCGGCGAGGCTCACGTTCTCGCCCCGGGTCAGCATGTCGAGGACGTCAAAGTAGTAGTCCTCCCGAAACCCGGGGTAGTTGAAGTCGTCGCTGATGTCCTGGCCCATCCTCCAGTGGTTTGCGCCCTCGTCGCGCGCCCACGTCCAGATGTCGGCCCACCCGCAGTGGCACGCGTGGTACACGACGTTGCGACCCGTGGCGCGCAGCCCGAGGGCCATCCGGCGGACGTCACCCCTGACCAGCTCCTCCGCGGCCTCCTCGCCCCTCGAGCAGCAGCTGTCGTACTTGAGATGGTCTACCCCCCAGGAAGCGAACGTCGCGGCGTCCTGGTCCTCTGAGCCCTCGGTCGTTCCCGTGAACTTGGCGCAGGTCGTTTCCCCCGGCCCGCTGTAGATGCCGAGTTTGAGGCCCTTGGAGTGTGCATAATCGGCGACGTACTTGATGCCGTTTGGAAACTTTGCCGGATCGGCCTCGAGGGGTCCTGGGTGGTCTGACCGGTTGCCTGCGTACCGTTGCCAGCCGTCGTCAATGTTGATGTACTGGTATCCTGCCGCTTGGAGTCCGCTGGAGTTGACAAAATCGATTGTGGCGATCACAATCGACTCGTTGATGTTGGGACCGAAATAGTTCCAGCTGCTCCCTTTGAAATAGTCAGCAGACCGTTTTGAGACTCGCGTGTCGAGTAGGTTATCTATGGTAGACACTCCTTGCACAGCACTGCCGTTGACTCTATCTGGTTTCGGGGATGAATTGATGGAAAGTACTCACATCCCATCGGCGGCGTCAGGGCAAGATCATTGGGCGGGAGTGGTCCGTCATCGCTGTCTGTACCGTCGGATCCCTGGCCGCTTACCAGTCCCCAGATGGCGGCGGAAATGAAGAGAGAACGCATGGTAACGACAGGTATGTTGACCGAACTAGAATGGCAATAACATCACGAGTCCTTTCGCAAATATCGGTGAGGATCTTACCTTAATAAGAGTCTTCTGCCGCATCCGGCTGTAGAAGCTTAGCTTTCAGCCAGCTTTATTAGTGGCGCTCGGCCGTGGCTCGAGCTAAGTTACACGAAGTACCGTGCCTAATACACGTAAGTGAAATGTGACCATTGGCACCTTGCAGCGGGAACACGGAATGGGCGCGCCATAACCTCGGCCTAGTCGATCAAATGTAACTTCAGGCTGCACACAGTTTGGGTGTTCGAGAGGTACTTGAAGCCTTAGTACTCTTCCAGTGTCAGCGGCGGAGAATGCCAAGCGAAAAGGAATCCCGTACTTACCCCTCGTGTGTCTCCTGTTCTGCTTGTCCCCCGCAAGGCCACAGCTGCGGCCGTGCCCCCAAATTGCAACATGACGCCGGTCCTTCTTGACCGAAATTGCAAAGCTGAACGTGGCTGTGGGCTGAAGCGAATGCACAGTGCCACCCATGGCAGCTGAACGGGGAAGAGCAGGGTGTGATACGAAATACATACTTTCAATTTCTCGTCACTTTTGGGAATCGGAAACCGCCTTCTCTAACTTCAGTCTAAATTTTACGTTGCGTGACAATGTAAAGAGCAGACATCCACGTTTGTGTCGCCTCAGCCACGTGAGGCGAGCCGGGGTACTCCCACCACATTTAACTAAACCAAGTCTCACCCACTCTTCGTGAGGAATGTTGCGAGGCGGCCGTGCTACCTGGGGCCGCAGAAGGAACGCATTTTACACAATTAGACCAGAAGACGGCACGGCACGGCACGATTCTCGCCAAGCAAAAGCATGGCTTGACGTTGTTCTTAGTAAGGCTCGACATTAACAACGCAATGAATTATTTTCCTGACAGACCATTCTAAACGAGAGGGAAAGACTGCAGTTTTATTTCGCTGCTATTACCGTGGACTAGCAAACCTGAGAAGCTGAGTTTCGAAGCAAGAAGTAAAACAGAGTCATGTAAACCCTCAAATCCTCTCCCATAGTAAAATTCGGTTGAAAATCAAGTGGTAGCAAACTAAGATCCGGGACTAACTTGCTTTCAATGAGTGCTAGGTGACAAGCTCTGATTGAGGCCCCATATATGCCCCACGGACTGTTTAGTCGTCCACATTTTGCACCTTTTTCAGACGCGAGCCTCGACGGACTTGCCTCGCCCGACGGAGCGCTTTCGAAGGGCTGGGGATACTTTTGTGAAAGTATTTCGATTTGCCCCCCAGCCTCTGATGCCTGTATTTGGTCAGCAGCGAAATTGGTTCTTTGAGCGCTGCTGCTGCGACGTTACAGCTGGTGCGAGGGTCGGGCTGCACAAACTGGTAGAAGGGCTCATACCTCCAGGAGTGGATATTAAAGTACAAACCGCCGTGCTTGTAAAAGCCATTTGGCTTCAACAGAATCCCTCGAGCTATCATCGCTCCATGTGTCGTCAGAAGAATGCGAAGTCATTGATCGTCATCATCTTCATCACTGTCTTCGGCGATAGCGAACTCGATGACGGGCTGTTCAGATGGTTGGGACCGAGAAAATTGCGCCAGTTCCATCTGCTCAGCTTCGTTTTGGACGTTCTGCTCGTCGAAACGAAGGCCTGGTTCCTCGGAGCGCATGGGATGACCACGACCCTCCTCGTTTCCAGCCACGCTTGACATGATTGATGATGTCTGGTGATATAAGATGGGCTGCTCGCTTTCTCCGCCTGTGAATTTTGGATCCTTACAGGATTGCGAATTGCGGGGAGATCTTGTGAGAATGCAGCAGTCTTACCAGGAACGTTTATGTATGTACATCCAGGCAGCTCTTGATGTACAGTCAGTGTTTGAACACAATGCTCCCGTCAGTGTTCTCTCACGTACAGATGCCTTCTTCTGTCAAGTGCTTTGACAATTAACAAGAATTCTATTGCGGTCCTTCATCAACATATTGTTCTCAAAACAATGCTTCTCAAACACCCCGAGCCGTCTCTCCCGCACGGATCTAGGTTTCTGACCAACAAAGCAGTCCAAGAGACAAAGCACCGTTATTGGAGTTTGCGAGTAGTTATGTGCTGGTATTGGTGCTGTCTCTTTTCCCATACCTATCGTGTTGAAAACACTCAATACTAACAAGAAGGAGCTCAGCAGCCGCATTCGATGGTGGTAAAGAAGCCACTATGATGATCGGCCGTGACAGCGGAAATTGTGAAGATGCGTAATTAATGCTATCCTCGAGATGCAATGTGGCCACCAAAAAAGTCGGAGGTTTGGACAATGAAGCAGAATTGATAACCAATGCACTGCGTAGGCTGAATTATCTCAGCCGCAACAATTGTCTGATTCTGAGATAGCGCTGATGTTGCGCTTAGATCCCGGCTCCTGGCTCTGGGTCGAAGGCCTGACGTCCAACCAACCTATTCTGAGGGCGCCATTATGGGGCAAATCATGTAGCCGCCGAACGCTGCGAGGATGGTCCCCAGCAACAACAACGATAATTAGCGCTTCAGAGCGGACCAGACAATGTGCTTCTTGCTATAGATAGCAGGACTTAATTGTCTCTTTGTTATGATCCGCGTCCCCTTGTATCCAGCCTTCAAATGAATCTCGGCTGCACCCAGGCCTTCGATCCATGTCCATCAACCTTGTATAACCCCGAAACACTTAGTCAATGCGTCAAGGTTATTATTCTCATCTTCCGCCGAGCCTTCTTGGATTGCTTGCCTCGGTGCTACTGGCCCCCACAAGCGCTTCTCCCGCACCCGATCCGGACTCTGTCAATGTCCAGACCATCACCGTAACCGCTCCGCCGAGCATCCCCTCAACAGCCCCGCAGTTGACAGACACCGCGCTCTTCACCTCCGCCATCCTGAACAGTACGAATGTCTTCCGGAGTCAGCACAACGCCTCCGCCGTGACGTGGAACACCACCCTCTCGGCATTCGCGTCCTCATACCTCGCGTCCATGGGACCCGGGTCCCCGGACTCGGGCTCAGAGTGCGACTTCGCCCACTCCGGCGGCCCGTACGGCGAGAACCTGGCGCTGGGCTGCGACGAGGTGACGGGGTGCGTGGACCTTGGGGCGACGAGCGGGAGCAGTTCGACTACGGTGATCCGGGATTCAGCGAGGAGACGGGCCACTTCACGCAGCTGGTGTGGAAGAACACCACGGCCGTGGGCTGCGGGAGCCGCTTGTGCGGCACGAGGGGGTGGTATATTGTGTGTGAGTACTGGCCGCGCGGGAATATCATTGGCCAATTCGGAGAGCAGGTCGGGCGGCAGGTCAGCGGCACTGCGGGTAATGGCATGGGTGATAATGCGCCTGGAGACAATGGGATGTGGAGCCAAGCTGCCAGAGGCGGGCCAGCATCATGGCTGATGTATTTGACTACTTTGATAATGCTAGTATTATAGTAGACATGGAAGGGATCATGGCCTGTGTTGAAACCACTGGAAAGTGCTTGCATGGCATAATTACTCCGCGGATCGAAAGAGCAACAGTATGTATTTGTACATATGGCCTATTCTGTCTAAAAGTACTACAAATTAGGTTTCGATTGAATCAAGCGAATGGGCAGAGAAAAGAAAGAAACACCGAAGCGGTAATTAATAAGAATTGAGACAGCAACGAAGAGAACTTATTGGGGAAAGATTTTACGAATGGGGATATCCTGAAGGCATACAAACTCAGGGAGGTCTCAGCTCATACATAGAATACAAATCCATTAATTAATTGAAACAGCTAGTCCTGTTTCATTCCTAGCTACGGCAACCCAAGAGTAGGGAGAGAATGAACGACATGGGTATCTAAATACACAAGAAAATACAGACAACTTGAAGCGAGTACTTTTTTTTTTCGGTGTACCTGGACTTGATGATCAGGTACAAGAGGCCGACAGGTATGTCGCACGCCCGTTCTCAAACCAGGCGCATCCCCCTACTCAGCATCGGGAATGATGTCGGTTTCGGCCATGATGTCAGCATCGGTGGTGATGTCAACAACAAACCCCTCCTCCTTCGCCGCAGTCAGTACATTTGGCGTCCGTGTCCCAGCTGGGCTTGTCGTTCTCCCACTGCCTGGCGTGCCAGTCTGCGCCATCGGCGCCCTCTGCCGAGCGTACCTTGTTGTACCTGCGCTTGGCCAACTTGGGACCACCCCCGGGACCTCCGGGCGGGGGTACGCCGGGAACGGGAGGTACACCGGGAACAGGAGGTACGCCGGGCACTGGAGGTACACCAGGAACAGGGGGTACGCCGGGGACAGGTGGCAAGCCAGGAACAGGTGGCAAACCAGGGACGGGCGGCAAACCAGGGACGGGCGGCGGGATCGGCGGCAAACCAGGAACAGGCGGCGGGATCGGCGGCGGGATAGGCGGCGGGATAGGTGGTGGGATAGGCGGTGGGATAGGCGGCGGAATAGGCGGCGGAATAGGCGGCGTTCCTGGATCTCCTGGAGGGGGAGGAGGTGGAGGCGGAGGCGGTGGAGGTGGAGGCGGAGGCGGAGGCGGAGGCGGTGGAGGCGGAGGCGGTGGCGGTGGCGGTGGAGGCGGAGGCGGTGGCGGTGGCGGCGGCGGCGGCGGCGGTGGAACAGGGGGAGGAATGGGCGGATAAGGTGGGTAAATTGGTGGATCAGGGTACTTTGGGTAGTCCGGGTACTTCGGAGGTTCTGGATACTTTGGGGGTTCCGGGTACTTTGGTGGGTAGGGTGGATATTTGGGCGGATATTTGGGCGGCTCCGGCTTGTGGTACTCCTTGTCCTTGTACTCCGCGCAGAGATACAATACCAGGTCCGCGAAGTCATCACAGGTCTTCTTGCCGCCGTCCTCAACTTCGTAACCTGCATATCCGGTCAGTGATGAGCCTCAAGGTGAAGGGTCCCATTGAACATACCATGTTTCCAGTACTCGGCAGGGCAGTAGTCCTCTTCAGGCTTGAGAACCACTTTGTGGCCGTCAAAAGGATGGCCGTACTTGTCGTACAGGTCATAGTGGACCTTCTCGTAATCCTTCTTGTAGTAGAGGATGAGCTTGTCGTGGTCTTTGTACCAGTAGTCCTTGTCCTTGACAATCTCTAGTGCAACGCCGCCTTCCAAGTACTTCTCGACGTACTCCTGGCGGCAACCAATCTTGTAAGGTCCGTCTGTGTCCCAAGCAACAGACCACAAGTAGACGTCGTACGGGCAGAAGTTGACAATCTTCGCGTGTCCGTGGCCCTTGTGATAGTCCGGCTTCTTGTGATAGTGAGGCTTCTCGTGATAGTCAGGATAGTCAGGCTTTTTCGGGTAGTCTGGCTTCTTGGGATAATGATCGTAGTCATCATGGCAGTCATCCTTGTAGTCGTCATGGCAGTCAGGCTTCTTGGGATAGTCCGGCTTCTTGCCATAGTCGGGGTAGTCAGGCTTCTTCCCATAGTCGGGGTACGAAGGCGGCGGTGGAGGGCCATAGCCAGGCTTCTTGCCGTAGTCTGGAGGATCACCGACTGCTTGGACGCCCGCCGCCGTAGCCGACAGGCCGGCCAGGACGTAGGGAGTGAAACGCATGGCTGACTCTCACAAGACTGACCTAGCGAATGATGCAAGCGAGAAACCAGATGCTTGACTGCCAGTGAGAAGTCAGGAAGAAAAAGGAAGAAGGAGGAAAGCCACCTCTCAAGATGTGCGGACGGCCTATTATACCCTCAAGCTTCCAACATCGCCATGACATCTTGTCATGATAGGCCAGTCTCCTTTTGTTGAGTGGCACATGTCAACAATTGTCAGATACACCATGCTAATATCAACATGAAGCTTGCCCAAGTGTCTTGAACCCCTCGTGCAGCACGCGATCGAGATGAAACATCATGGGAAACCCTAGAAGAGTTATGTAAAAGTTTGTCGTAGACAGAGTCCGGCGCGGTGACCAGTCCTGCCATGTTGGTTGACAGCTCTCAGTGGCGTCTGTGCGAGCGACGGAGGATTCTTGTGATTGTTTTGGAGCTCGAGCTGCGAGGAAGGCAGTAATTACCATGGTTGACATTCATATGCTTAAAGGTGCTCGGGTATGGCAGGGCAGGGAAGGGAGTCGGATGGGAGGCACGTTATGTGAGTTGTTGTCATGCTGGAGGGGTTATTGGGACCCGAAACGAAGATGGTGCTTCGAGCCCTCGTGTCTATTGTGGAGCAGACACTTGCTGGAGTAGTCCTGCGTCACGATGCCACCTTTTCCAGGTCGGGCCCCATCGAACTCATGATCGGTTGGTCCTTGCTGAGCTCCCTCGTTCGAGAGAGCTCAGGCTACCGAAGCTCCTTCCGAAGCTCACATCCCTAAGCTACACTTAAGCTACTTCGGGAGCCAGGCTACACAGCAAGCTCTCGTTAGAGCTTAGTTGTCATGGTGATCTGCAGGTCGCGAGCGCAGTGCTGGTCTATGTGATGTCTTGAGTCACGTAGCATCTCTAGCGGTGGGATTCCACTCGTCTGACAGCTGTCAGAAATGGCCCGGTATGAAGCCCGACGCCATGACGGTGGTTTGGGAGAGGAGGCGACTTGACCACGTTGGTGGTAGCTCTGTCGGCGAGCTGTTGGTGTTGGGTGGTATGTGTTTTTGTGAAATTCTGCGGTCAAGGACTGAAATTGAGGATGTCTGGAGACGGAACACTGGCCTCAATATCGCACCTTGTATTCCACTCAGACTTGCCAGTGTTGAATCAACTCGCAAGGTTTGGGCGGCGGGTAAGGTGAGGAAGTGCACGAACGTTGCATGACCACGCATTCTGCTTTTCCCACATGGTCGGTGGTGTGCATTCGGCCGAGACGATCAATCCACGCTCCTTCCTGGAGCTTGCTCCATGCAGCTTGCCCTTGCAGCTGTCAGATGCCACAAAGCAAGGACGGAAGTGGTGATGTAATCGAGACGGCCCTGTCGATCCGTCAACCACCACGCAGCTAGCGCGACTGTTCCGCCTTCCGCGAAACGGCCCAGGCGCCCATGGGCGACAGAGGACAGACCAGACAAGACGCTTCTGCTTCTGGCTGGTCTCTGAAAAATATCGTCATGGATGTCTTTGAGCCACGCCAGAAAACGACATGACGTCTTGCCGGTGCTTGTGCCCATAAAAGGGCCGTTTGCGCATGAGCAACGTCTGAGTCGCACCTCCAGTCTACTCCAGTAGTGACATGCTCCGTCGTGCACTGGAACTGATCAGACCGCCGCCAACGTGCACCAGACAGACTCGGACCCTCAAGCTCTCACCACGTTCCAACATGCCGTCGTCCAAGGGAAAGCCGACAGATCCCGAGCTGCGCGAGGAGCTCAAGGAAGGCAAGTGCTTGTCTTCTCTGCTCCAGACAGATCTGGCATGACTCACCAGACTAACTTTGCTGGACAGAGATTAAGCAGGAGCCAAACAAATCTGGAGGAGGTGAGGGCCAATGGTCTGCGTGGAAAGTAAGAGAACAAGGAGTCCGAACCATCTGGTCTCGAGTGAGAGGTTGCTGACAACCGCGTGCCCCAGGCTTCGAAACTAGCCAAAGAGTATGAGAAACAGGGAGGGGGGTACGAGAACGAGCCAGGGTCCAAGAATGAGCCGAAGAAGGGGGATCCAGAGCCCAAGAGCGATAGCAAGAAGAAGAAAGAGACCGAGGACTGATCATATGGCTGTACATTTCCCATCTAATACATAGCTTTCAGAAAGATTCTCGCAAATCAAAGCCATCCAGAACACGCCCCAACGCCGCGCAAAATCCTCAATATCGTCCAAAACGTTGGACCGTTGCAAGTGAATTTTTTAACCCACAGCATTTGTTTAACGTAGGCCGGTGCCGCCGTTAAATAATAGAAATTCAGAAATGCTTGCTTAATCGTATCAAGCACGGCCTCCCTCATCCTGAGGCCATACCTCCATCATGTCGAGCCACTCGAGCGCAAACGCAGTCGTGATCTTGGCCCAGTCGCGCACCGTCGGCATGTCCAGGTGCTCGCCGTCGTCCTGCATCGTGTGCCAGACGCGCGGGAACGGCGTCGGGATGAGGTGCAGGATGGGCACGCCCCTGGCCATGAAAGGGACGTGGTCGTCGCCCACCCAGGACCGCGTGAACTGCGTCGTCAGCTTGTCCGTCTCGGGCAGGAAGGGGCTCGCCGGCGTGGTCTCGAGGAGCCCCAGGTCCCGCATGCGCTGCTCGATCTTGGCCATCGCCTTGTAGGCCCAGTGTGTCGGGAGAAAGTAGGACGGGATCTTGGGGTCAGCGGCGCCTAGGAGGTCGAGGAGGACGAAGAGGCTGATCTGGTTCAGGCGGTTCGGAAAGTTGGCCATGGCCATTGTCGGCTGGTTCTCCCACGAGTCGGCCAGGGACCTGTAGGCTGGGCGTCAGCGACTTGAACACGTGCGAGAAGCGCGTAGTAGCTTACCTTGCCCCGTAAAGCGAGTCTGTGTCGGTCCATGACACGAACGCCTCCTCGCCGTCAAGCAGTAGTATTTGCACACCCATGTCCATCGCTGGTGTCCCGCCCAGCTCGCCCAGCGCCACCATCTCGTCGTACATCTGTGTGAGGTACTTGTCGATACTCCTAGCCACATGCATGAGCATTGCGCAAGGCGCCGCGCTGTCCGTCGCGCCGATGAAGCCCTCGGGAGTGAGCTTGCTGTCGAAGTGGGCCACGAGGGTCAGGATGTTGGCCTGCCCCGTCTTCGTCCACGGCGGCTCCCTCTTGAATATAATGTTGTTGAACGGGACGTCCTTGGAACCCGTCGCGGGCGTCTTGTCCGTCGAGTTCTGCCACTCGGTCGTCCAGTTGGGCAGCTCCCTCTGGAAGAAGTCGACAAAGTGCTGCTGGACCTTGACGGAGCCGGGCGTCCCCGGGACGCGCGGGATCAGGATCGGGGCGAGCAGCGCGCCATTGTGGATGTCGAAGTCCTCGTCGCTCGGCCCCGGCACGGCGCGCAGGAAGCTGTCGGAGAGGGGCGAGTAGGCAGCTGCTGTCACGAACAGCAGGAGGGCGGCCAGCATCGAGGGAACGTGGCCCAGGCCGAGCAGCCGTTTCATGTTCGGGAACGTCGTCGGGATTGGGATTGCGCCCTTGTTGTCATGCTGTGGTGGTGATGGTAGCAAGGTTCTGTTTTAATAATATCACAAAGTCGGGACGTCTTGATCAATTGGATTGGGTGATGTATTGGACAATTGCTGTTAGAGCAGTAGAAGACACTTTTGGACTCGCTGTCCTGCGGTTGACTTCAGGATCCCTGCAACGTCTCGAATCTCGAGTGGGGCCCCACGATCTTTAGCCTCAATGCCCGCATTAGCGTCAGTTACATGACCTGCAGGGTCCCACCACCAGCTCGTCCAATTCAAGGGCAGCAGCATCAAAAGCTCCGTCAATACAGTTACATGCTAGCCTTCTCTCGACAGACATGATTAAAGCTGCTCAAATCTCGTGTTCCCTCCCATGAGACAATGCTCTCCTACTTCCCTCGGGACAGACTCTTAGACCATGTCGAACTTTGGTGGCACGAAGCCCTGGACAGCCACTGCCAGCCTTCATCTATCATGCACAAGACCAGATCCAGTGTGAGCTCTCACCGCCGCGGGAGACCATGATCACAGGGCGGAGCTTGGGTTGCTGGCTCCTGATCACCCTAGCTCGAGAAATTTGCCTCTGGATTTCACCAGCATCTTTCCCCTCTCTTCCCACCTCAACACCTGTCAAGAAATCCAATCCCTTCTGCACATGTCGCATCTCCCGAGCAGCCAGTTTCTCCCACCGCCGCATGAACTCGACGAGGTTGGTCGGCTTGCGCAACTGTGTGAAGTTTTCCCACTTCTTCAGCCAGTCCACAGTATTGAACTTGGCCTGCGCGTCGAAAAGTCTAGACATCTGACGCTTGTCTTCGATGGGAATCAAGACACTCTCATCGGCGCCCGAGTTGCCAAACAATCCTGTGCTTGCAGCTTCCTCGTCGTTGACGTCCAAATTCAGGTTCAAGATGATGAAATCGCATTCTTTGCGCCCGCGGACCAAATCGTAGTAGATTTTGCGACCCTGATCCTTGATCATCGTGCAGAAACACAAGGCCCATGATGAATCAAGAGCGATGTGCACGTCTCGGTTGAGGAGAAGGCCGTAAACATGGTCCTTGTTGGGGTTTCTCCTTGGTCTTCCAGAGGCTGGAGTACCAGGCTGGCCCATGCTGACCACAACAGTGTCTCTCTTTGAATCGACCCACACGCGACTCAGCCTGTTGCTGTACTTGGTGCCATCACAGAACGAGATCTTCTTCGCCGACCCACTGGCAAGGGCCACTGCGCGAGCCTCAGAACATACGTGGGCGATGGTCGGGCGTTTTTCAGCCTTGGCCCCATGAACTTGCTACTGACGCCAGACGTGGTATTTGAAATTGAACTTTTTGCTTGGACGAGGGAATGTATGGACCCGGTGGGGAAGGCTGAGCTCCCAGATTGCGATTCGCAGCTCCGCTGGCAACGCGGGAAATCGGTGAAAAGTCCGTGGGACAGCTCCATCCGGTGACGCTGCCACGGTGGGGGAGGGCTTGGGCAAGTAAGGTAACTGAGGAGGCAGTAGATTGGTTGAGAGGCAGCCCAGAAGGACGTCCTCATTTGGTTGAGGAGGATCGTTGTCTGTCATCTTGTGGAAAGTGTGTTTGATTGTTTTTGTTGTGTTGTGTTGGACAGAGTGTGATGTTCATGTTTTGCTTCAGTGCGGGAAGGTGTGGAAGGAGATCAAGCTTCCCAAAGCAAGGTATCAGGCAAGTGGCAGTTAATCACTAGCGGCCAGGTCACCCCTCCCCCGTCTCCCTTTCCAGGCAGGAACATTCCCTTCCCCATGTGCTGTGGAGGACATTCACACTTAACACGGTGAAGACAAAGATGTTTATGGTAAATACCTACTGCTACGTGACTAATTATGCCTGATACTAGAATCCATGGACAATCTGTTTGGAGGAGTAATGAAGTTTGTCTTACAAATGAGGGCAGTCAAAGTCCTGCCCTTTGGTTTCATGGCTTTTCAGGTGAATCTGCGTTCTGATGTATCTTACTAGATCTTTGTCTTGAGGTCAAATCCTCTCTTGCCATACAGTATCTGTCTTGCAAGCAGAAAGCATACGCCTCCTGCAAGTACGATGCCAACATAAAGGCCGGCCAGCGCCCGGGTTCCAAAGGTGGAGAGCATCTGGCCACCAAGAGGCACCGTCAGTAATAGCGAGAAGCTGACAAAGAAGTACATCGTGCCTGCAGATATCTGTCAGTGTGGACCTTGGTCTCCTCGAACCGTCACTGCTTACCGTAGTACCGCCCATAGTCCTCCGTCTCACAAGTCTTCCCCATACAAACGGGAGTAAGTGATATGAAGCTGCCAGAGCCGAAGCCCCAGAGGGCAGAAAAGACGTAAAGCGCCTTGAGGGAGGTGGAGCCGAACGGAACCAGGATCGCTCCTGTAAAAGCTGCCGTGCAGAGTATCATGCAGACTAAGACATTGAAGTGGCCAAAGTAGTCGCCCGCCAACCCCGGAAGAAGTCGACCGAACGTTGAGCATCCGTTAGCGATGGCCAACAGGACATATCCCGTGCTGGCAGGGAAGTTGGCTGCCGCCACATATGTCGGCAGCAGACCAAAGACGCCGAAGATGGCGAACTCTAGTGCGAAGATGCCGATCGTGATGAGCGTAAAGGTCTTTGACGTAAGAGCCATGAAGTTCAACGCTATCCTCTTCCGGCGATGCTGCTCCGACGCCGCGGAGCTCTGCTGCGGCAGGGGTTGCTGCAGACAGATCGAGCCCACGATCATCGCCGCCGCGTTCATGAACGCAAGGGCGCGGATGGACCATGCCCAACCGACGCTGGGGAGCAGCGACCGCAGCATCAGAGGCATGACTATCCCGCCGATTGAGCTCCCGCATAGGGCGATGCCCATAGCGAGGCCGCGGCGTTGGACAAACCACTTTCCGATGACCGCTACGCCGATGGTGGAGATGATGGCCGCCCCGAAGCCTCCCCAGACGGCGATCGTAAGCATGAAATGCCAGTACTGGGTGCATTCGGCCAGGACGAAGAAGACGGGGATGTATATTGCACATCCGATGGGGCCGAGGAGGCGAGCACCGTAAACATCAAACAAGGGCCCGAACTGAATCCCCAGGAAGAGACACAAGGAGGTATACAGTCCTGTGATCCATCCGATCTGGGTGGTGGAGTATCCTGATAGCTGGTGGGTTGCTAGATAGGACTGGACTGTTCCAATGGTCTGCATGAAGCCTGGTGACCACAGCGTTAGCGGGCATGATAAAGACAGAGGCTTATACGATCTCGCTTGCCATAAGTTGGGAACAAATAGCAGAAGGCACCAGCGACGGAAAGCCATGCTTTGGTGCTTGTCTCGGGGACTGGACTCGAGTCTGGTCGAGGGGGCAGCGGCTCGTCAACGGCCTCGCTGAGGATCCCCCCGCCTGCCATGGGACGGTGACTTGGTTGAACAGCCTGTTCAACATCTTGGTTTTGGATGTTTGGCAGCTGGATCAGTTGTATGGACGACGAAGCTCTTGACGAGTCCATAGTGCGACGTATACTGGGATTGCCACAATAGCTTGTGTATTGTCAATTACGATATTTGGGACAAGTGAGTCAACTCTTATAATGTTAGCGGACTTTCCATACTTATTTGCAAGTAGTAGAGCGGAATTGCGATATCGCACGCAAAGCCGATCGATTAGTGGCGACTAGCAACGGCGGGCGAATCATCGCAAAACGCATCGGCGTCCCGAAACCGCAACTTTCGGCAAACTAAAATGCAAACAAACTTTGCATGTGAGAAAACGGGCAGTCTCCACAAGTAAGAACTCAAGCCGACCCAATTGCCAAGTTTGCTATCTATCATCATGATCGCAATGTGGCAGTGGATATGGATGGTGGTGAGGACAGCGCCTCATGCAGCCGGCGATAGTTACGTCTCCATTGTAGCCAAGGCCATTAGTTTGCGGATTTTGTAACAGTATGTGTTGATACGCACCAGTGCTTACTCGTGGAATAATTGTGACTCAACAGAGAGGGTGACTGAGACCCCGATGGGGCAGACACCGTGGCACATTGCACCCTTTTCCTCGATGCTTACGCGATATTTGATATGAGCATGTGAGACCCTTCCAAGTAGACTGAAGGTTTCTTCTAGCTCTTGGACAGGACTTGGAATTTTGTCGAGCCTGAGATCCGCGGACACAAGAGTCTCACGAATGATCTCATAGGCAGCTTTTCTCGTTATTCAATGATACACGGTATAATAAAACCATACACGAGATCACAAGCTCTTCTTCTAGCATGAATCCATCACCATCTCCAATAGTAGTCCGTGACAGCCACAATATGAGCAACTGACCGCTTTTCCAACATCACATTATCTTAGTGATTCCTTGCGGCACGGACTACGCCACCGTTCTTCACTTTCCGAGTCGAAGGGTGGCAAAAACATCCTGGGCTCGGGCAATCTGACCCGGAGTGAACTCGGTCTTGCAGGAATCAACAGTGTAGTCCATATAATTGTGGATCGCGTCGAAGCCAGGGCTATCCGGGCAGGTGTCAGAGCTCGCAGGGCATCCAGCCGTTGCTTCTGCTTGCTGAGGCGTGTCGGCCACGAGGTCGCCCTCACCGGTGCACGAGTTGCCCTCAAAGGTATGGAAAAGGCCAAGCCAGTGTCCGACCTCGTGAATTGTCGTCAGGCCTTGATTGTACTCTGCCATCTCCGCACCGGGCAAAGTGCCGGCCAGATTGACCACGCCGTCGCGGGAGAGCGTCGCGTCGTCCACTTCGGACTCTGGATAGAGCGCGAATCCGAGCACCCCGAAGTTCTCGTACAGGTCGCTGAGGTAGTACAGGTTCAGGTCGGCGTAGGTCCCTTGGCGGAGAGCCGCTTTGTAGTCGAACTCGCACTGTTCCCAGGCATCGCATAGAGCCCATGTGTCGTTGACGGTGTAGTCCACACTGACGGTCACAAAAGTGAAGCCGGAACCCGCATATCTATCGTTCAATACTTCGAGCTGTGCAAATCAGTCATGTGGCCACAATTTCTGTCCCCCATGGATTTACCCACCTGCTGGTCTATCATGGATCGTGGGTACAGGCCTTCCTTGGCCTCCCTTGTGATAACATGAACGTAGGTGTTGATTGCATGTTCAGCGGCGACGTCCCGTGGGCCGTTTTGCGATCGAGTCACCAGCGCACGCAGGTCTGCTGGAGGTTCCGGCGATGCACAAAGCTCTTGTGCCGAAACAAACGCACCGCCAAACGCGACAAAGGTACCCGCGAAAGACTTCATAATCACCTAGACAGTCGACCGCGAGGGAACTGAAATGAATGAGTAGTTTAGAACGCAATGAGAAGTTCAAACATTGTGACGAATGTCAAGTCCAAGCCAGCTTATATTATCAAAGCCCGCCTCGCTTCACACCATGCGTAGTGAAATGTGGGAATATAGAGACATATCTGGTGACACGCTCCTGGCGCTAAGCAGGGCTTGAAGACGTAGCCAAGACTTTGTCCTCTGTGGTTCTCCGGGTAGAAAGGTTGACTGTAAAATTACCTTCAAGCACGATATTCATTGTGACCCTGTCTATCGGCTGCTATGCGACCTGTCACTTCAGAAGCCGTTCCTTGCGCGAAACGTATCTGAGGACATCATCGAATACGGCACCTGGTCTGCGGAATCTGGGGTCAATGACCGTTTAGGTATAACTGAGAGACGCTGGATACGAGCTGGACCCAGATTTAGAAGACTTGACATCCGAGTTAGGGTTGCAAATTCCTCGGAGGGCATCCTTATGCGGCAGGTACTTTATGCCCAGCAATTTTCGCCATTGCGCTACCCTCTTGGCAAAGATAGAATGCCGGAGGCGCCCGAATCTCAACCACTTTCTTTTGCTCATATACTTTCATCGACCCTAAGGCTGTTCAACATCTTGGAACCACTGTCAAACTCCCAGGTAGCAAATCACAGATATCCGTAAGACGTCAACCCATCCCTGCGTGCAGCATATGTTCGTTGGCATCAATGCTGAGCATCAACGATCACGACTTTGGCATGAAGGCCCGAATAGAAGAAGTTGATAGGAACTGCTCGACCCAACCGACTGCCTGTAAGAATTCAGGACGATAATAGAGTATATTCAAGCTATTCGAAGGAGGGAGATTTGACCCATATATATAGACGAACATTCGGCTAAGGTTCGGTCTCCCGATTCTCACTAAAATAACTAGTAAAATAGAGTCCTCGTGTTGATTATTAGTTTGTGGCTTAGAGGTGACTAAATAACGGCGTATAAGCCGCGTATAATCTATTATATAAACTGTCTATAGACCGTTTATTTTAGACTGCCCTTGCCCTCAAGTGATTGTGAAGAGTCATTACGACTCTGCCATTGTGTCATCTTTCTACAAGTAGTGATCGGAGTAACACATGGACACAATTTGGCGTCTGGTCCTCAGGGTACATGAAACCAGGCTCTCGACTGAGTCAAGCAACTCGTTCATATCTGAAGCCACGGCTTTCAAGGCAATTTGTCGCCGCCCTTTCTAGACCACCAACGATTTCCTGGGACTGAAGTGTATTATTTAAGGGGTGCACAGAAGTTCCTCATGATGTGACGCGGCTTTATTCAGGATGGTCTGAACATCCTCACGTCGTGCAACTTGCATCCACTTAATTACATTGGCTCATTCAGCTCCTCGGCTAGGATGTCTGACCACGATATTCGTTTGAGTTCAACGATTATTGCCGTCTCATTTTCGGTTTGCCTTGGATGTGATCTTCTGTGGCCAACTTGAATCCTATGTCTAACCCTGCAAGCCATGAGCGCTCACGCCAACAACGACTTGGCATATCGCTCACATGTAGGTGGCGCCAAGCAGTATCATGAAATAGATTAGGTCGCGTATTTGGGTGTGTATATCCCGTTTAGAACCATCTGAGTCTTGGCCGGATTGATTGCTGGTGAAGAGTAGCACGTATCAAATAAGATGCTGCGAACCCTTTTCGACTTCAGGAAATCCAGTTGCCCAGCAAGAGTACATCAGTCTGCCAAGAGGCAGAAATCGTTGTGGATACATAGCCGGCCGCGTAATTACGAGGCGTCTGGCTATCATAAGTTTGTGTATTGAGCATGCGTGTTCGCGTCTCTTTGGACCAACAGATCTTGGTGATCTCGGTGAAACGACTGAATAGTAGCGCTTACTGACGAAGTACCATGCATTCGTAATTGTATTTGAGGAGCCACAATCTTTTCTCCCCGTAGTATGCACAAGCTCTCTCGGATCTAGCGCCGATCCCAGACTTATGGCTGCTTGGCTGGGCGACAAGATTGACACCTCGGCGACAAGTAAGCCCTAAAGAGCTCTATTTCAAATCTTCCATGCAGCAGCAACTGACACATCATCATTTAAACATTGAGTCCCATTGGTTTCATCAACTGTAACGTGCTTTCGCGTGCCCAGTGCCTTGATATGTTTTGGCAAACCCGACAGGCAGAGGTGTTGAGTCTCTGTGTCGAAGTGAAAGTTATGGTCGCACTGAATTCATGTTGATCGCAGGGGTGATGTCGTGGGCCTGTCAGCTTATGCAGGCACTCATTGGATCAGTTGGTAGTGCTTACTTGCACGTACCGTACTGATTCGCCAAGCAGTCAGCCGGCGGTCCCGCAAGGGTCCTCGGTGAATCATTCTTGAACACCACGTCGCTACGCGCGAAAAGGGTTTCAGCTACAATACCATCTCAGCTTCAACCTTCATGAAAAGAGCCCTTGAGATATTTCTACCCACTCAGAGTCAAAAAGACATCAAGCCACAATCTCGCAATGACGGCCCAGCAAAGCGAGCTCAATGGCGCGGCAAAAGCCCCTGGGGACTTTCCCCACCTCCAAGATGTCCTTGGCCAGATGGCCTTTTTGAAGACATACGTCGTTATTTCTTACGGCCTCAGAAACCGAGGTAGCACTGAAGAGACCAGAAAGACACTAGAGAACGCTGCTGAAAAGCTCATTGAGGCTTTCCCTTGGGTTGCAGGCCATGTCATATACCAAGACAGCGGTCCGGGGAAGACAGGCCTCGCTGCCATCGTGCCCTACCCCCCTGGAGAGAGGTCAACCCCAGTCATCATAAAGGACATCAGCAATACCTCAGCTTCTCTCGACGAAATCGTAGAGGCAGGCGAACCAATGCACATGCTGGACGGCGAGATCCTGGCTGAACGGAAAGGGCTGCCACACTCGTACGATGAGAGCCAAGGGCCCGCTCCGGTGCTGGTTATACAAGCCAACATCGTCAAGGGAGGCATCCTGCTTTGTTTCCAGGGGAACCATCACGCCATGGATATGAACGGCATGGCTCACATGATGCGTCTCTTCTCCAAGGCGCTCCGCGGCGAGCCGTTCTCCGACGAAGACATCAAGCACGGGAATCGGGAGAGGCACAACGTGATCAAGCTCCTGGGCCCTGACGACGACAAGACGGATGTCAGCAAGCTCATGGTCAAGCCTCCGCCGCCTGGAAATCCCGAATCGAGTGCAGCAGCGCCGGACGTACAATGGGTCTACCTGCGCTTCGCCGGCCCCAAGCTGGCGGAGCTGAAAGCCGCAGCCGAGGCGCCAGAGCAGTGGATCTCGACGGATGATGCCCTGTCCGCCTTTGCCTTCCAGAGGGTCACCGCTGCGCGTATGAAGCGCATGGAGAAGAAGCAGCCGCATATCTCATTCTGTCGCGCGGTCAATGGCCGACGGTATCTCGATCCACCGCTGCCCAAGGAGTACATGGGCCACATGGTTGTCTGCACCTTCACCGATGTGCCGCTGGACTCGCCAATCGCAACTAGCGACTTTGGAGCCCTGGCCCGCCAGATCCGTGCCGACATACTCGACATCAAGTCCAACTATATCCAGTCGATCGCAACAGCGCTGCATGAGCTCGACGACAAGGGTGCCGTCTCCTACGGCGCGCCGCTGAACATGGCTGGTTGGGATCTCATGCTCTCCAGCTTTGCTGGCCTCGGCCTGAACGAGATCGACTTTGGCGATGCACTGGGTGGCAAGCCGTTGTTCGCGAAACGTCCGCGGTTTGCGCCGATCGAGGGCTTGCTCTACTTTATGCCGAGGACTGCAAGTGGGGACGTTGACGTTGCTGCTTGTTTGCGAAGCGATGATCTCGAGACCTTGAGGAATGATGAGGAATTCCTGAAGTACGGTAGTTACATTGGCTAGGAGGACCGCTCACATGTATGCTTGAGGTAAATATGCTGTCTCGATTCCTTTGGTGCGAGAGTTTCTCATGCAAGTAAATTTCCCTCGAGGCGTGGTGGTAAAGACGGATTATGGTCAGATTATGCTGTTTATCAATCAGGTGAATGAATCCAATCCTGAGTTGAAACTACCTAGGTATGCCAATTCCGGCGGACCTAAAAAGTCCCCAGTTGCAAAGGGGAGGCATTGTGCTTGGGCAACCCGTGAAGAAGAAGACGAATCAGTGCTGTCTTGAATGAGAGTCACCGATGATTTCCCCGATCAGGTGGGGTAATGATGATCTGACCTTCCTCGAGAGTATCTGCTCGATGAGAGACAACCCCGCGTTCACGATAATCATTTGTTACCTTTACCTGTTACGCAGCTAGAGAGTCAGTCTAATTAATATCCAACTAGTCATTCCATTCTCAGCTGAGCTGGCTCACCGCTATAGCATAGCCCCAGGGAAAGTTACCATAAAGCTGTGGCATGGTCGGGTTTACGCTCATTAAAGGTGAGCAGCCGGCCGGCTGGGAAGCCCTTGCTCAAGCTTCTGCGGGCATATTAAAAGATCGCTGGTGGATGCTTGGCCCGCGTCCAATGAAAGCATCGTGGGGCCTTGGGTCTATCCAGAAGAGGAAGGTCTATCTCTGAACACTTCTGAGATGCCAGCAAAGTCCCCGCATTGGAGGGAACTTGGGGCCACATTCGGTTGCTGTCGGGCAATCTTTGGCTTCTCCTGAACCCACCACAGGCACATGCACCGAAAGAGTCTGCTTATCTAGCCCACTCACGAACCAATTGATCGGCGGCCAGACAACTTGCTGCTGTTTTTGGGATCGCCTGCTAACGGGACAGGTAGCAAGCGCCACCAATACAAGCATTTAATAGGCTCGATGGTAGTGCATGTTCACGAGAGCCATGAAATATGCGAAATGAGACCTTCTCAAAGCGGCAGTTCACTTGTAGCGTTGCATCTCCATGTTCCCTCGAAAGCTTGTTTCAATGAAGCTTTCCGGGTTGTCCCTTCGCGCCTTGGCCCGCCAGGCCTGCATGCCTCCCATTCACGCGTGGGTCTGTTGACGATGTGCAATATAAATACCTAGCAAACGTAACTCCGTGGCATCCGTTATACTCTGCAGCCTGCCGTCCTTCCCTCGTCTTTGTGGTCATACAGAGGAGTCTCTGTTCACGTCGGGCAGGTCGATTTGCTCACAGTACCCAGGTCCTTGCTGCTTTGCAACAGCTACCACTAACAGCATGTCTCTTCGTGTGTTGGCCCTTTTGGGCCTTGCGAGCTTGGCTGCCGCCGCTCCAAACATGAAACCTTCTGCCAGCACTGTCAACAAGCGTTATGTCGAGGAGCGTAATGGAGTCACGTACAATGTCTTCAAGCGCGCCGGGGAAGCGTCGTCTCTTTCCTACGTCAAGAACAGCGGTATTTGTGAAACTACTCCAGGAGTTGATCAATACTCTGGCTATCTGGATGTTGGAACGGACATGCACAGTAAGCAATATTTGGCCTTTTTAGCGCTTTTCCCATCTCTTCGTCTATTTCAATTCTGTCATGGCTTTTCTTTTCTTTTTTTTTTTTACTTCTAGCCATGATTCAGGAAATTCTTGCGTCGTCCACTTCCCAATTTCAAATGTCATGACTGAGAGACTGACAAAATGCAAGTGTGGTACTGGTTCTTCGCGGCGCGCAGCCAGCCCACGACCGCTCCCCTGGTTCTCTGGCTAAATGGTGGACCTGGCTGCTCGTCGATGATCGGGCTGTTCCAAGAACACGGGCCCTGCCATTTCGTCGATGGAAGCAGCAAGCCGAGCCTGAACCAGTACTCTTGGAACAACGTCGCCAACATGCTCTACGTTGACCAGGTGAGCCAGAACCCCCCTCCGGAAGCCAATATGATTCAGCGCTGACACACGAGTTTTGAAGCCAATCGGAACTGGCTTCAGCTACGGCGACGACGAAGCGACGTCTACCGTCAGCGCCGCCGCGTACGTCTGGACGTTCCTCCAGAACTTCTACGCGGCATTCCCCGAGTATGAGAACCGGGACTTCGGTCTTTGGACCGAGTCCTACGGCGGCCACTACGGTCCCGAGTTTGCTGCCTATTTCGAGGCTCAGAATGCTAAGATCGCTGCCGGAACCATTACTGGCGAGAAGGTCAACTTGGTCGCGTTGGGTAAGATACCTTTACGAAGAGACCTCTGATGAAGCGTCCTCGCTGATATCTGTCCTAGGCATCAACAACGGGTGGATAGACCCTGTGCTTCAGTATCAGGCATACCCAATCTTTGCCTATAACAACACGTACAAGCAGCTCATCTCTCGGAGTCAGTACCAGAGTTATATGGTATGTTACTCTGACCTGAACCTGTCACACGTTCCTCCTTGGCTATGAATTACACACATAAATGGGTCAAGAGACTCGTTCAACTGACACTAACCACCCCACAGAGCGCTTACACCAAAAAATGTGTACCGGCAATGGCATCTTGCACGGGTCTGACCGGTAACAACAACGCATGCCTGAGTGGAGACAGCACCTGCCGCTCTGCTGTCGAGTCGCCGATCGAGAACGCCAACGACTTCAACGTCTACGACGTGCTCGAGCCCAGCAGCTCCCAGTCCACCGACCCACCGGAGACGTACGTCGACTATCTCCAGAGCCAGTCTGTCATGACCGCCATTGGGGCCCAGACGACCTACGGCGAATGCCCTGATACACCTTACAACAAGATGGTCGGCAGCGGCGACGGTAAGATTCTCAATATCTTGGTGCCATCCTGCTTTCATTCTACGTATTGTTGAAGCTAACTTGGAACAATCGTCTACAGAAGCCCGATCATTCCTCGAACCCTTGTCGGAAGTCGTTCGTTCAGGTGTCAATGTCTTGGTCTGGGCTGGTGATCTGGGTAAGTCCTTATCCCTTTCCGAAGAAGTCGAAAGCCCAATTCTGATTTGGAGAATGCAAAGATTGGATCTGCAACTGGTTCGGATCTCAACTGGTGGTGAACTCTATCAACTACACCGACAGCGCCGCCTTCCGGTCTGCTAAGCTTGCCGAGTACACTGTGAGCGGCAAGTCGCACGGCCAGTTCAAGACCGCTGGTAACCTGAACTTCCTCCGTGTTTACGAGGCCGGACACGAGGTGCCTTACTATCGTAAGTCTGCTCCCATTCCACGACTTCATGACGCATTGGAGACACCCAGTGATCAAGGAAACTGACCGTGTGGCCGAGCAGAACCCGCCGCGGCACTTCAAGCATTCACGCAGATCATGCAGGGCAAAGCGCTTTCGTCAACTTAAGTCGAGCATCGCAGTCCGGGCGGTACTGAGAATGGACGGGCACTGGTTGGACTGTTGCTTGCATGTAAAGTGCGATTCCTCAAGCACCTGTGTTGAGGAATATTTGGTGCGCGTGCTCACCTGCCTTGCCTGCACCTTTCGTACTCTTAACAAGCCCCTCAGTTCCATCCTGAGCTAGCCCTAGTCTATCCTATGCCAGATCCACTCGATGTAGCGTGCATGACAGGTATCTTAACCAGTGCAAATCGGGAGGGAGCTCCATAAGGAGATGCCCAGGTCATGGCCGGATGTAGGGATGTCGGCCGTCCTGACCCATGGACTTGCCATGAGAAAGGATCAGGGTCAGCCTCAGTAATGCGGAACCAGAAATTGCCTCGATGAACAAACCATATGACAAAGAAATAAGGGGGGCCCAAAGTCCAGCAAAGTCTTGATTCGATATTTAGGATGGCTTGGCCTTGGGTTGTCGAATGGAGCCTGCCGCCAACGCCTGAATCCAAGGGTTGTGATTCGTGAAGGCATCGTTTCCCACCGACATCGTGTCCTTGGTATCGTCATGTCCGACCAGAAAAGGCTGTGATTGCCAGGAAGATAGCACGATCGTGGTGCCACAAGCAGCCCGGGTCAACGACAGACTGGGTCACGGATGGGCTTTGCATCTCGTCCAAAAGGGGCATCCGGTTTCATCGTGTCGATCCCTTTGCCAAGCTTTGAGGCTCGCACTAGGCGCTGGGGTGGAGTCCTGCCGCAGTGTCAGTGAGCCTGTGGACGTGCTGACCACCCTGTGAGCACGCTGAAATGGGTGTCTGCAGGCTGCACATCACATTTAGAGCCTAGCCGTTGAACGTCTTGGATGTTCACGTTCAGCACAGTATTGACTCCACGATAAACAACAATGCAAGATAAAGCTCAAGCCAGCAGCAGAGACATTTCTTGAAATGAACGTCATCTGAACAAGAGAAATAGGAAAGGCTCGGTAGGGTGCGATAGCTTGTAACTCGGATGGCTTTTTTGGCTGTGGTTGGTCGAAACGTCCCGGGTCAGAGTGTGCGCCCGGCGGCAGGGGAGGGCGTCTCACCCTTCGTCTCATCCACGGCACCCCTGAGACGAACGCGCGACGGCCCACCACTGAACCACCACCACATGGACCTGTCAGATCACCAAATCTGCGATCTAGAGCGGTTCCACGAAGCCAAGCTCATTGAGCCGCTGGGCGGGAGCCCCAGGAGACTCGTGTGCATGGGTGCGGGCCCCCAATAAGTGGTGCATGGGCAGCCCGCGGGGCGTTGCGACTTGGGTCCTGTCTCCTCTTGGCTTCGCTTTTCTTCAGTTCGTCTGCCCTGATATACTTCCATTCGTTACCAACCTCGACTCCTTTGCACCATCCCAACCTTTGAGTCATTGCTGGTCAATTGTCTTTCCGCGTACATTCTTTTTCACCAAAACTTGCAAACCTTAATCCTTCTTGGCTTCTCTAGTTCACGGCAGCGCCGGCGCTCTCCCAGACCTCGACACGCACGCACTCAACCGACGACTCCGCGAAAAGGAAACCCCGGAAAACCACCGAAATGACGTCGATAGGCTTCAAGGAGATCGACATGTCGGTCAGCACCGTCCTCGCCATCAGCCCATCGGATCACCTGGCCATCACGATCGTGGGCGTCGCCTGGGCGAGCACAGCCTACGCCCTCGGCATGATATGGACGGCTTTGGCCCTCATCGACCGGTGGAGGGGCACCCACGGTGAAGGGAACATCAACTTCGTGTCGGTCATCGCGGCGCTCGTCATGGCCGCTGCGTGGCCCGTTGTGCTCGTGGCAATCATTGTCATGTAGCCGTGCTAGGGCCATACGAAAAAAAAAGAAGAAAAAAAGAACCGACCGCGGTGGATGACATGAGAAGGATGGTGGTTCATTTCGAAATGCGGTCTGATGGGCCGTGGCCCGGCCCGACTCGGCGGGTCAAGATTGAAGGCGGCACTGGAAGACGGTTGAGGGCCAGGCGGTGATAGCCGAGTTCTGTCTCTTCGTACTCGAAATTTTTGGTTCATCGACGGAGCTCAAGCTCTCCCAGGCAACAAGCCAAAATCAGCTGCACTCTGCTGTTCTTAGGCTTCGGGTGGACCATTGCATGCGTTGGTAATTAGCATGGGGCTCACACATCTGACGGGCAAGTCCCACGTCGAGGCGTAAAGTGCAGCCTTCGAGGGCACACACCGGTGCCAGCCAGGAGAAAGGCGTGTGGTGAATTTGTGGAGGCTCATCCCGTTGGTGCTCATCGGGATCTTGCTCGTCCCCAGACTTTCCAAGACCAACATGTTGTTGGAGATTTAAGAAATTACACCTTTATATTCATTCCTTGTAACTTCGAGTCTCAACAAGCAGTAGAAATCCTATGCTGGTGCTGGTCGGCACAAACGACTTATATATCTTGTGCAAGTATCGTCTCTACACTTGCATGGAGAGGGCACGCCTGGTCGATTTTTCTTTAGAAATCATTGTCCTGAGTGGTACCAACAAACAGGCCTAGAAGCGGCAGATGGTATGGGGTCGGGGGTATTCGCCATCATCTCCTTGCCAGATTCAAGATTGTAATACCGGATTTGATGCAATTCCACGGCACGAAGCATTTGCCGGTGGTCACAGTGAAAGTCAGGTTGAGGCTGATGAAGATAATCTTCTCCTGGGGTCAGGGAAAGCCCACATTCGCGCTGGAGTTGTTGCGCAGGAAAGCGGTTAGCCGAACGCACCTGCCGCAGCTGCCGTGGAGCTTCACATAGACCAAATTGGCAGGACAGGCCAATGGGAATCTTGCCCTGGGTTTGGCGTCATAGACAGGAACCTCCATCGGATTAGGCGTCTTAAATCCGCATCCCGCCATCTTAATTAGATACAAACGTCACTGCTGCTAGCGATTAATGACCCAGCGGCCGCCCTTGTCTCCCCACTTGGCACTCCACCACGAAAAACAACATCATCTCCCACAGCCAACACATGTCACATTCAGCTCGTTCTCGAAAATAACAATGGCAGCTAACATACCTCAATTCAAACTCAACAATGGCGTCCTGATGCCCAGCGTCGGCCTGGGGTAAGCCTATAGTTCCCTGGCTGCGCTGATTGCTTCGAGCAGTGATGACTAATTCCTACACAGGTGCTGGATGGGATCCCCGGGTGGCGGTGAGAAGGTCTACCAGATGGTCTCGACCGCTCTCAAGGCGGGCTACCGGCACGTCGACACGGCTGATGGCTATGGAAACGAGGAGGAAGTGGGTCGTGCTATCCGGGACTCGGGCATCCCACGCAAGGAGATCTTTGTCACGACGAAGCTCAACAACACCGACCACCACCGGGTCAAGGAGGCCTTCGAGCGCTCCCTGAAGGCCCTCGACATCGAGTACATCGACCTCTGGCTGATGCACTGGCCCCAGGGCTTGCAGGACGGCCGCAGCCTCAAGCCCGACGAGAGCCCCACGTACAGCGAGACCTGGGCCGAGATGGTCAAGCTCTACGAGGGCACGGGCAAGGTGCGCGCCATCGGCGTCTCCAACTTCGGCGTGCCCATCCTCAAGTCTCTGCTCGCGACGACCAAGGTCGTCCCCGCCGTGAACCAGGTCGAGCTGCACCCCTGCCTGCCCCAGGAGAACCTGCGCAAGTTCTCCGCCGACAACGGCATCGTCGTCACTGCGTACTCGCCCATCGGGCAGCCGGCCCCCGGCCAGGTCTCCCCCCTCCTCACCGACGAGACTGTGAAGGAGGTCGCCAGGAAGCACGGCGTCACCGAGGGGCAGGCCTTGCTCAGCTGGGGTGTACAGCACGGCATTGTTGTCGTCCCCAAGAGCGAGAACCCGGAGCGTATCAAGGCCAATATCAGCGTAAGATTTCCTCTGGTCAAACATTTGAGAGATAGCGGTCGCTAAATTTCCAGAACAGCTTGTAAAACTCGACGATGCGGATATCAAGGCCATTGATGCTGTGCACAAGAAGCCTGACTTGCACCGCAGTCTGCTGAACTACCACAGCCCTGACGGGTCTGTTTTTGGATGGACGTACGAGCAGATGGGCTGGGAATTGGAAGTTGGCGGCAAGGCGAAGGCATAAAAGCTCGATTGCCAACTGTATGTATGACAGGGTCTCTCCATCAGTGGCTAACCGTATAGAAAGAAAATATAAACGTCCTGACTGCGTTGATCTTATTGTGTCAACTCACCTACGCCATGACCTCCAAACATCTGAAGCACTTTGATGCACTGCGTAACTCTCTGGTAGAGTATCTTCCAATTCAACTCTACTTACTTCAAAACACTGGCTTTGCCTTTTGTTACGTGGTTTGCAGTCACTCTCTAGGCCAACTCTGCGACAACCTTCAATCTCTATTGACACGCAGCCAGTGGTCCCAGAGAGGCAAATTGGGCAAATTGCCCACAGATTTCATCTTGCGGATCATCTCAAATTGAAGCGATGCAAGGTATAATTCGAGGTTCCCGTTTCTCACACTTTTATTTGTCACATGGTGCCATGCACTTTGACTTTTTGATGATTTCGATCATTCGTTGGAATTGCTGACTATTTAGATAGCTCTGCACCCCTCCTGAACGCTGATAACCTTTGCTCATATCTCTGCTGGAACCGATCGTCCAAATTCAGCAAACGGATGGCATTACCAGCCAAGACGCCGGCTCTCTGATCCCAGCTCATGAACTTGTCTAATTTCTTACCTTCCTCGCCGTTCCCAATCAGCATCTCCCCAGCCGTTGGCACCTCGCCAAGCGGGAAGGGATAGTCACTGCCCAAGACCATGTTCGCGGACGGGATCTTGCGCAGAACATAATCGAGCAAATCTGCATCATGCACCAGGCTGTCGATCCATATATTGTTTCCGATGGCGAGATGTTGTGTCGGTGTGACCCCCCCAGCAGAATGTGCCACCAGGTCTGGCCGGCAGTTGAAGCCATGTTGGATGCGACCCAGTAGTGCTGGGAAGGATCCTCCGGCATGGGCAAAGCAGAGACGGAGATTTGGATGTCGGAGGAAGACGCCAGCAGAAGTGAGGTTAAGCATCGCCAGGGCTGTCTCGCAGGGCCTATCTCTGAGGTTAGCATCGACCGACTATGAAGAGTGGGATGAGTTGAAGTATCATGCAGTCAGTTCACTTACATGCCGACCAACCAACTGCCCCAGTACTTGCCCCACCTGGCCTCGTTCTCCTCCTTCCAGGAGTAACCCAGTGGGTGCACGAAGACCGCCACATTCAATTCTTCGCATGCGCTCCAGAACTTCTCCAGCCTCGCGTCGTCTAAATCGATCTCCCCATCCGCCAGCGGCGCGGACGTCCCTATCTGCACACCCACCAGCCCCAGCTCTTTCGACCTCCTCAGCTCCGTCACAGCCTCGTCGACGTCCTGCAGAGGCACCGTGGCCAGGCCCACAAACCTATCCGGCGACTCCTTGACGATATCGGCAATATGCTCATTCAGCGCCCGGGCGAGCACAACCGCAGGCTCCACGGGGGCGTCGTAGCAGAACAGGAGCGGGACGGTCGACAGGACCTGCACGTCGACGCCGGCGGCGTCCATCTCGCGGACCCGCGTGGACGGGTCGTAGCAGTTGGGCTTCACCCGCCGGAAGAACTTGCCGCCGTTGTACATGTCGATGTCGCCGGAGCCGTCGGCGCAGGGCTGGAAGCTGGGCCAGGCGTAGGACCCGCCCGAGGCCGCGGACGGCGGAGAGGTCGGGCAGGGAATGGGGCATGATGTGGGTGTGCAGGTCGATTCGGTAGAGGGACTCGCCCGTCCGGCGCGGGCTTCCATGGTGGATGTGGGAGGTTGGCGGCGAGCCGCTGCTCAGGCTGGTCAGGGGTGTTGAGCTGCCGGACTCGGGGTAGCAGCAGTCGCAGCTGTTACCGTCTGTGAGGATTCCGGGAGCCATGGTGTTGCGTCTTACTGGGTACACCTGCAACTTATTGTCTAATAAAGGCGTTCCCGTAGCCTTCTTCAGCTTCGGATATTGCACTATTGTATGTAGATATCTCTAAACAAACTCACAACAAACATCCAATGGATCAATAGCGGGATTTACGAAAACAAAGAGGGTTTCCTTCGACAATGGAAGGCAGGTTCCCAACATGCCTTGAATCGTACATCATTGCCGTGCGTGGTGAACTCTCTGGGCCGGTGTTGCGCCCGCCTTCCGCATCCGCAGGTTCGGATGCAAGGGCGGAAGTTGAGGTTAGCGGCGGATGCAGCACGCCAAAAAGCCTAATCCATGGCCGAGCAGTTGCCGCTGTTCCAGTGGACGGTTGCAGATTGCGGGCCGCCAAGTAGCAGCTCTGGAGCCCACTACCGCCGACGTCACCAAGAAGCTGCTCACCAGTGCGGGCAAACAGCGGCTCGGTTCTCAGTTCTCGTGATAAAGTGATCGTAGCGAAGCCAGCGACCCCCATCTACGCAGCGAAATTTCACTCTTCCAGCCCACAGCTCTCGCTAACCTTCCATTCATCCGGCTTATCACCAAATCCAAAGTTTCTGAAACCGGTCACTCTTCAGCTTTACCGCACCACACGCCTAATTTAAATAATCACAGGCGGCTGTTCTTAATCCGGCTCACCCGCAGGCTCAACACAACCACCATCACAATGAACGGCGACTCAACAGGCCACGCGGCCCTCCCGCCACCAATGGCCTTCGCCTCGTGGCTGAGCAAGAACGAGAACCTTCTGCAGCCCCCGGTCAACAACTACTGTCTCTTCAGCGGCAAGGACATGGTCCTCATGGTCGTGGGCGGGCCCAACACGCGCAACGACTACCACGTGAACGAGACGGAGGAGTGGTTCTACCAGCTCAAGGGCGCCATGTGCCTCAAGGTCGTGGAGAAGGACGCGGGGGGCAGAGAGTTCTTCAAGGACGTCGAGATCAAGGAGGGCGAGATGTTCCTGCTGCCGGGGAACACGCCGCACAACCCGGTGCGGTTTGCCGACACCATTGGCCTGGTTATGGAGAGGGTGAGGCCCGAGGGCAGCCTGGACCGGCTGAGGTGGTACTGCAAGAAGGGCGGCCACGAGGTGCCGACCATCATCAGGGAGGAGGTGTTCCACTGCACGGATCTGGGAACCCAGCTGAAGCCGTTGATTGATAACTGGAGGGAGAACGAGAGCGTGAGGAAATGTCCGGCGTGTGGCCAGGCCGAAGACCCTCAGTGAGGTGGTTAAGTAACGACAGAGACGAGAGAATATTGAATTGTGTGAGATACTTGAGGGAAAGCGATTAGTTAGAGCGTGTTGTGGAAGTTTTGATGTTTTAACGTGATGCATTCAGCTCACCACCGTGGACAGAAAAGGGAAAGTTGCTCATAGTCCCTGGAGGGCCGTATCTTAAGGGGACTGAAACATGCTTGAGGCTTCTGCCCCACGAGCTTCGACTTTTGAGTCTTAAAGAGTCGGTCATCCCGGATCAAATCACCAAGTCAGCTCTTGGGATTGCATCGAGTGGGTTGAAGAGACGCTGAGAAGTCCGAGCATGCTTGACAGAAGTTTTGTGACAAAAATTGTCATGGTGCTCATGAGCCCATCAGCATTAAAATTCATATCACCATCGACTCCCTAGCATCACTATCCAAGTAATACTGGAGTATCATCGAATACCCCCTCCCATCTCCTCCTGCCCCCGGATCGTGCGCCGACAGCGGCATCAACGACTGCCTCGGCTCCGAAATCGATATCGTGTCCAGCGCCTTGAGCCCATTCTCCTCCGAGTCGTCCTCGTCCTTCCCAGCCTGCCGCCGCGGCTCCAGGTCGAACGGCCCCGTCGGCGACGTCGGCGACCGCACCTTCTCGTCTATCCCGCCCGCGTCCGCGCTGACCCGCACGGCCCACTGCCCGATCTGCCGGTCCATCTCGTTGCTCCCGATGCTCGTCAGGCTCGTCACGTTGCTCCGCGCCGTCGTCTGGCTCCGGCTCTGGCTCGTCGGCGACGACACCTCGCTGTCCGCCTCCGACCGCACCTCGTACCGCCCCAGCGGGCTCCGGTTCCGCTCTATGCTTACCGGCGGCGGCCGCCTGCCGGGGTTGCGGGCCGGCGGTTTTGGTTGTTGGTTGTTGTTGTTGTCGTTGCTGTTGCCCGTGCTTGGTGGGTGTGCGCCAAGGGGCTTCTGTGGTGGGTTCTCGAATCGGAACCCGGCCTGCGATGCTGCCGCCGCGAGGCTCTCTGGGGACATTGACCTTGCGCTGCCGAGGTTGGGTTTCGACCTGCCGTCTGAGGACGTTGGCCTTAATGGTGATCCGGTGCGCGGCAGCTTTCCAGATCCAGGCCGTTTGCTTCCGTTGGTGGACAAGTCTTGCATGCTCCCCGTGGCTGATCTGTTCGCGTAGATTGATTTCTGCCCGCCGGGACCGGGACTGGGGCTTCTTGACGAGTGCGAGCTACTTGGCCGGGCGGGGAGACTTGTGGAAGAGGTATTGTTCTGGGGAGTTCGTGGGCCGAAGGGGCTCTGGTCTCGCTTCCATTGTTGTGCGTATAGGGAGTGTACTGGGCCGTCTTGCGCTTCCTTCCTATGGTAATTGATTAATGCGGAGTTCAAAGAGGTTAGGTGGTCTCATGATGCTCACTTTTTCTTTCCTAGACCAAAAAATGAGACCATTTTGAAAAGGTGGTTCTGTAGTTGTGGCTGGCTGAGGATCTGCGACACGCGAAGATGTGTGGAGTTGTCAAGTTACAGATGGCGACGCGACGTGGCTCGGAGTTGTGTGTTGGTGGTGTAGGATGGGGGATGACAAGAGCCTGGTTGGGATGGTTGCATGTACTATTGGATGGCAATAAGTGTCAGGAACGCCAACATTTCGCGTCAGTGGCCCGATAGAGGATGGTATCTATATTTGATCACGACACTTATGCTTATTCGGCAAGTGTATAGGAGAATACCCCAGGCCCTCAGACTTGCACAATCACGGTGTTCGACCGAGGACTATTTCCCTCTGGATCTGGGGCTGATGTAGCATAGGGCTGCGATGGCTCCACTTACACGAGATTTATGATTAGGCTTAACGGTTGTCCCGACCTCAACCCATGTGCCTGCAAGGGGCGCCACCAGTCGCCTTGAGCGCCAAGAGGCTCCACTGATTTCGCCAGCTGCAAAGGGCTTAACCATGTTCCCAAATGAGCTGAAGGGCTTGACAGCGGCTAAAAATACTACATTGGCGAGTGCGCCCCCGGACCTGGTCAGCCCACAGACTGCAGCAGTGTAGGCGCGAGGACCACTTGGCGAACCGCGTTGTTGAGCCGTCAAACCCGGTGTCATCACTCAGGAGCCGAACCATCGGGTTCTTGCGAGGAGCTGAAGGCCGAGTTGAAAGATTAAATTGGAGTGATGTGCCGCAGACCTACCATTCTGGGGACACCAAGGCCAAATTTTTGAAACAGGTCATCTCAACGCTGCCCACCTTCTGAGGCAGCACTCTCCATCACAGCTCGTGAGCTCGTGAAGTTGTAGTGATGGCAGTGTAGTGGATATCCGGGACCCTTGTCCTGCTGTTAGTAATCCCTCCCTTTCGAACCCGAGTACCCGGTTACCTTGTCAATTGTCCGCCTCGACTGCCGATCTTTCTATCCCCACAGCTGGCGCCTGTCAAAGTCAACTGCATCACCACAGACCCGAGACATCACCAGACACCACTGAAGCGGACTCGAATTTTCCCCGGCTGCCTCTCAGACAGTGGCTAAGTGCACTGTTCTAGCGACGGTGAACACGTCCCTCGAATATTCTCCCCCCTCTCTGCCTGTCCCGGAATTCTTCATGCCGCCGAAGGGCGTGCCAAGCTCCCTGACCAACCAACAGTTCACCCACACCAGACCTGCCTGTAGCTGCTCGCCGACCCTCCTCATGCGGCCCCCGTCCGTGGTCAGCAGCACCGCCGCAAGACCGTACTCGCTCGCGTTCGCGAGCCTCACGGCTTCCTCCTCGTCCTCGAATGGCACGACCGTGACGACCGGCCCGAATATTTCGTCTCGGAGCAACTCCGAGTCGGTGGGGACGTCTGTGAGGATCGTCGGCTTGATCCAGTATCCCCCCTCCTCGCCGGCTCGTATTTCTGGCGGCACCTCTCCGGTGTTGAACGTCATTCCCTGCTTCTTCGCGACCTCGAGGTAGCTCCTGATCTTGGCGTAGTGCTGCGAGCTGACCACGGCGCCCACGGTCTCGCCCACGCGGTACGTCTTGGCCACGTACTCCGTGAACGCAGCGACGAAGTCCGCGTACGCGCTCTTCTCGACGTATATCCTCGACCCGCACAGGCATATCTCGCCCTGATTCTCGAACGCCGCCATCGCGGCCGTCCGGGTCGTCTTCTCCCTGTTCGCGGCCAGCGAGTCCGCAAACACGAGCGTCGGGTTCTTCCCTCCCAGCTCCAGGCTGACGTGCTTGTAAATCTGGTGCACCGTCGCCCTCCGGATCGCGATGCCCGTCGCGGTGCCACCCGTGAAGCTCACGCCGTGGACGTCCGGGTGCGACACCAGCGCCGAGCCCGTGGTCGCGCCGTCGCCGAAGATGACGTTGACGACGCCCGCGGGCAGCCCGGCGCGGCGGAACACGGACGCGAGCAGGAACGCGCTCACGCTGGTGACCTCGCTGGGCTTCGCGACGGCGGTGCAGCCGAAGGCCAGGCACGGCGCGATCTTCCAGGTGAGCAGGTACAGCGGCATGTTCCACGGCGAGATGAGCGCGAACACGCCCGCGGGGCTGCGGTGCTCGTACGTCAGCGCCACGCCGTCGACCATGCGGGCGGCTGTGGACTCGTGCAGGATAAAGGTCGAGAAGTAAGCGAAGTTGGACACGGCGCGGTCCACCTCGACCCGCGCGCGCTCCAGCGTCTTGCCCTGGTCAATGCTCTCCCAGACCGCGAATAGCTCGCGATTGGCGGCGATGATCTCGCTGATCTGCCGCAGATACCTTGATCGCTCGGCCCGGGGTGTCCTGCTCCATGCTGGGAAGGCCGCCGTGGCGGATTTCACCGCGGCGTCGACCTCTTCGGCTGATGCACAGGGGACTTTTGCTATGAGCTTTCCGGATTTTGGCTCGAACGAGTCGACGTGTTTTGATGCCTCTGTCGTCGCGAATTCATTCTGAGTGAAATGTTGTAAGGTCAGGGGTTGGCCATTGAGTTCCCCAAGCAGAGCCGTGGCTTTCTCCTGGGTGTTGGCGTTCCATAGCGCCTCGGAGGCGTTGCCGTGGACTTGATGTCCCGAGCCCATGGTGGTGAATGAGATGTGATTCGGGAGGCCTAAGTCGAGGCCTCAAGTGGCAGGTGGTGAGACGCAATGGGATCCTCAAGATGAGTATCAATTCTGGGTGACCGGGTCATGAGCTGTGGCGATGAGCGACTCGCATTGGGACTCGAGGAGAACTTCACTGGATACAATCGGCCCTCTCTCTCTCATTCAGCAGTTATGCTGGCCCTCCTAGCCGTTACCCTAGCGAACATGGCAATCCCTGCCCGTTGCGTTCTCCAAATGCGCCAGGCAAAGTTCCGCTTCCGTGTGCCCTGACAACCCCGCTATGGAGCTGGGCCGTCCAACGACCGGCGCTGGAGCTGGCCCATTCAGCCAATCGGAAGATCGAGAGGTTCAACGCGGAAGACGGATGCTTGATGCTTCCTCCGCTGCGCTACCAAGCTGCTCCTGGTGTGGGACAAGCTTCAACCTTGTGCCGGTATAAACTATCTGAACCGGCGAGTGGTGAAAAATCGCGGCGATATCGGATTACGGTAGGGATTTCTCACACATACAGACCTCACACCTGACTCGACAATACTGCCCTCACTCGAAAAAGTAGCCGGGCAGCACGTGCGACAATGGCTTCCAACGGAACGGGCTTCTTCCTCCCAGCAGAGCGCGCCCAAGGGCTCGCCAACTACCCCCACGCACGCACAGCTCCCTCAACCAGCCGCATCATCTTCGTCAGCGGGACATCATCGCGGCGGGGTGACGGGACATACGAAGGGTGCGAGACGCTGCCAGACGGCACCCACAAGCTGGACTGCGGCGCACAGACGGCCGCGGTCCTGAGGAACATCGAGAGCATCATCCAGGGCGCGACGGAGGGCAAGAGCGGCCTGGAGAGCATCGTCGACGCCACCATATTCCTCACGGACATGAAGGACTACGCCGCCATGAACGCCGAGTGGAACAAGCGCTGGCCGGACAAGACCAAGGCCCCTGCGAGGACTTGTGTGCAGGTCGCGGCGCTGCCGAACGAGAGGTTGAATGTGGAGATTAAGTGTCAAGCATTGGTCATCGAGTAAAACAGCAATCATCTTCGGTATAAGCTGTTGTGGAATAATTGGGTGCCGACGCGTTTCGGCTCTGGCATGAGAGGTCACCGTCAACGACCGCAATCACCAGCTCTGCTCCCAACTATAGCTGGTGATAGAGAGTGGTGGCTGGGTCGAGATTGAATGACGGAAAAACAATTGGGAACATTATACGGCGTAGATAAAAAGTTCGTTCAAACGCGGCCCAGCTCCAGTTTCTCGTGCAAGACTATGGCTGACGTGACGTCCACTGCAGTTTCAGTCTGATCGCGTATCACGTCCAAGACATTCAAATTCAAGATTGAGCTTCTTGTCTCTTCAGTAAGAATTATATTTTGCATTTTAAGTACGCGTGGCTCCCGGTAACCTCTTACGAAGAGTTTTGAGCCATCAGTAATTCCAGTAACACCATTAACGCCATCCATGCCATGCTTTATAACCACACCAGCCTATGCATCTCCGACTCTCACGAAGAGTGTTTATATTTGGTGCCCCTTCTGCCATCTCTTAAAGTCTCGACGTCGCTGCTGGTCCCGATAAAAAATCGTATTCTCGGAGAAACCGCTGCAAAGCTCATGCCATTTTAACTGGATGTCGAGGTAGACAGACTCCCAAGCTCTATATTGGGTCTCGAGCTCGGCCTTGCCCCTAGAAGACATACGCACAGCTGGAGCCAGGAGGCCCCTGTGGATACGTGCAGCCGCCTCCAGCATTTGCTCAATGTCCTTTGAAACGAGGTTATACTCGACATCTGACATGCGCATGCGGATAAGCGCCCGAAGCAAGTACGCAGCCAAGGGGTTCAGCTCCCGTGACGGATCCGAGAGAGAGAGATTAAGCCCCGCGGCGTGGCAAGGGTCTATTTCTTCAGTGTCGAACCCGCCCAGCGCCTCGTGCAAGAGGTTTTGTATGTTGTGGACCTCATCTACAAGCGATATAAGATAGGACAGCCGATCGTGCAAGAGCGCGCAAATGCGAGGACCTCCCTCTTTACCCTGCACAGTGTTAGAAATGATAGGTCGGGCAGGGAGGGGATCCGTCATTGGAGGGTTAACCTGGCTGAATTCTCCGACGCTGACTTGGTTGACGAGTGAGGGTGGAAGATCCAAAATAGATTGTTCGTAACGGGTGTGGATTTCCTCCCACGAATGTTGGCCGAAGTTGGCCGGGAGCTGGATGTATTTGAAAGCATTGGACTGCATGTTCACCAGCATGCTGGCCTGTGACAATCGTACGTTGCTCATATTTTCGAAATTTTCCAGCCTTTGTTGTCAATGTGTTGACCCCCAAGGCTTGCTGTTGCTGTAGAATGTTGAGATTTGATATGCAGATAGTGTCCATCGGTGCTGAGAGCCAAGCAGTACTACTCTTATATTATGACAATTGCTTTCTCTGATCCTCTGGTTTTGAAGAGCGTGCATTGTCTTTAGTAATCTAAAATTAGCAATTGAACAATTGACAATTGAAAATTAACAATCAGGCCTTGTCCCCTTGTTCGACAATAGCATTATCTTGGTCTAAGGAGCGGTGATCTGCCATCCTGTCAAGGTTTCCCAACCCATTTTAATTTCAACAATGAAGACAATCCCTCGAACGCCGTAGCTATGCTACATCAAGAACTCCTTCACTTTGACAACAACGTCCCCGGTATTTGTGGGCCACTAACAGCAAGCTCTCTGGGAGTTTCCTGCCGTCTTGAAGCAACTTATCAAAACTCAGAGAGATAGACGTCAGATTCTGCGCGCTCGACAGCATGGATGTTATGTCTCAGTTACCCAGATTGGGGTATCTCATGATCAGCCATAGTAATTCCATCTCAGCATTCGAAGGCTATTTCCTGAAGACAGGGTTTTGCAAAGGGCTACAGCTCATTCCCTAGGCGGCAAGATAGACACCCGCTCGCTTCTACCGTGAACGAGGAATCTGAAATGAACTTGAGACTCGGCTACAGTAGAGGATGTGCCACAGCCCGAAGCGGGGGTCAGCGGTCATCGGTGGGGTGCAGCTAGTGTGTGTGCCAAGTGAAATGGTGACTTAAAAAATCTCATTGCTTGTCGATACGAGACCACGGCATCTTGACGTGTAGGAGGTACCACAGGATTTACAAACATTCCTTGACAACTTCCGCATTTCGTATTGCGTAGGAATATTTCCAAGATTTTGAGTAGATTCGGAGGCAAGGATAAAGGGCCAATAGGAAGACATGGCGCTCTAGCTCCAGCGGCACAAATGCCAAACTCGGTCTACTTACCAACAAGCGAGAACCTGTGCGAGACAAAGGTCCGAGCATTTCCTGCGTACACGGCAATGGTTATACACGGACTTTGTTAGTAGTTTTTGAGCTAGACAGACTTGAACTCCACAAAGCCATCGTAACCGGTTACCTCGTGGCTCAACACACGGCTGTCATGGAGTGTCTTGACAAATCTGGCGATGTTCGTTTCTGTTCGACTAAATCGAAAGGCGAGCGGCTGTGTGGCAAGGTGCGTGAGACCAGGATTGAGTAGCATTCGGAGTGGATTTGTGGAAAGAAGAGCGGCAGAAACGGCAGTGAATGAGGGCATTTACACACTAGTGCTTACACTTGCATGAAATGTCTAATTAGATACCTTCTATCGGACCATGTGGACTCCACCCTCGACGGTTTCCTGCCCTTTTTAAGGCTCGGTTCCACGTGTAGTCCCTACATCGCATGCAATCTTCGGTGCCTTTTTCTGATAAATACTCCAAAGATCCAGCACGTGGTTTTCCTGTCAACCACTGCGTTGTCGATGCTCATAGGCAGGATGTTCTTCCGCTTCCTGACACCGTTGGTGTTTGCGGCGTGCACGGCAGTCTCTGTGCTTCCAGTCGTGTCATGCGGACCTGTCTCCGTTGACTTGTTCCCCAGGACACCTGCGGCAGGTATTGATATCCAGGCGCTCGCGGAAAACCTTAGCGAGAATGCTCAAGTCTACGTTCCTGGTGACGAGCCGTTCGCTGCGCTCACGGTCCGCTGGTCTAACCTAGAACCCCCGACCCCCAATGTCGTAGTTGTTGCTGCGATCGAGGGGGACGTTGCGCAGACCGTAAGTTCTCCGTTATCCACATCATATTCATTCCTTCACGCAAAACAGCTAGCCAACACTCTTTGTGCCAGGTTGCCTTCGCATACAATAACAGCAGTTCCATTCTTGCTTACAATGGGCACCATGGTACTCTCATCTCGTTGGGAAAGATGGACTATGGTATTCAAATTTACCTCGGCCAACTCAACTCCCTGGAAATTGCCGAAGACGGAAAGACCGTGACCGTAGGCGGCGGCATCAACTCGCACAACCTGACCGAGGCTCTCTGGGCAGCAGGGAAGCAGACCGTCACTGGAACCTGCGAATGCGTCAGCTACTTGGGCCCCGCTCTCGGTGGTGGACACGGCTGGCTGCAAGGCCATCATGGCCTGATCTCGGACCAGTTCAAGTCGCTGAACGTCGTTCTCGCCAACGGTGACCTGAAGACGATCGACAGCGAGTCCGATCTGTGGTGGGGGATGCTCGGGGCTGGCCAGAACTTCGGTATCGTCACGTCGGCCACCTACGATATTGTGTCACCGAACTGGGCGATCGAGACCATCGTCTTCAGCGGCGACAAGGTCGAAGCCGTCTACGAGGCTGCCAGCAAGGCTCTCCTCAAGAACGGCACCCAGACAGACGATGTCCAGAACTACTCCTACTGGCAAAACGACGCGACGCTCGACCCAAACAACGTAGGCCTCACGCATCCCTATCTTTCAAAGTCCGCGCTAACACACCCACTTATAGCCTGTAATCATAATGTATATCATGCAAGAAGGCGTTGACGCCGTCGACCCGGCGTACACGAAGCCCTTCCACGACCTGGAGCCCCTCAAGATCACGCCCCAGTCGGGCGACTACCGCGACCTCGCCGCCTGGACCGGCATCGCGCTGGCGTCGCCGCCCTGCCAGGACTTCGGCTTCAACAACCCGCGCTTCCCCATCTACCTGCCGTCCTACAACGTGACGGCCATGCGCCGCGCGTACGACGTCTACGCCGCCGCCATCTCGGGCGCCGGCAACCCCTGGGGGAACTCCATCTTCATGCTCGAGGACTACGCCACCGCGGGCGTGCGCGAGCGCGACCGGGACTCCACCGCGTTTGCCTTCCGCGAGGACCTGCTGCTCGCTGCGCCGCTCATCATTTACAACTCGACTGGCGCGGCCGAGGACGAGGAGGTCAAGGACCTGGGCAACCGGCTGAGGGAGATCATCAGGGAGGGTACCGGCAGGGAGGAGTTGCATGCGTACGTCAACTATGCGTATGGAGATGAGGGCGTGCCGGCGTGGTTTGGCGCTGAGGAGTGGAGGAATGACCGCTTGAGGTCGCTGAAGAAGAAATATGACCCCAAGGGCGTGTTTAGCTTTTATGCGCCGATCGTGTAGGGTTGGTTAAAACGACGATATTGAGCAACGCCTCAACAAGTAAAATTCATAAGCTATCTTGGGGTTTCATCCTTTTGATCTGACTTCCTCGTACGAACAGCTATGGCATACGCTAGATCGAGGTTCGGGTCCCGCATGGCCTCCGATTCTGCTTCCAGTTCTAAAATATGTCTTAGTTGAGCCTCCCGCTTCGCTTTACGGCTGTGAAAGATTCCTCCAACACGAAGGTTAAGCACAGGCTGAGTATTATTCATGATCGGTCTGGAACTTGAGTCTAAGATTTAGTATGGGCAGGTGCTGTCTTTGATGTTAGAGAGAATCGCTATGCTGGAAAATACTGTGTTGTTGAAATATATACTTGTTTGGTTTCTTCGTCGTTGAACTCCTATGGGCCGTGGAGTGACTGAAACATGTTCGCAGTCACAGCCTTTGTGCCGCCAATCGTCGTTCAACGTAGCAAATTGTATCTGTGTGATTGGCGAGCGAAAGTTGAGTCAGAGTCCCCTGTGAAGATTCGGTTCTCAACAGACTTACCTTTTCGTCGACATTCGTATGACATACAGCTGATAATGAGTTACTCGGCTGCCACAGAGGCTCCGGGTTTTGAATCATTCCGCTTAAGTCCATGCCAGTTGGCAGTTTCCGTCGGATAATTAAATGGGCGATTTCCTGGACACCTGGGCAATTGGACATGAACTTCGGCCGGTCTCTTACCCTATGCCATGGTCATCGGTTCCTCAATTAAAACCAAAGGGCTTCGGCCACACTGTATTTTTTTTTAAAAAAAAATTAAAATAAAAAATCAACTGTTTATTGGTTTGTCTGCTATCTGCTTAGCTTTCCGATTATTCCTCCCTAAGTTAGTGCATAAATTTACATATGGCTTGATATATTTATCTATGTTTTATTAGCAAAGAAACCTTAAAACCCCCCTTTTTACTGTGACGGTACGGCTCTTATATACTGCTTGGAATAGCCAATCTTCCAAATTGGTTATTATGGTCTTTTAGCCGGGAGGTGTAATTTGCAAGTAGTAATTACATATACCCTCTCATTTACCCTTTATTCTTAATTACTTTTTAATGCTTTAAAGCATTTTTTAATTAATTAGAATAAAAAAGTAAATTTAAAGCAATATAATATAATTATACTTCTTTATATTACTTATTTTATTATAAATATCTTATTTACTTTTTTAAAAAAAATATAATAAAGATTTTTTAATTTTTGCTTTGTAATTAATTACCTAACTTTAATTTTAAAGTATTATAATAAATTAATTTTGCATTATTTACATTAATAGTTTATAATATTGTTAAAAGTAATTCCTATTAACCTTATTTATATAAATATTATAAGGCTATTAATATTTTCTTAATTATAAGTTATAATTATATTTAAAACTTATTATTATTAATGTTATATTGTTTTTTAATATTAAGTGTTTAAGCCTTTATTATTATGTAAAGGGATTAAATGCATGTTGCTTAAGAAGCATATATATATATAAATTAAAAACGAGACCACTTAATTCCAAAAGCGTATACACTATGTACACTATGCATTGAAGAGAAAAATGCACATCAAAAATTGGATCATAGTGCAGACCATATGCAAATTAGAGCCAACATTTTTAAGTACTCAAGGTAAGTAACTTTACAATGGCTGTTTTGGTGTAAAGCGAAGTTTGGGTTTATTGGATTGATGAGATCATTCTCGCACAGTACTTTATGCATCTGCATACTGCTTAAGAAGCACATGTGTACAGATTAAAAACGAGACCACTTATGCATGTGCCGTTATAGATCTCAACTCTCTTTGGTGTCGACCCCGGCATGAAGATTCATAGTTGCCTCCCCTCCAGTCTGAACTAGTTCACCACTCCCTGATCTCACCACCAGGTCCAATGAAGCCGGGGCTCACCCATGCTGTCGCATCCTTGGATAGGGCCCTGACTTGTTCCTCATCTACCTCAATACCAAGGCCTGGGCCTGAGAGGATGTTGATGTAGCTGTCGGTGACTTTCCAGACTTCCGGGTTCTTGGTGTAGCTGGTGAGGTCTTGCGTGCCCGCATTGTAGTGTATGCCCAGGCTCATCTCCTGGATGGCAAAGTTGGGGCTGGAGCAGTCAACCTGGCAATTTGCAGCCAGAGCAATAGGACCGAGCGGGCAATGAGGAGCGAGAGCCACGTCGTACGCCTCAGCCATGGCAGCGATGCGCTTCATCTCGGAGATGCCGCCGACATGCGAGATGTCTGGCTGAAGGATATCCACGCAACCTGCCTCGAGGAAGGGCTTGACGTCCCACCTGCTGTGGAGGCGCTCACCTAGAGCAATGGGGACGCTGGTCTGCTCAGCGAGGGACTTGATCCCCCCGATGTGTTCTGAGAGCAGGGGCTCTTCGATGAAGAGGGGCCGGTGCGGCTCGAGCAGTTTGACGAGCTGCTTGGCCATGGGCTTGTGGATCCGACCGTGAAAGTCGACACCGGCATCCATGCCTAGCTCCTTGACGGCTTTGACTCGTTCCACACATGAGTCGAGTGCCGAGGGCGAGTCTAGCCAGCCCATGTCCTCTGTGGCATTCATCTTGACGCAGCTGAATCCTTGCGACTTCCTTGATTTCCTGTTCGACTTGGGGTCAGATGATGACAGCCTATGTCAGCTTGCGGGGGACGCACGCTTCTTCTGCCACATTACCTGGCCGGTTTCCCCCAATCCATGCGTACACCTTGAGCTTGTCGCGCACTTTACCTCCAAGCAATTGGTAGATTGGTACCCCGAGCTTACGAGCTGCTCACAAGTTAGCTTTTCTCTTACCACCCTGATTGCAGAGCTGCAGCCGACCTTTCAAATCCCAAAGTGCAATATCAATCCCGGCCAAGGCACTCATGAAGACGGGACCACCCCGGTAGAAGGTGGTCCGCCATGACATCTGCCAGATGTGCTCAATATCGTCGGCCTCGAACCCGTTGTAGCGCTCGAACCAAGCATCCAGGCACCCTTCGACAGCTTGCGTGTGGCCCTCGAGCGACGCCTCTCCCCAACCGACATTGCCTGCTTCGTCAGTGATCTTGACGAAGAGCCAACGTGGTGGCACGCGGAAGTACTCCATAGTTGCTATTTTCCCCATTTTGGTGGCCGGATATGAGGACGGGAGCTAAGACGGAGTCGATGTCTTGCCCAAGCAGCAGTAGACTATGCTGGCAGTTGCGCTACTTACTGCTCGTCAAAAGGATGTAATTGATTTGTCGAAAGAATAGACGGGGACAGGCCAGATGATGCTTCACTCCAGCCTGATTATCACTGATCGACTGACACTTCCGAAGTCGTCGTTCGTTCTTGCCCTTTTACCCCACGATGCTGTTAGTATGGGTTGGCATGCAGTTAACGTGGAGATTACCTCGGTAATGGCTGGTCGCTGTGCCGGCGACGCACCATGCATTACTTGAGTCTCCACCCGGAAAACGGGCCTTGGTGCATCGGAAAAGCGCAAGTTTGTGGGGCCTGGTCTTTTCAGCACGGCACTGACAGTGAGGCCCATCGACATTTTAACTCTAGTCTGGAATTGACAAATTCGCCAGTGACCAGTCCTCAATGGACATGTGGGCAGGCAGTGGGATCAGAATCGTGGCAGCCATTTGAATAGCCAGTAATTGCATAAATATGATCATGTGTATATCCAGGAGTAAGTAAGAAGCTGTATTCATAATTCCAGTCACGATGTTGCCTTTTTGCGACGAACATCTAAAGAAAAATGATGCGAAGTGTTGTTTCTAATTTCTCGGTCGAAATGAAGAAGACAAACAATCGGGTACATCTCTATGCCTCCAGTCCACGCGCTTGCCTCGTCTTCTTCCTGAAATCAGCAACTGCCTTTGCGAGTACTTCGGGCTTCGCGTCCCCGAAGATGTCAACTCCCAATCTCGCAGGCAAGTTGTACCTGTGATTGCGGTCGAGCGAGTTGACCTTCTCGAAGACGTCCGCAGGCAACTCGGAAACTAATGAAGCGTCAGATCGACGGGGCTGCAGATTTGTCCCTGGTGTCACTTACCTTCCAGGTTTGACTTGATTCGCGATGGAGTGACTGATTTTGTGAGGACGACGACGCCTCGCTGAACAATCCAGCTGAGTACGATTTGAGCAGGCGTCTTGCCAAGCTTCTCTGCCAGTTGGATGATAACCGGGTCCTCAATGGCCCTGATACTCTGTTAGCCAAGATCGTGCGGCCCGTGGCTTTTTGGGAAACTCACATGGGCAAGCTGTAGATGTTGTTCCCAAGTGGAGAGTAGGCTTCAACAACGATCCCCTATGGTCTCATAAGCAAGTCTGTCGAATGTTTCCTGGTCCTCAATTCCTCACTCACCTTATCTTGGCACCACTTCACCAATTCGGGCTGCGCAAAGTATGGGTGAAGCTCGACCTGATTGACCGCCGGCTTGATCTCGGCGGCGTCCCATATCTCGTTGATCTTGGCGATGGAGAAATTAGAGACACCGATGGTCCTGATTTTCCCCTTCTTCACCAGAGCCTCCATCGCTCTCCACGTCTCTATTGTCGGAACATCAATGACATCTACGCCAAATGTTTGCTCATCGATGGGGAAACGCTCGGTGTCATTGATGCGACGAAATGTCACTGGCCAGTGAATCTGTTGAAAGTGAGTTGGAGTCAATCAGAGTGTGGACTCGGGCCTCAGACCAGGTAAAGATCCAGATAGTCGGTCTGGAGATCTGCTAAGCTTGTGTCCACTGCCCTTTCAACATCCTCACCCTTGTGATGGGTATTCCAGAGCTTGCTGGTCAACTGCAGATGGTAATTATTAGTAGGTCGTTCATGAGATCAGAAGCCTGGTTTAGAGGATGCTGCTCACGAAGATGTCTTTGCGGGGAACACCGGACGCCTTGATGCCCTCGCCCACTTCCTTCTCATTGTCGTACACAGCCGCAGCATCGACATGGCGATAGCCTGACTTGAGGGCGAGCTCAACAGCATTTTTTACCTCATTTGGCTTAGATTGCTGTCGTCGTCGGAGTCAGCACTAGCCCTGCAGTCATGATGAATGAGACCGTACCCAGGTACCCAGCCCTACTGCTGGAACGCTCAGTCCGTTGTTGAGCTTGAAATGCTCAGCGAGCGTCGTGGAGGCCCTTGTTGAACCCATGACGTTTGTGAACGATTATCACACGGATTGTCTTAATCTTTGACGAAGATTGATGAATGATTTTCTGCTGTGTATTGTTTGGGCTTTGTGAGAGTACGAGCACCAGGGGCTCCCTCATTTGAGTTGGTAGCAGCAACTCATTATTACGTGATGGCCGGTGGACTAACGGGACTATGCGTTGTTATCCGACCGGAAATGCCAAAGTGCATACAGTGATAGAGATATCCGGAACATGCATAAAATGCGTTGGCAGCCGAGGTCGGGCGTGGCAGGTCCGGGCGAGCGCGCCGAGACTCACCGATGTGCGGAGTCGGCACCGGCGCCCCTCGGCAGTCAATGGCCCGAGAGACAACCGCCAACGGTCCCACCAGCCGATTGATTGCCCGTGAATCACCTCCAGCACAGATTCATGAGGAGGTAACAGGCCCGGCCCTCAGTGCACCACAGAAACACCACCCTCCCTCAAGCAAGCAAGAAGCAAGCCACCAGACCAAGCCAAAATGTCATCCCCTGTCTCCAGCCCTCCAACGGGCGTCTTTGTCCCCGTGCCTACCTTCCTGAAACCCGCCTCCGCATCGGCAGGCCTGCAGCCCAAGGTCGACGTTGAGACACAGGTCAAGCACTCGGTATTCCTGGCCAAGAATGGCATCCGCGGTCTTGTGCTACTCGGGTCGACCGGAGAGGCCATACATCTGAACAAACAGGAGCGATTCGACCTGATTGCCGGCTGCAGGAAGGGCCTCGACGATGCTGGCTTTCCCGACTACCCCATCATGGCCGGTGTGCTCACCAACGGCATCGATGAGACCTTGGAGTGGCTGCAGGACTACGCCAAAGCCGGTGCACAGTGGGGTCTCGTGCTGGTCCCGGGCTACTTTGGCACGGCAGGCTCGCAGGCCAACATCCAGGAGTGGTACACCATCATTGCAGACAACAGCCCCATCCCTATCCTGATGTGAGTCGGACCTCTCAAGGCCTGTTTGGACTCCGTTTGAAAGTATTCTAACCAATGATGCAGATACAACTACCCGGGCGTGACAAACAACGTCCTGGTTGCTCCCGAGACGTACTCGGCTCTGGCTCAGCACCCAAAGATCGTGGGATGCAAGATGTAGGTTGACTTCCCTGCTCGCTTGGATACAACCCCAGACGGTTCTACACGCTGACCCGTAATCCAGGTCTCATGGCAACGTGTCTTACCACGTCCAAGTATCCCTTGACCCAGCTATTGACCACAACAAGTTCCGAGTGTACAGCGGCTTTGGTCAGCAACTCGGGCCCATCGTGTTCTTCGGAGCAGCTGGAGTCATCGATGGCTTGGCGGCCATCTACCCCAAGACCGTGTCCCGATTGATGGAGCTCGCAGAGAAGAGGCCAATCGACCCCGACACGCTGGCTGAGGTGCAGAGACTGCAGTACGTGGTTAGCAAGGCGGAGGAGTACATAGGCAAGACCGGTATCGTTGGTATCAAGGAGGCCGTCTTCCGTGTCACGGGTCTGGGTACTCTCGAGGGCGGTAGGCTACCCCTGAAGGGAAAGCTGGCGGACGGAGAGTGGGACAGGCTGAGGAAGCTGTACCTCGCTGATGTCGAGAAGTCGGAGAGCAGTCTGTAGTTGCAGGTGACTCGAGCATGATAGTACTCCAACAAAGCGTTCAGACAGTCTCAAAGGAATAGACAACACTCTCCAGTTCAAGGTGCTAGCAAGCCGTAATAGAATACGTATGGATGTACACAGGACCTCTTACCTTGGGCACTCCCAAGTATTCAAAATCATCACATGCAAATCTATGCGGGTAGTCTCGAGTCACACAAATGGATGTAGGCGATCACACGGTGGCAGCCCACATGACCGCCCACATGACACCGGGCGGGGGTTTTCCGATGTCCGTCCAGCAAAGTAACGGAAAAGGCATACAGCCCTGCCTATCAAGCCTGTTGCTAGACGTATGCAAGCTCCCTCGCAGGCCCCAGGCTATGACCGTCTACTCCATGGGGAGATGGATTACCCTCCGTCCTGGGGAAACACGTCAAGGGGCCCGCACAGTTAGAAGAGAACAAGCTGCCAAGATCCGTCACTCTCGTCTCGTCCCGTCCCGTGGTATCGGCAGATGCAGCTAACCCCTTGTCAGTCATCGGCTCAGTTCAGCCGCACAATGGATCCGGACCATATTCCCCGAGTACAAGTTTAAGAGTAATGGTCGGCTCAGGCACACGGGTCATTTCGTACTGCAGGCAATTCCCGCTTTATGTTTATATTGGTACAATAGATAGTTTACAGTGAAGTGAATGCGGTCTACCGAAAATTGTTATCACATGACCTGATCGGAACACATCGCGACCGAATGTGTAGCCGGCCGAGAGAAGACTGTCCAACTTATCCACAGCCATCACCGGATAAGATATATTCACTTGAAATTCTACTGGTCAGGTATCTCTTCATGCAATGTCAGTGAATTCCCACTTATGGGCTGGTGTCAAGTGGTTGCCTCGAGGTCTCGCTTAGCAGTCCAAGTTCCGCTAAATCTGTTGGTATGCAAGAAATATGAGTCTTCAACATATCTTACAAATTGTATTGAGGTTTTGGGAATTATTTCGAGATCAAACACAGCTGCCAAGAACTTCGGTGACCTTCTTCCGCGGCGGTCTCTACTAAACATCGTGAGACCGCCTCCATTCCCTGCGAATGCCAAATGCTTCCGGCATTTTTGATAAACCCCGTTATCTCTGCAACCTCTGCGTGGGGAAAAGGTATCCTATTCGCAATTTCTCACGCTTCCTGCAAGGCTGTGTTCACTTCTCATGCTGCTGGTACCTAGGTACACTATAGATATTGCTGGCATTGCTGACTGCCTCCCTGTGATCTGGGTCTCATGTTTCAGTGCTTTTGATCGCCCTATAGCCGCTGGTACGGATCCGTATTGTAAGTAGTAAGACGTGTGTCAGGTCTGAGCGCGTGATAATGGCCTTGCATTACGGAGCAAAAAGGTAGAAAACATATAGCACCGGGTATTCGCTAATCATTACTAACCTAACTATTAATCCAGCTGTTAAATATCTTAATATTTGCTAAAGATACCCCATAGTTTCCTAATAATGCTATCCCTAAGTTTATAATATTAATTTCATAGTATTTAGGATGATATATGTCAGATCCAATCAACGGTGAATATATCGTGGCTAAACGGTTATATGATGGAGTTACCGTAAATTCACCATAAATTAATGAATTCACCATAAATTCACCGTAAAAACAGCAAATTCATCATAAAACCATAAATTCACCATATATACACGGGTAACATAATAATAAATGCCTTAGGCACTAATATTCATAAGTTAAAAAACCAGCCCCCGCCATTAGCTAGCTTTAAAAAAAGAAGAATCAAGATATTATTACATTAACCATTAAAATTAACCATATATACAAGGATTCCACTATAAAAAAGGTATAAAATTTAATAATTAAGAGTCTTATTACCTTAAGCCACGCAAAATGGCCAATAAAAATAACTATAAAACCCAAAACGCCTTCCTAACTAAGTTAAAAAAGTAGCGTAACTAGGATTATAAATTCAACCTTTAAGTTAAAATCTATAAACTTAAACACTATATTCATAATTAACTTAAACTCCTTTTAAAGCTATAAAAACTTAATATATATTTTTAAAAGTATATTAAGATTATTACAGCCGCTTAAAATGCAGTTTCTTAAATAATTAGCGGATTTAATATCAAACTAAATAATTTTAAAATCATTTAAAAGAAATAATAAGGCCAATAGCTACTCTTCAACCTTATTAATGCCAATCTTAAGATATATAATCTCAACCTTTAAAGGTATAAATTAAAAGAACTAAAGTATACTAAGGAATAAACCGCTATTTAAAAGCTACGTAAATAAGTGCTTTAAATAATTACCCTAAACTATAAGTTAAACTACTACTTACCTAGAATTTTACTTTAATAATAATACTTAAATTTATAATAAAAGTATAAACTATTATAGATAAACAACCAGCTATAAATAAAAGCTTTATATAAAAATGCTTTAAAATTATTAAGGAATTTAAAAGAAACCCTGATTTAAATTAATAAATAAGAATTTGCTATATTTAAAGCTACTTAATAAAGGATTGTTAAGGTAAAACAAATTATTGCATAGGTTCCTAATTTACTATAAGCTATATAAAGCATAATGCCCATATAAATAACTACTTTTTAGCAAATAAGAAAATAAGAAGTAGTAAATAGGAACCTTAAATTTTAGAAAATTAGGAACCTTTTTTATAAGGAATTGCAAGCTTTAAATATATAGCATAAACCTATTAAAACTATTAAAGGAATATAAGCAATTACTTATAATGGGAAAAATAATTATAATAATAAAAAGGATGCTTATATTATTGGGGAGATAAGCTTATATTAAAGAAGCTTAATTAAATTTAATTTACTATATAGATCTAATTAATATTGCAATAAATGCCATTAATCTTAGGTATAAAACCTTAAAGAAATATATATAGCCTATAATAAAAACCATGCCCTTGCTAATTACTTTTATATATTTCTAGAAAAAGCACTTTTATAGTTTAAAAAAAGCTAAAGAATAAAAGAAAAGGTGCGTAATGCCCTTGAAAATAATGCTAATCTTTAAGCTTAAATTCAAGCCATTTAAGGCCTGAGATTTAAATTAAAATTCAAGACTTTAAAACCTATAAAGAAAAAGCTGGTATAAGAAATTAAAGATTAATTATTAAGATATTATATTATTAAATATAAAGGTTAGGAAAGCTTTTATTATAAATATTATAAAAGAATACCCTTTAAAGCACTTAATAATACTAAACCCTATTAGCATAATATTAATTATAAATATTAATAAGTAATTAGTAAATTTATGGCTGGCAACTTATAATAACTATATATAATTAAGAGATTAATAACTATTAGTTATAGCATATAAAATGATGCTTATGCAAGCCGGAACCTTAATTTTATATCTTAAAAACGTTGCCTTATATTTATGAATTTTAATTACCCTTATCTTATTAAGGTAATTATAAAAGAAAGGAATGTTTTAAGATAATGAGCATAATTTAATTACTTTAAAATAACGAAATAAGTTAATTTTTTATTTACTTATTAATATTCATAGTTAATATATTATTAAATATTAATTTAAAACTACTTAAAATTCCTTTAATATATAAAGAAAGAAATATATAACGTTTATTAAAAAAAGGCTACTTATAAGCAAAGCCATTATTTAATATAAATAATTAAGTTATTTAAAACTAAAAGCCTTAAAATACTTAATAAATTTATCTTAAGGGGTGCAAATCCATAAACCTATTATTATAAAGTGCAAAGTATGCACTCTTGCTAAAATCATGCGGTAAATCTATTAATCGCTAAGGGAGATTCGTAAATAAGCAGGTAAAAGAATTGTAATAAATTTCCATAATTATAAAAAAGGAATTTAAGGCTATATATTATAACTTTTATTAATATATAAAGTTATTAAACTTATTTAAAATTACTACCTTATAAGTTAAAATAGCAATATATTATGTAATGCAATTAAATCTTTTTATAATATAATAAAAATCCAGCATAAAATAAAGATTAAAATAATTAAATATAATAAAGAAATTTTTAATTATAAATAAATAGTAAAGGAATTCTTAAAGTTAAAATATATTAAAATTAAGCCCTTAGCATTAAATATATAAACTTAAAATGGTAATGCTAAGCGCTTAAGGGGTGTAATTAAGGAAAAGATGCAAGCAATGCAAATAAGCTTAAAGCTTTTATACTCTTTATAGCCAGAAATTAAATGCATAATAATATATCTTAATAATTAAATATTAATATATAGCTTAAATTAATAAACATTATACTTTAAATTTTATAAAGTAATTACTAAATAAATAAATATTTTATAATTAAATTTAAAACTAAATTAAACTTACTTATATATCTTTAGCTATAAAATATATATTATAATATTAAATACTTAATTAAAGAAAAAACAATATTAATAATTAAAGCCGTAAATATAAATTAAATATCTTATAAGCTATCATTCCTTAAATATTTATTAAATATGGATTCCCTTTATTAGGAAAATCATTAATATAAAAGATGTAATCTTTAATAAACATAAAGTATTTAATGATAAATAGGAAGGTTTTAAAGATAAACTCCTTACTATAAACATTAAGCGTTTCATGAAATGAATAAAAGAATATGCCCTCCTGAAAAATAATAAAATACTAAACCTAAAAGAAAAAGATTTATTTAAAGACAATTCCCCAAAAGAAACTTTAAAGAAAGGTTGGTTTATAGCAAATCGTGAAAATAACATTAATGAAAAAGGAGTCCTGAAAGGAAATATAAAGGATGCCTAAAAGAGGCAATCCATAGCAAACCAAGAAAACAGCGCCTATATAAATGCAAAATTTAAAGTACTCCCTATATCGCCGTGAACTCCTTTATTAATACTTTTAACTTATGCCATTTAAATATAATTAAATAAAGAAATTTCATTAAATAATAAATTTATTATAAATATACCATAGCAATCCATATTTATAGCTAATACTAAAGCTACCTTAATGGCTAAATTAAATAAAAAGATATTAAATAAGGCATAAATTAAGAAATATCTTTATTAAGGGGTAAAACTATATAAAAATAATCTCCTTAAGCTATTAAAATAGCATAAAAATTTAAAGAATTATTTATTTAAATATTTATTTAAATAAGTAAAAGCTAATTATTTATAAAGCTATATTAAAATAAGATTATAAACCGAGATTTAAAAACGAAATCCCTATATGGCAGAAAAACAAGTCCTAAACTATATATAGGTATATATATATAAGTTTAATAAATATAAAGTCTTTTAAAAGTATAAGGCCCGTTTAATTATTTAAGGAAATTAGTAGATAAAAGGATAAATATAAGAAACCTATATTATAATCTTAGCAAGCCAATCCTTCTATATATTAATAGTAATGGCGGCGAAATTTAATCTTAAACTTATATAATATAACGTTATAAATGCATTTATCCATGCTTTAATTAATTAAGATATTTTTATGTAAATGCTATATAAATATTAATGGAAAGAAACCATCTTATTGCTAAATAAAGCGCTATATAGCCTTTAGATCTTATTATTATTATGGCAAAAGGAGTTTATAAAGACCTTGGCTTAATATAAATATTAGCAAATATTATATAAGCCATATTGCTATATAAAGAAGGGCGTTATTATTTTCTTTTATATAAACGATATTATTATTATATATTAAAAGAATTGTTAGAAATAAGTAAATAAGCTGAAATAATAACTTTAAGAAAAGTATAAGATTATTAGAGGAAATCCAGTTTAGTAGTTTCTTGGTATAGAAATCATTTAAGATTGTGAAAATCGCTAAATTTGGCTGGCCCAAACCGCATATATTAAGAAGATTGCTAAATTAACTAATAAAATAAACATTTCCCATAAGGTTCCTATAACTCTTAAAGAGCTATTACTAAGTATTACCGCTGCCTTAAAAGTTAAAGTCTACTTATATTAAAAGAAAATTAATTTATTATTATTCGCTGCTATATTTATATAACTAAACATTACTTTTACTATATCATGGTTAGCGCAATTTTTAACCAATTTAAGTTAAAAACACTATAATACCGCTAATAAAGTGCTATTATATTTCTTATATATTAAGTATTTTGCCTTATATTTTTAAAATCTAAAAGAATTTATTATTATAAGCAATGCTTCTTTTGTTAATAATTCCCTAGATAAAAAAAGCTTATAAGTATTTATTATAAAATTATTTAAAGGACTTATTAAATAAAGAGCTAATAAGCAAGATATAATTATAATATTTACCATGAAAGTTAAACTATTAGCCTTAGCGTAAATAGCAAAAGAAATACTATTTATTAGCCGGCTTCTTATTAAGCTATTTATTAAATTAAATAATAAAATAATTAAAATTAAGTGTAATAACATTTAAATTATTAAGCTAGTAAACTTTAAGATTATTATGCTTAAAATTAAATTATAATATATAAATATTTATAATTATTAGCTATAATAAGAAATGCAAAATGGGGAAATTATAATGGAATATATATCATTAGCATAAATAACCATAGATAAATTAATAAAGACGCTGTTAATTAGGAAATGGAAAGGATTTCTTTAATAACTTAATATATAGGATATTAAGAATAATTTATATAAAGGAATATTAATAAAAGATATATTTATTTAACGGTAGTTAGCAGTGGAAGATGGGTGAAAGGTTTAAACTCTTAATGCTTGCTTGCCTAAGGGGGTGTGTTAAATCCAACCAATAGTGAATATATCATGGCTGGATAGTTATATAATGAAGTTACCGTGAATTTACCATAAACTAGTGAATTCACTATAAATTCATTGTAAAGATGGCAAATTCATTATGAAACCATAAATTTACTATATATGCATGAGTAATATAATAATAAATGCCTTAGGCATTAATATCCATGGGTTAAAAAACCAGCCCCCGCCACTAGCTAGCTTTAGAAAAAGAAGAATTAAGATATCATCACGTTAACCATCAGAATTGACCACACATACAAGGATTCCACCATAAAGGAGGTGTAGAATCTGACAATATGAAACGGAATGATGCGCACTGATTCGTGGCCGTTTGAGTCTTTGGCAAAGATGGTCGCCAATCCTGGCCGCCGCACGGTCGCAATTGCAACCGTATTGATGAACACACTCTATTATGCATGCCTAGGGGGAGGGTTGCATCGGGATAGGCCTGAGATCAGGTCTCCGTTGACTATGGTCGTTTTGCGCATTCATCCCTGACCCTTGTTGGCCTAAATCCTATTCTCTAAATGTTCCTTATTAATTCTCGACCCTGTTGTGTCAAGTGCTGAACCTGCGACACTCCCATGCGCCTCGTCTATTGACATGTCACCAATAGTCTTGCATGCGGCAACAGTCTCGTGCGAAGGTCTTTTCCGAAGCCAAATCAAGGCTTTCTAACCACACAAATTTCTTATGGCATGGAGTGATGGTCAACGAGCCAGGGAGCGCTCAGAAGCTCCCGGGCTTCTGGACGATCGTCTGGCTCCAAAGCCAGCATGCTTTGGATGAACGCCACGAAGTATTCCTCGTCCTGCCCACTCAGCGCCCCGGTCAGGCCGCCAATTTCCCGCAATGATCTTGAACCAAACCGAATTTCTCCGCGCATAAGCCCTGTAAATAAAACCATCATTAGGCGAGGAGGGAGGGAGAGCAAGAGGTCGGGAAACAAACCATTTTCATCAAAATATTCGTAGCCGCGCTCAGACTGTTCAAGTAGCGATTTAGGGAGCGGTCCAAAGATGGATACCATTTGGGCCAGGTGAGCCTCTGCCGAATAGTCGTCGGCCGCTGTTGCCTGGCCATCAAAACATAATTAACCTTGAACTAGCTCCCAGAGCTAGTTGTATTTTGCATAAATTTAGTTACAAATCAGATAGATTAATGGCGAGGTTCACAATATAAAAATATACGTACAACAAGGCCTAGGTTCCAGATATCAACCTTGTGAGCCCACGGGGCTCCCAAGATGACCTCAGGGGCTCGTAGCTTTTCAGGCTGGATCCACTCAGTAAGGTGGCGATTAAACCAGCTCGCTAATGTTCCAAGGTGAGCAAATGTCCTGAAAATGAGGTATGTTGCGTATCAAAGGATTCCCACTTACCAACACCGAAGTCTCCAAGCCTGACAGAAAGTTCATTAGTGCTTGCCAGATCCTCATGAGCGGACATAACCGGCTCAGACTCCATATAGTAATCTAGGGATGGGTTAAGTGGGCGGCAGTCCTGGAGAAGAACATCCGAAGGCGCGTTTTCAAACATGTCATCGATCTCAGGGGTCTCAACAAGGATATTCTGTGGCTTGATATCTAATATATGTCATATCAGATGGACTTGTGCAGTTGATTTTAGTCTTTTTGAAAACATACCGGTGTGTATGATATTGCAATGATCATGCAGAAAGGCAATTGACATCAGGAGATCTTTTGAAACTTTTTTGGCGACTGGTATGGGTATCCGTGGAAAGTGGAACAAACTCCTGAAATGGGACATATCCGGTCCCATGGGCTTGAACACTAAGCACGTATGCTGGCCGTTGGGGCCCGTATGACTGAACTCATCTAGGAGTCCCAAGACCTTATTTGAACCAACCACACTTCCCGCACCTTGTGACTTGGTTTGGATATGCCTTAATATGTCAAGCTCAAATGTATCGTTCTCGCCATCACACGCGTCAGCGGTAAGTATTTTGAGGGCAACGTGTTGATTTGTCCTAGGAGTAAGTGAAATTAGGTAGTTAAAAGAACAACATTAATCCAGCATTTTATTATAATACGCTGCGCCAAAGGGGGTTGCACTAGCTCTTGTAATAAACTTACTCCTTATTATAAGCAAGCTATACGGTAGAGTAGAGCCCATAGCCGAGTTTCCGCAGGATCCTATACTGGCCGGCTTTGAAAGTATCACCAAGACGTACGGGATGGTAACCGCCAGCACAGTACCGACTCAGGTTTTCCTCGTTAATGGCTTGCGCGTTTGCGTCAGGCGCGAAAGCAATGCCACGTGCGTGGCGGGGCGGGCTGGACCTAGTGGCCCTGGCCAGGACACTTCTTAGCGTTGACCACATGATCGAGCAAGTGCGAGTTTCGTTGAAGCTTGATCTACTCTGCAATCAGGCCAGTGTGTTCTCAATTGGTGGGTAGAAGGCGTGGTGTTGAGGTATGCGCCATTGGGTGTTGTCAATATCAATTTGTAGTGGCATTACACCTGGCCCGGGGACGTGTCAGTTTTGCAGCCTAGGACTGCGACCCTTCGAGGATCGGCCTCTCGGCGCCTGATCCTGGGCCCCGCCCCGCCCAGCCCGCCGGTAACTATTAATAAAGTGATAATCAATTAAAATTAATATAATAATATTAATGAAATTAAATTAATAAGGGGTTATTATAATATTATAAAGATAATAATATAATAATAATATATTAATTTAATTAATTAACGTAGTTTACCATTAAATAGCGGATATTACTAAGTAGTGGAGTTTTCTAACTTTACCTAACTTTTATTAATTATAACACTACGTTAAAGTAAATAAATTAATAAAAAGTTAGCACTAATTAATATTAACTGCATTTAATTCCTTATTTTTATTATGGGCTAGCCTTAGGTTGTTTGTCATAAGGTGTTTAAATGGGGTTTATATTTAAAGTATAAAGGAGAAGGTTTACTCTCTGTTTATATTCGCGTTAAAGCCTATTCTTATAAGGCTAAAGCCTATTAATTAATTATAATAGGCAAAGCTTAAACTATAATATATTCTTCTTTTTTAAGTCTTTATAGCGGGCTTTAAAAAATAGCTATATAATAAAAAATAAAGAATATTATAGTTTAGTTATAAATTAAATATTGCTCTTTACCTAGCTATTTAATTATACCTTAGCAACTTTTAATTACATTAAAAGCTTAACTTATTATTTATAATTAGCATGCCTTAATCTTTATAATTTAATATATTAATTAAAATAAGTTAATAAAAAATAATTATTTAAATATAAGCTAGCGGCTAAGCTAATGGCATTTTTATAATTCTTTAATATAAGCCTTTTATATAAGCTTCCTTACTTAAAACCTTAAAATTATAAATTTATTATATAATTTGCAATTAATTAACGCTTAATTGCAAGTAATTTGCTTTATTAACGGAAATTTTCTAAATTTTAAGTATTTTTATAAGGCTAAATTAGCTAGCATATAATTAATTTGCTTTAAGTTTAAGTTAACGCTAAGTTAGCATTACTTTTAAATCTTATTTTATAAAAAAAATTTTATACTCTTTTAAATAAACTCCTTTCCCTTGCTAACCTTAATTAATAAAAGCTGCACTCTTATTTTTTCACAGTAATTAAAATAATTATGCTTATAATAGCTAAGTTAGCTATATATAAAATACTTAATTTTGCTTATTAAGATTGCTGCGATATTAATATTTATTGCTTTATTATTTTAAGGTTAAGTATTGTTTTCTTTTGCTATAATGCTAAAAATGCCCTTATATTGCTATAAGGTAAAGTAAAAGGCCTTAAATATATTTAGCTACTTTTTATAATTAAGTTAAGCTTTTATTATAAAGATTAAGCTATTAGCTATTAATAATATTTTATATTTATTTAGCTAACTTTAAATCTTTGCTATATAAGTTAATTAATTAAATTAAGTAAGAAATTTTATTATCCTCTTTTTATAGCGTTATTATAGCGTGATTAAGCTAAGTTTAGCATGCCTTTGCTTAAAAGGGTTTCTAAGCGTAAGGCAAATCTTTTTTAAAAAGCTTTTTAATTACCTTTTAAATATTTTTATAAAATTAATATAGGGTAAAAAGTAATTATAAAAAGTTTCCAGCTAATTAAATATATAAAAGAATTAAGCCCCTTTAGCGTTAATCGCCTCCTTATTTATTGCAAACTTAGCCCTTATCTTTATTAGCTAAGTTGCTAAGTATTCTTAAGATAAGAATTCCTTTAAATAAGGAAAGGCTTAATGGGTTGCCATTATTCTTTTTAAGTTTTGCTATATTAAGTTTTATATAATTACATTATAGGTTTATAATGCAAGAGGATTTTAAATATATATTATAAGCTAGCCTTAGGTTATTTGCCGTAAGGTATTTAAATAAAGTTTATATTTAAAGTGCAAAGGAGAAGGTTTACTCTTTATTTATATTTACGCTAAAGCCTATTCCTATAAGGCTAAAGCCTATTAATTAATTATAATGGGCAAAGCTTAAACCGTAATAATTTTTAATTAATTTTATTAATTTAAAAATATTAATATAAGTATAATGCTAATTTAAATTAATTAACTTTTAATAAGAAATATACATTTAGCATTAATTAATGCTAATTACATTATTAAAAATATAATCTACTATAAATTAATAAAATAGCTATATTTATATTAATTAATATTAATTAAGCTAGATTTGCTATAATATAATTAAAATTTAATTAATTAAACCCTTTTTTATCTTTCTTATAAGTTCTTGCATTATGCTTAATTTTGCTATAATTATTATAGCGTCTTTTAATTAATTTGCTATAAATTAACTCTTTTATCCCATTACTTATTTTATTAGCTAACCGCTTTACCTTTTATTTCTTTTAAATAAAAGCTTAAGAATCCTTAATTATAAGTGCTCCTTTAAGCTATATTTAAGTTCTTTTAGCCCTTTAATATTTAATAAGTGCTATATTAATATCTTAAAGCATATAAATTTACTTGCTTATTATAATAAATAAGTATATTATTACTTATATACTTTTTATTAATTAATTAATAGCCTTTATAATTAATATAAAAAAGCTTTTTTAATAAATAAAAATCTTGCTTTTAATAAAACTTAATTGCTAAATAATTTATTAAACATTTAATAATATTTAAAACTTTTATTTTTAAAAAAAATAAAAAGGGATTATATTAAAGTTTATAAGTTAATATTAAGCTTAAAAATTATAAAATTAAGGTCTTAAAGAGAAATTCCAGCTCCTTTAAATATAAACTTAATATTTTTTATTATAAACGTCTTATTATAAGCTACCTTAAATATAAAAAAGAACTTAAATTTAATAATATAATTAATAAAGGCTTAAATAAAAAGGTTAATCTTATTACTATATATATGCTTTAAAAATAAATATAATATAATATTTAATACTTAAAATAAATAAGATAAATATAACGGTATATTAATAATAATAATTTTATTATCCTTATAATATTAATTAAACTTAATTAATATATAGCTTTTATAGCTATTTATAATTAATATTTAATAATTAACATTTTTCTTTAGCTTAATATACTTATTAAAATGCTAAATTTATTTTAAATTAGTTTTATTTTTATTTATTTATTTATTTATTAAAAATAAGCTTAATAACTTAATTATTTAAAAAACGTAATTTTATTACTTAGTTAGCAAGGTAATAAGTGCCTTAAATAATTATAAATAATAAGATTTATAACTTACTTATATTAATGCATTTAATAATAATTATTTATTCTTAATTACTAAGTTAAATTAATTTAACCTTTTTATATTTATTAATGCATATAATAATTATTAATAGGGTAATTATGCTTATTATAAAGTTAATTTTATTAAAGTTATAAAGATTATTATTAATAATTTAATATTTAATCATTATATTATAAAAAAGCTTAAATTAATTCTTAATAATCTTTAAATCTTTATAAAAAGCTTTTTAATAATTATAAGGATAATTAAACTTAGTTTTAAGGCTTAGTTATGCATTTATAAAGCATTAAGCTTAATACTTATTAATAGGTTTAGCATTATGCAATGCTAGCAAAAGATTAGCTATATCTTTTATATTAAAAAGTTATAAAGGGAATCTTTAAGCATTTTAATTAATAATATATTAAATAAGCATTTGCTTTTTAATTAAATTAAGTTTATATTATTTAATGCGTAATTTTTTAAAATTATGTTATTGGTTTATTTTATGGCATAAAGTTATTTTAAGAATATTAAAAATCTTAATAGCTTAAGCTATAAATAAAGATTTAATATAATTTTTTTAAAGTATTAAATAGCTTAAATAACTAAGAATATTTTATTTTCTTTAAATAAAGGATATATATTTTTATTATTAATGTTTTATGCATTAAATGTTTAAGTAAGTAAATTAATATAGGATTAATGCAAAAATTAAAAATGCAATTAGCACTAAAAATAGCTTATCTCATTAAAACCTTAATAATTTCTAATTATACTGCATTACCTTCAGCCCCTTTAAATTAACAAAATTAATTAAAAATAAAGAATTAAATGCAATTAACACTAATTAATGCCAACTTTTTATTAATTTATTTACTTTAATATAATATTATGGTTAATAAAAGTTAGGTAAAGTTGAAAAAATTCGCTACTTAGTAATATCCGCCACTTAATGATAAAC